GGATATCCTACTATAGCCAAGCATTTTTGTTTCAATTTTCTCCTTTTGTTATCATATTCTTCGTCTAGCTTCAGGGTTTTCCCTCCCTATACAGTACTGGGAAGTAGAATCTGATGATGTTAGTAAAGGCATACCTCTGTTAACAAATAGATGTGTTCCTGGACATTACTTCTTTAACAGAAAATTTCATATCAGAAATAGAAATAAAATGGAAAGAATAGAGGTACATTCCTACACTACTACTTTTCAATTAAAAAAAAAGAGGAATTCTTTAAACGTCTTGTTCAGAACTAACAATAGATACATGTGAAATGAAACAACCATGTCAGGAAAACCTTGCAAAAGTAAACAAAAAACATCTCTCATATGTCAACGCTTCTCTTACAATTTCCATTTTGATGGACAATTTTATTGATCTTGGCTTTTTTAAAGTGCTGAGGTGCTAATCTCCTTTCCCCCTTTCTCTCTGTTTTTGTTAGTAAGAGTTTCTTTATCTAAAAATCTACAGAATTGCAAAGGTGGCAGCTGTAGGATGCATGGGAGATGAATGAATGAATAATTTATTATGATCAACAGATCAGACAAGACATGAGAGGTGTAATTGGTGCACACATCTGCAATATTTAATACTTTCAGAAATATTCTCTGTCTTCAGGGAGGGGGGGTACTGTTAATATTTACAGTTCTATACTTAGCAATAGTAAGGATTCCCAGACTAAAATGTGCAGTCAGGGCCTGAAAGTGGAACCTCAATATATTATAAATACATTGTTTGTCTGCCTGTCTATTCTTTATTCTGTACAGCTCAATATGTTTGATCACAGTCACACAAGTTTGATATGTTACATAATAATACCAAAATAAAGGTTAAAGTAAGCTTTTGAACCCAGTCTGTCAACTGCTAAGAATATTCCCTGAACAAATGCTTTGGAATTTGGTTCCTCTTATTCTAAATTAGTGGGTCTCAACCTGTGGGTCTCCAAATGTTTTGGCCTTCAACCCCCAGAAATCCTAACAGCTGGTAAACTGGCTGGGATTTCTGGGAGTTGTAGGCCAAAACACCTGGGGACCCACAGGTTGAGAACCACTGCTCTAGAAAGTATATCCACAAACTGATGCAGATATAGTATTTAGACTTAGATGGGGACCCTAAACTTTTCTGTGAAAGTTAGAAACTAATAAGAAAACTTTTTTGTGCTTTTTGGGAAAAACGAGGGAATATGGACTGTTTGGGAGAGTTCTGCCCTTTTGCCATACATTCTGGTGTGCAGACACTGTTGTAAAACTTGTAAGGAATGGGATTGGGAGCAAGCAGTTGAGACATGGGAAATGAGGGGATGTTGCTTAGTCCCAATTGAGGAACTGGTGAAATCCTCAATCTTGCAATCTGATATAAGATGCCACAACAATGTTAAGTGCAAAGTTACTTCTACAGTCAGAATTTCCATGGATTGGCAGCAGTTCCATATATGAACAGTTCTATTTCCTGAAAGATTGAAATTGTTTTGTTTGTTTTTGCATAAACATCCTTTAATTTCGGCTTCTTAAAACAGGAGCATTGTGTCACTCAAATTATTGGCTGTCGAGCACATGTAGCTGAAGTTTGAGCTGTTAAATGGCTAGCATTTTAAAATCTCAAGCTGCTTATTAAATGGCCTCAGTGTGGAGCTTTAGCAGCTTAGCCTGTAAGCTTCTGTTTTGAAAGCTTTGCAGTGGCACATTGGGCATTGACTCCTGCTGATGAAGCCGTTAAAATCGCTGGTGCTTGTAAGGAAGAGCTAGGGGAGAAGCACTACTGGGAAAAGCACAAGGAAGAGCTTTATTACCTGTTTTACAGCTATGCTTTTTTGTATCCCTACCCAGATTAAAATGATTGAGGCCCTGAAACAGTTCTAGAGATGCAGGGATTGCCTTTTTGCACATATGTGACTTGTTTTGGGAGTATTAGCCCAGAAATTGAATAAATAAAATCTTGAGCATAATAGCCCCAAATTCTCACATGTGAGCCCACTATCTGCCCTTCAATTTCCAAATAGATGACTAGACTGAAATGGCTCTGTAGAAGAATTTCAACCATTTCCTTTTCTATATAATCTTTAAAGATACATGAGCCCTCTCCAGGTTTTAACCTGGCAACCCTACATTCAAGTGGGACTAACAGTGATCCTATGCATTTTTTACTGCAGAAATAACACAAAATATTGTTGATATCAGAAAGATTGAGAGATTCAAAAAGTAACTGGAGGAAATGAGAAACAAGACAACTCCTTTTTCTTTCATCCCTCTGGTCTGATAATCTGATCCCCCCAGCTGTATTCCATTTCATTTTGATTGTTCTGTCTTTCTGTTTCTGATCGTTATGACACTCATTAAGGTTGTAGGACTCTACCGTACATGCTGTACATATACCTATGCATGTCATTACTAGGTTCCTAGCCATAGAGTGCATACATCTATACGTAAGCTATCAGTATGTGATTTTTCCCTGTTTGTTTGAAAGTGAAGCAGATTTGAGCATCAGATCATAACATAATGACTTGGGGATAGAGGCATTGCCCAGTTAGTCCGCAACCTTTTGATAGAGTTATGTGAGATTTTTCCACTTAGTGGATTTACTGCTGCTCAGATGCTGCTGAGAGCTATTTACTGAGAACCAGGAGCAGTTAGGAGTTCTGTGTTACTATTTTTAGTAAAATGCCTGAAAAGGGAAATGAGAAGGAGACTGGGACAGAGACAAACACAGATGCTTCTGAGCATCTCTGTTAATAGGACTGTAGCCATCTGAGCCATGGAAATGACATGGAAGAATGTTCCATAGCTGCCAGTAACTTGGAAACTTTACTTTTTTGGAATTTCAGCTTACAGCAAGTCTTATACTAACTAGTGGATTCTGTAAGTTGTAGTCTAAATGTTCCAAAACTCTGCCTGTAAGTCTACACAGGATCTTCCTACCCACTCCATACAGTGTACAATGTTCTCATAACTAAAATAATGCAACATGTTCATGCCCTGAACATTTCAAACAATTTAAAGAAATCAGTGCAGATGATTAAGAAGTTCAGGTTCAGAATTTTCCTCCACATTATAGATTGTAGTTGTTTTGGAAAGGTAGTGCTGCTGATGGTAGTGTTTCTGGAAAGAAAAGTTGATTATTTATTAGTCATTTAATCAAATGGATGTCAGCCTAATATCAAATTGTCCTAGAAAGAAAGAGGAAAACTAGGGTTAGACACAGTTCGTTGTCCTACATTGTCCTATGTCAGTGGTTCTCAACCTGTGGGTTCCCAGGTGTTTTGGCCTTCAACTCCCAGAAATCCCAGCCAGTTTACCAGCTGTTAGGATTTCTGGGAGCTGAAGGCCAAAACTTCTGGGGACCCACAGGTTGAGAACCACTGTCCTATGTTAAGCCTGTGCTTTCAATTCTCCCAAACGCTCCGTGGTTCTTTCATCCTTACATTCATTCAGAACTTCTTGCCACTGCCATTAACCAAGGGCAATTCCTGTTCTTGTGGAAATATTTTTGTGAGCAAAATATTCATCACAACCAAGTACCCAGGCAACTGTGCTATAACTGTTTGGTTTTTTAATGTTTGCCAAGCTTATAGTAGAATTGCATTAATAAAATGTATGATTTATGACCATGTTTGCAGGGCACCATTTCCATTTCTATTTTCCCATATGGAAAGCTGGGGGCCACCTGTGACAAGGAATGGGTTTCATCTGCCTTCCTTAAGTGGTTTTAGAGATTTGTAGGAGAGTAAAAAGCTATACAAATATAGTGAATGATGAGATTGGGTTGGACAGCTGCCTTAAACTACTGCTTACGATAGTGGATGCACTTCATTTAACAATGCTCGAAAGGTGGCCAATAGCCTGTTATGCCCCATTACTGCTGTCTATAATCTAAAGCTTTTATAGCTGCGACTGTGGTTCTGTGACATGTTATAACCTTCCAATGACCAAGCTTCACATAAAACTGGAGTTCCAATCAGAAGACAGTTTCTGCAAAGGGGATTTAATTTGGATTGAAACCATGAGATGGAATACAGGATCATTCTAACACTACATGTCCCTGGAGTCCAGATCTATCTTCCTCATGTCATCCCCTCCTCATCAACTTCTGTTAATTGTTGAAAGGAAAGCTCTGATCTAATGTTTTAAAGCAGTGGTTCCCAATCTTTTTTTGACCAGGAACAAATTGACTGGGGACCACTTTGACCAGGGACCATTCTCCAACATTAGTACCAAAAGGTTTACAAATCAGTTTTTAGTCAACTTTAGATTTGGTTTGGCTATTTGGGGTGCTGATTCAGAACATTGCAATGGATAAACCACATCAGCTCTAGTTTCTGATACAAAACATAAGGCATCCAGTAGTCGTCATCTATTCACCCATAGAAAACCATATTTAATAATCTAGAGCTGATGTGGTAGTAGTAATCTTTTGTGAGTAGTCAGCCTCTCCCCTCCTGACATCCCCATTGCCTCGGCACTATAAGAGGGTTTTGTGAGACCAGTTGCTCTCGTTGCTGCGTGGTTTTGAGCCAACAGTATAGTAATGGTTAGGCCGCGGACCATACTTTTTGTTTTTGTGGACCACAGGTTGGGAACCACTTCTTTAAAGTTATCCACTCTGTAGCTAGCAGCAGCTTTAGGGAGGCAAATTGCATTTCGGGGTCTTGTAGTGGAGGTGGGTTAAATTCACCCTCTTTCCCCTAATCCTAATCAAGGCAGCTTGTCATTTTTTTTACAAAAACAATATTATTTTGGGAGCTCCAATGTAATATATAATTTGACTCTGAAACTCACTTCACTCTTCTCTGTTAATCACATGGTTCACTTTGTTAACTCCAAGATTTTTCTTCCTGGATTGCAATCCATTATTTATAGCAACGTAACATATCATTTTGCCTGAAGAAACAGAAATTATGTTCATCACAAAATATGCTTTTAAAAATGAGTGCTTACTTTCATCTCTCTCTCTCTCTCTCTTTTACTAGGCGAGGCCACAGTAAAGAAGAAACCGGCTTCAAAGACTCCGCCCAAAGCAGGTATTAATTCATTATTATCTGCTGTGTAGGTAATAGTAATAGTAATAACAACAACAACAACAATTCTGTATTATTATTATTATCCTGCACCTATCTCCCTGAGGGGACTCAGGGCAGATTACAGAGAGCCATAAAGCACTGGGATTGTGGCGCAGCTGGCTGAGTGTCAGCTGCATTAAGATCACTCTGACCAGAAGGTCATGAGTTCGAAGCCAGCCCGGGTCAGAGTGAGCTTCCGGCCAATTTTGTGTAGCTTGTTGTTGACCTTTGCAACCCCAAAGACAGTTGCATCTGTCAAGTAGGAAAATTAGGTACCACCTATGTGTGAGGAGGCTAATTAACTAATTTATGAGCCATAAAAAAGACTCCAGCAAAAAGCACTCCAACAAAGCATGCGGTGGTTCTCAACTTGTGGGTCCCCAGGTGTTTTGCCCTTCAACTCCCAGAAATCCTAACAGCTGGTAATCTAGCTGGGATTTCTGGGAGTTATAGGCCAAAACACCTGGGAACCAACATACTACCTTTATTTAGCTGAAAGAGTAACATGTAATCACCTCTAAACTCCCTGGACGGCCTTTTTTCTGGCTAATAAAAAAGATGAATTAATTGCTTCCTGGAAGTCTCAGTAAGCAGCAATTTCAGGTTTCTCAGGAACTGAAAACTGAGTTTGGGAAGGGTTACTTTTAGTTCTAGGAGGTTGAAGCCTACTGTGGGGTCTAAGGTGGGGAAATTGCTTGCCTACTCAGTTTGCTAAACCAGTCCACTGCTGGTCTCACAGAGGAATTGGCTTTATTGTCTATGAGATACCATGGGTTTTACTGACAATTAACCACACAGTATAAGTAGATTTGAATAATGTGATAACAGTTCAGAAACTAATTCTTATTCTGGGCCCAGCATTGTTGTTGTCATTACAGTGTAAAGAAAATAAATCAACAACCAGTGTTGAGTCTTCTGTCACATAAATGTGCACATGCTGAATCCAGTGCTGGCTAACTTGTCTCTCTTTCACACAGCAGTTGTCTCTCTTTCATACAGCCTTAATGGTCAGTTTGACAAGTCCTTCACAACTACCTAGCTTTCACAGATTTTTGGAAGCTCAGAAACAGGAGGCTTAATGACCTAGATTTTTCTGGCACTATGTTTGCAAATGTAGTTTTGGAACATTCACTTAAGCAGTGGTTCTCAACCTGTGGGTCCCCAGGTGTTTTGGCCTACAACTCCCAGAAATCCCAGCCAGTATACCAATTGTTAGGATTTCTGGGAGTTGACGGCCAAATAATCTGGGGACCCACAGGTTGAGAACCACTGGGCTGAAGTAATAGCTCTCATTTAATGTCTCTACAAAAGTCTATCTACAGCTCATCGGGCTGTGTTGGGAAGGAGCCTCACAGAGTAGGAAGAGGAACCATGTCAACCCATAGTGCAGCTTTATGGTTTAGACTTCATTTATCAACTAGGCTATGGCATTGCATTGGTGGGCAATGGAGAGGATATAAATTCTTACTCTGAGCCAAACACTGGCACACTAAGAGAACCCCTTTTTGTTTTTTTACAGCTGTTCCCCCACAAATCGTTCAGTTTCCAGAAGACCAAAAAGTGCGGGCAGGTGAATCAGTGGAGCTGTTGTGCAAAGTAGCAGGAACTTCACCCTTAACATGTACCTGGATGAAATTTCGGAAGCAGGTGAAGAAATTCTTCTTCGTGTTCCTCTGATCTTAGATCTCTGACAGAGAATTGCATTTGGAAAGAATGTTTACAATAACTTAACTCAGCAGAGCTCCGATTGTAAGCTCCTTTGGGGTGGAGACTTGTATAGTTGCTTTTTGGAACATTATAATTCAGATTTCCATTAACAGTTGTTTTGCCAAATGCTAGTGGTTTCTTTTAAGATCAAGAGGAAAAGCCATACCTGTGAGAGACAAAATTAAAAATAAACTAGAAGCCTCTTTAGTGGTTTGATGCAATACTGAAAGCATCTTCACTGCCACCTCTGATACTCACTTGGATCAACCAGGCTATATGTTGTCCAGGCCTTTTTTTCTTGATTTTTGTCCTTCAGGATAGATATTGCAGTTTTTTTAAATTATTATTTTATGTGCTGCTTTTTTAGAAAACTTTTTAATATTGTAAGATTAAACTATAAACGTGAGCATATAACACTGGTCAATACATATTTTGGTGCCTCAGATTAACTCAGTTCATGGTATATTTGACCTGCTGGTTCCAAAAATGTTTTTTTAATTTACTCTAGATTTTTGAGATACAGAACATATGCCATCTACTTGTCACCATCTGCTTGCCCATAGAAAACCATGATAATTATATGCAAAAAAATAAAGCTGATGTCATCTATCCAATCCAATTTTCTGAGTCAGCTCCCCAAATAATCCCAGAAATAAACCTGTTGTTGGGCTGTGTAATTTGTCCACTAAACTGGAAACAGATAATCAAAAATGGTGCTAAATCAACAGTGATGTCTCTTGTTGGAAACTCAGTGTGGTGTTCTAGTTTCAACAGCCTTCTCATTATTTTCTAGAATTTAGTGATCTTAGCACATATTAGTACCTTCACCAGACCATCCCAACAGACTGTAGTCAACCAGATACCAAAGGTCTACTAATCATGAATTCATCTCACAAAAGTGTATTAACTTGATTAGTGGTTCCCAACCTTTGGTCCTCCAGGTGTTTTGGACTTCAGCTACCACAATTCTTAACAGCTGGTAAGGCGCCTAGGATTTCTGGAAGTAGAAATTAGAAACATCTGGAGGAACAGAGTTTGGGAACAATTGATCTAGATCAGACATGGGCAAACTTGGGTCCTCCAGATATTTTGGACTTCAGCTACCACAATTCCTAACAGCTGGTAAGCTGATTTCTGAGAGTTGATGTCCAAAACACCTGGAGGGCCGAAGCTTGCCTATGCCTGATTTAGATCAATTGTTCTTAACCTTTGGTCCTCCGGGTCATTTGTTCTTCGACTACCAGAAGTTCCAATGTACATACCCCATGGGAAGGAATTCTGATTTGGGTACCATCATTTCCCAGTAACAGTCTTTCAATGGTGCATAATAGAGATGTTTAGGTTTCTCCTGTTTCACATCAGGAATTTATAGAGGTGTATTCAGGTATCCTGAATGGACATGACAAAGACAGAAGCAGAAAATGGCTAAAGAAAATTAAAATATGCAGCTGCATTTCCTTTGCAGTATGTTGTGACTTTGTTTTTCCTCTTACTGGATCAGCTACAAGAGGCTAGCATTCATGGTCTTCTGCCAAGACAGACTTTGCAACATAGAACGCCATGGTTTTTTTTTCTTTCTTATTGCCTCAAGATGTACGACAGGACGAGCCAAACTAAATAACCTTAATTTTAATGAAATTCTTTTGTTGAGCTTGACCAACTCTTATCACACAGGAAGTGGCTGAGGGGTGCCGGAGAGGAGGAAAGTTACAGCTCTTACTGTTTTCTCATTTGGGACGCATTGTGCTTTTCAATGAACAGTTAATATTAAGTATCTTCCTTTATGGAGCAAACTGTATTTCTTGAGATTGTGTGCGGTATTTCTCGTCTTGAATTTGTAGCAAAGTGTTTCAAAGCACATTTGTAGCTCTACATTACAAAACTGGATTGCGTTCCTCAGGGAATAAGATTTTCAGCTTTTTTTTGGTCCTAGTCCAGTTTAATTTACTCTTGTCCAGTCTGAGCAGCTAAAACATTTGCTGCCTTTTCTTACGAATCAAAACAGAAATAAATATTACATTTGTAGTGTGTATATGTATATTCATATCTCCATGTTTTGTGTTAAGTTACAGGCCTAGGTTGCATCTACACTCTATAATTAATGTAGTTTGACACCACTTTAACTGCCATGGCATAATGCCATGAAACCCTTATATTTGAAGTTTGGTAAAGATTATTTGTACTGTTTAACAGAGAATCTAAAGACCTTGTAAAACTGCAACTCTCATTCCATTGTATTAACCCATGGCAGTTAAAGTGGTATAAAACTGCATTAATTCTAGATTATAGGTGCAGCCCTAGTTGGGCTGTAAGTATGAAGTAATTCTTAGTTGTGCAAAATACTTTTTTCTTCGGTGGTTCTTTTCCTCCTGTTACAATGAAGTTGAATTCAAGTCCTAAGTAAGGGAAAGTCAGTAGTCCCAACAATGAGAAATCCCAAGTCTACTCCTCAAACTGCAGAAATGGCAGGAGAATACTATATTTTTTATAATATAAACACAACCTCTGTGTTCTAAGCATGAATAGCTATACTACATGCAACTTAAATATGTTGTGTGGAGCCGAAGTTCAGTTTCTTTAAGCCCAGCTGGTTCAGGTAACTCAGGCTTGTAGGGGAAATCTCGCTCTCTGCTCTCCCCTTGCGGTTACTCCCCAGGAGGACTAAAAGTAAAGAAAAATTAAATTGGTGCCACCAAGGGATTTTTGTTTTATTTAGTCCCTGCATAGAGAGTGAGAGGAAGGAAAGAAGGGGCATCTAAACATGAGAGAAAATAAAGGAGCAGTTTTAGGACTGGTGAATCTATCGCCATGGTAACATGGTAAGTAAACTCATGTGTTAGTCCAAGAGTTACAGTAGAGTTGTTCTAGATTAGGCTAACAATAAGATCCAGGCAATGCATAGTTTTGGTTTAATTTGTGTAGTGTAACTTTTTGAATACTTGTCTAAATCTGCCTGTTTAATTTGGCAGATCCAAGAAAATGAACACATCAAAATTGAGAATGCTGAGAATAGCAGTAAGCTAACTATTTCCTCCACAAAGCATGAACACTGCGGATGTTATACTTTAGTCGTAGAAAACAAACAGGGCAGCAGACAAGCCCAGGTTAATCTTACTATTGTAGGTAAGTAAGCTTGATTATGATTTAATGTTTGTCTTCTGTGTTTCTGGAACTAATGTATATTCTGGCTTTGGGTACACAAGCTTTTGTGTTACATAATTACATTCCATCAATGACTTTACAAGAAAGCAAACATCTCCAAGGACACTAATTAGCAAATAACATGTTCTCAGTTAAAAAGCAAAACCCTGTTATCAGCTGACCAGTGTTTTTTTTACTTGACCAGCATCTTTACACACTAATTTAAGCATGTAAGAGTAGAATTGTTCCAGACTCTTCAGCTAATTACTATAATGACTTTAAAATACTTCTCATTATATCTTCTTTCAGTTTTGAAAATGTTGTTGACTTCCTTCACAGTAGTTATTTATGATAGAACAATAACTTCTCTGTAGCGAAATGCTGTTTATACAACTTTGATTTAAAAACAACAAAAGTGTTGCAATCCTGAGAAAAATTGCAACTTCAGTAACTTATGTAAGGCTTTTCGATCATGCTTGGGCTAGGCTTAGAACTCAGGGAAGCCAAGTTAGGAGGCCACATCAGCTTTTAGTATCAAACATAATATAAATATGAAAATGTGTATATGTACCAGCTGACTTTAGAATTTAAATTTAACATCCTTGTGCTCTTGTAACAGCAATAGGCCATGTGTGTCAGTGGACAATTGGCTTCAGTAAGTCTGAATGCTCTAAACAATATAAACCGGAAAGAAAAGTATGTTTTCTCTCTATAGTATTGTAAAAGATTCACTTGCTAATGTTTGCTCAGCTATACAAAAGGAGCATGTGATCAACCATGGTTTGTGTTACCCATTTTTTAAACTTAAGCCATTAATTGTTTCTCTCACTCTCATTTTAGCAACCACTGTCCCAAGTGGATAGGTAGAAAAGCAAGCAAGGATAGTAGATGTCCCAATAAGACGGAGGCAGGTGGCTATAAGTTTGGCTACAAGTAAAATGTAATCCCCTGGCACTCCCTCAGAGCATTCAAACTCGATGTTTTTTTAATAGTGATGTTCAAACAGGTTTTGGTTTTTTTGCACCAACAGAGTTGATAACACAGAAAATTATTAATTTGCTTCCTTACATCCCATGGCTTTTAAAAGTCTGTCTAAAGCAGTCCAAATGAGGATCTGGTAGCTATTTCATATCATTCCGAGTGTGCTTCCCAATGTGTGCAAATGAAATTTGTCCTATGCATAGATAATAGGGAGTGTGGGAGTGAAAATTGGTACCCACATAGTCGATAATCCCTTCAATAATCCATGGTTTATACTAGAGTCCACAAACCTTAAAACAAACAAACATGGGTATGGGTTGCGGTTTCTGGCTGGTTAGCAAATCAAGACAAGGATAGATCAATACGTCAGACGAAGCCAGGTTTCACAAAGTGAAATCTGAAAATACAACTATGGTGGCTCCATTGCACATTTTGGAAAGAGATATCATTTTTAACTTACAGTGTCAATAGAAATTCTACTCTTCCTTTTAGCATTTTCTATAAATACTTATATTATGAGTTTGGTTATATGCATGTTTATTTAATCACAATCAGTTTGGTAATGAGTGCGCATCCATTGATTTTAACTTGGAAAACTTCCACAAGATCAATGGACAGGTGCCAGGGAAATGTATTTTGTTCACAGAAAGAGAAGAATTGGCATGCAGGAGAAGCTCAAGTTTTGACTTAGAATTAATGGACCATCTGACTGTTATATAAGAAGTAATAATAGCTGTTAAATCCATACATGAGATCACTCTTATTAGGGAATTCCAGCTTTAAGAGAGTTTCTCTAAAGGATATTTTGAGCCATCTAATGTTAGTACTGTATTATTAGAGGATTATCAGCATGTAGCAAGCAAATGTAATTGGTTATCACAGGATAATAAATATGAAAAGTAGATGTAGACATGACACGCAAATGGTAAACAGAAGGCACAGTTTATTTCTGCTTTTCTCCCTCTAGACCAGTGGTTCTCAACCTGTGGGTCCCAAAATGTTTTGTCCTACAACTCCCAGAAATCCGAGTTGGTTTACCAACTGTTAGGATTTCTGGGAGTTGAAGGCCAAAACATCTGGGGACCCACAGGTTGTGAACCAATGCTCTAGACCAAAGGGACCAACTTTGTATCAGGAGTGGGCACGGCTCTCATTGGAAAACTGGGGATAAATTATTTGCTGAGAGTACCTTTTGGAGTAATTTACAAACTTATACTTGTAGAATTGGGGCAAGTCTTTATAGATGTCAGAATTGTCCTTGAGTGCACACAGTGGATTTATCTATGGGCTGTTGTTGAACATTTTGTTGTACAGGTAGCCCCTAAGTAATGGGCAAGATAGGTTCTGTAGGTGTCTTCTTAAGTTGAATGTGTATGTAAATCAGAACAGGGACATTTTTTCAGTGTAACTCCAGCCCAGTAACTCTTACAGGGGCAGAAAGGGAGGTGAAATCTTCTGATCAGGGGCACAGTCAGCAAAACAAACACCAAGGGGTGTTAACCCTTCCCTATGCTATCCAAAGTATATATAAACACTTTGTATAGCATAGGGAAGGGTTAACACCCCTTGGTGTTTGTTTTGCTTTCTGTGCCCATGATCAGAAGATTTCACCTTCCTCTCTGTCCCTGTGAGAACTGGATTTTGAAAAATGTGTCTTGTTGTGGAAAGAAGGATTGACGATAAAGCTTCAGTTGAGACACCTTTTCCCCATGATAAGAACTCTAGAACTCTTCCAGGAGTGAATTTCCCTTTTGATGGGTAGATTTCTCTCATTTCCTGTTGTTTCACACACACACCCATCCTTAACTATAAGGTATTTGCAAGTCAGATGTTTGTAACTCAGAAACTGCCTATATTGGGAAAACTGTCAGGAATCTTGCCATTGCAGAATCCTCCGTGAACTACAAATTCATGTTTACAATAGCAATTTGAAGGGAGGTCTGACCTCTTTTTTTACAAATTAAAACACAGAGGCAGAAAATTTAAATTCAAAATTTCAGATTGTGTGGTTTTTAATTAGTTTTAATATTTGTATGTTTTTAAATTTTATGTTCTTAATGTATATGTTTTTTTTTTACTATATGTCTGTTTTATGTGGTAGCAAATTGTTGTCTATTGCAAGGCTGCTCTGAGTCCCCTTTGGGGTGAGAAGGGCAGGGTATAAATACAGTAAATAATAAATAGATAGATAAAATTGTATAGATACACCTTTGATAGAATCTCTGTGTCTATGGAAATGAAGTGAGATGTCCACAAACTGATTGCTTATTTTGAGCCATTACGTCCCATTTTCCCCATTCTGGATATAAAAAGTGAGATAGCAAAAATGGAAAATTTATTAAAAGGGGGAAAGAGTATCTTAGCCCTATCCATTTCTGTTTACAAAAGGAATAGTGAAATTTAGATACTTAACCTTAGCCAGGAAGTGACTTTATCAAAGAGAAAAGCAGACAATCTTGGGTGACTAAAATGAATCAGAATAGAGAAAAAGGCCAGGTTGTGGGTCATAAAGACCTAGATTGCGAAGTTAGATGTATAGCTGGCAGTATAAGGAAAGACAAAAAGTACTGTAAAAAAGTACATCTGTTACTGCTGAAAGGCTGTTTTTGTTGGGGGAAAAACCAGGTTTGCATTTTAAGGTTCATTTCCATCCATTTGGAAGAAAAGAAAAAAGAAACAATTTTCTAAATTACGAAGCAGATTCTGAATAGACAATCCTTTTTTAGTGGATTTTATTTCCCATGAGAGAACTTTAAATGGAAAGCTTGGGAAATATTAATTTCTTCCTTGTCAATGCTTTTCATTGGATTTATTTTGTTTTGTTACATTTTGCCATCACTCATTACTTTAATAGCCATGAAGGCAGCAATAGAAAAGTCCCTTCTCTTAAGAACAAAAATCAGGTTTTGAGTGACTGTAGGGAAGCATTGCTCTCCTTGATCTCAGTTTGTGATCTGGTCAACAAAAGAGAAGATATCCAACTGTTGTCCAGGAGCATGATGTCTGCTGTTGTTAGGTTTTCACCATATCTGCCCCCTTTCCCAACTCCTGTCCCCCAAATTGCAGAATGGGAGAATACTATCATGTTTCTGAGACTTAGAAGATAGTTCCAGGGTATACAAAAAGCATGAGGAATCACTAAGGTATATTTACCTTAAACCAGTGGTTCTCAACCTTTGGGTCCCCGAGTGTTTTGGCCTACAACTCCCAGAAATCCCATCTAGTTTATCAGCAGTTAGGATTTCTGGGAGTTGAAGGCCAAAACATCTGGGAACTCACAAGTTGATAACCACTGCCGTAAACCATTCTGAATTTAAGCTGTATGCCAGAATGTGAATGGACTTAAACAAATCCAGTTTGGTCCATTTGGGCAATCCCTCCAGTGTTTCCCAGGTAAAAACTTGGACACATATGGTCAATCAGCATAAAGCTGAAGTCAAGATGGCAAAAAATATTAACGAGGAAGAGCACACAGGATAGAAAAGGCTGCCACAATTGCTTTTGCCTGATCCTATTGGAAAAGGCAAGATTCTGCTGTTCTCTTCTCCCTCAGTGAGTTAACTGAGTGCACGTTACTTTTGTATTTTGAACTCAGTTTGGACCAGTTGGTGTACATTGAGGATGAAGGGGAGAATTGGGAGGAGTGAGAATCTTGAAAAACATGTAAGCTGAAAAAGTGGGCTAAAAAGGATTAATTATTACTGTTCTTCAGATAGTTGAAGGGTATGCTATCTTGAAGTGAACATCTCATGATGCTAAAATTGGGTAAAATGAACAAAATCACTCTTTGTCCCAGGAAGTAACTTCCTACAAGACATATGCTTAGCTTTTAAACTTTTAAAGGAAGATAGACGCTTTTGAAAAGTGGTGTTGGAGGAAAATTCTGAGAGTGCCTTGAAGAAGATCCAACCAGTCCATACTTCAGGAAATAATGCCCGGCTGCTCACTGAAGGGACGGATATTAGAGGCAAAGATGAAGTACTTTGGCCACATAATGAGAAGACAGGAAAGCTTGGAGAAGAAAATGATGCTGGGGGAAATGGAAGGAAAAAGGAAGAGGGGCTGACCAAGGGCAAGATGGATGGATGGTATCCTTGAAATGACTGGCTTGATTCTGAAGGAGCTGGGAGTGGTGACGGCTGACAGGGTGCTCTGGCATGGGCTGGTCCATGAGTTCACAAAGAGTCAGAAGTGACTGAATGAATAAACAACAACAATAGTGAAGGATTTGGGTTAGTTTGCCTTGTGTTCATTTTCGTCTCTGTGCTCTATTATGCACTTTGATCCAAAATTCTGAAGCGTACATTTTAGAAGTGTGAGTATAATGATATGATGAAGCCATCCACAACTGAGTAAGGTTGAGATGGTCCTTTGGGCCCTATGGCATCCTTTTCCCCTTGTTCAGTAGTGGATGGGTTCAGCATGTCATTGTATTCACTCTTCTAAAATGTAACTTCCCAAGCTCTGCCCTAACCACATCCTGATTTGGAGGCTGAAACAGTGCCAATAATTTGATCTTTGTCCCTTGGAAGAAATCTAACATTTTTTATGTCTTTCCTTTGACTTCTTTTCAAAAGCCTATAGTCAGTCCATTTTAGTAGAGGAATAGATTGCATTGCCTTGACGTTAACTGAAATTATCTGCAGACTAGATGTGGTTTATAGTTACTGGAGCCAGAATTGCTAAATGGTCACCAAAGTGGTTGCTCTACATTCCTTGATTGTTATCCAGTAATCTACTCCTTTCAATGCCAGTGGTGATGTCCAAGCCTCAGAACCCAACTGACATAGATAGATCAGGGTATACAGTATTCTGGTTCTTAATATACTGTTACCCATAAAGTCCTGCCCTCTTAGTTTCTCCCTCACAGGAAACACATTCACATGCTTGCATAGACCCCAAATGGCCATGACCATATACATTCCTGAAAGCTCAAACTTCTTTTTTCAGAGATCAACTTTTAAACCATTATTGTTGTGCTGAAAACTTTAACAGCACTTTCTCTTAATCATCAAAGAAAAAAGAAAGTAAAGAAGAGGCATGAGACACAGTCAAAGTATTGCAGTGACATGACACACAGAAGCTCTTATGGAGAATGAAATGTGGTACCAAACTTAACTGTAATTTGAATATTGGGGAAATATGTTCCTTTATGAGGAAAAAGCTCTGTTTACTATAGAATTTTATAGCTGTAGCAAGAAATATCCTAAGCACTCTCTTGCTCTCTCTGGGTGTGTGTATGTATGTATATGTGTGTGTGTATATATATATATATATATATATAGAGAGAGAGAGAGAGAGAGAGAGAGAGAGAGAGAGAGAGAGACAGAGAGAGAGATGACTTACATGTTTTCCCTTATCCGAGTCCATGTTTATACTAAAGATAGAATTCATTAGCATCAATATGGAATGGTACCTTTAAATTACAGCTCTTTCCTCCCTTGGAAATATAAGCTGCACAGTGTGTGTTTTTCCCAGTGAAAAGCAGAATGGTTTACAGTGACCTCTAAGCCCTGTGAGTGGTAACATAGAGTTCAGTTATGGCCTTTTATGGTTTCATTTTTCTCCCACAGATGAATCTCAAGTGCAGCCTTTGCCAGCAATGTCGGCATGGACATCATCCAACAGGCTTTTGCAGTATATTAAATACCTTCTCTGGCTAAACAGCCCAGGCCATGGAAAGGAATTAATTGTTGCTTTACGTCTGCTCTTCATCTGGCAGGGAAATATTGCAATAGCTAATAATAGTATGGAATGGTAATATGATCAGTCAAATTAAAATATAGCCAAGGTACCGAAAGGAAACTACCTTGTGGTCGCAGCTTCCTTTCTGAAGCAACTTTTCAGTTCTGGCAGAGAATCCCTAAATGGCTGAGTCTTTGTGAGCAAACCTGGCAATGAATATTTTGATGCTGTTAGCTAAAAGAACTGTAACTAGTACAAGAATGGGCATCAGGGTTGCAGAAGCAGAGTTGTGCATAGAGATTTGCATGCACAATTGCTTACATATTGTGTTGCCATCCAACATAAGTGTTGTGTAGCATATTTCCTCACATTGATATTATTTACACCATCCAACCTCAAAATAGAAGGCTTACCATCGTATTTGGGCCATGCTGATTGGGGGATTCTGGGAATTGTAGTCCCAAAAACTTTTTTTTGCTGAGCTCTGTTTTTCCCCTTCCTGCATTCATGTAGAACCCCTGGAAATTTTAATATCATTAATCTGAGCCAAATTAAACATGCTGAATGCACACAAGTTATCCATTGTTCCAAAATACCTCCCAGACACATTTTTTCTGGAGCACGCAAATGTGGTGCATCAGAAATAAGAGTTTTGAAGCTAGGTCTTACCCCATGATACATTCAAGGAGATTTCGGCAAAAGATTATTCCAAATGTGCAGTTCTTTATGCACATGTTTGTTAAGGTGATAAATCCTTTTCTGAATGTTCAGAAGGTTTTAAAACAACTGAGTATGCATTCTGCTTTTCAACCTTTTGATTTCCAGTAATGGTTGTGCCTCCAATAAGAAAGGAATTATGGCATGTTTGGAACAAATGCTAATCCTTTTTGGTGAAAGAGGGACAGAACATCAAAATGAAGTGTGGGATTGGTGTTAAGTGAATCACTTAGTTGTAATCTAGAAGGAAAGTTTGCTCAGATTTTTGAACCATGGTATAATTATCTTGGTAGGGTTTTTTGTTCTAGTGCTGCTCTCAGCCAAAATTAGAGTGAGCCAAAAAGGTCACTTGTCCTTCACCAGATTAATCTGGCTCCACTAACGTGTGTGTGTGTGGCTTGCAGAGTGCATTGAACCCACTCATCCTTTCATGCGCCAATATAGGCAAAACCTCTATTACATCCCCATCTATCTAGTAAAGGAGGGTAGTTCGCTAGAGCTGCCTGCAATGAATACAAGTTTCTGTAAAAAGAAATCTCAGCCTGAACATTATCTTCTGCATTTGTATATTTTTGCATGCTGCCAAAGTTTTGTTCCTATATTTAAAAGTGGTAACATTATGGTACCATAAGATAGGACACTAAAAAGCTTCTTAAAATAAATTACAGATTTTAAAAGTTGATTTTGGAACTTAGTTCTACAAATCTAATCAGTATAAAAAGAGGAAAACATCCATGTCCCTCCATCATAACCGAAAACCCTTTGTTGGTTTGAGGTCTGCTAGTTCTCAAATACAATACAAATTAGTCACAACATTAGCAACCATAAATAATTTTACTTGCTATTTTTCCAGCTGTAATGATTTTCCCCATTGCTTCAGGATGTTCTGAAATGCAAACACAAGAGTACATGTAGGGACAAACAGTACCTTTGTGTTTGCTGCTGCCATTTAGCTTTCAGCTTCCTAGAATCAGATCTCAACAGACTGTAAGCACTGCAGCTACTTAGTGAATATGTTTGTGATTCTAGAGTTAATCTGTGTCAGTTTATAGTATTTTCCTCCACAAGGTGATATGTTTGAGGGACTGGCGTGGTAGAAATGCCTTGTTTATATTTTTTAAAGCCTTTTTGTTTACCATTCAAGTACAAATCCTTGGAGAATCCATATGCTGTAATCTTAGGTTTTTAAAACAGTTTCATCATTATTTCCTAATTTGTCTACTTCTAGAGTTTTCAGTTTGTATCTCCCTTGACTATAGCTAGCTAACTTCTCTGGGTTTTTTTAACCATTGTTCTTTATTTTAAACTAGCTTGGTTACCTAGCGTTGCCTGGGTTATTAGAAATAATTTTTTGATTTTACAAAATGTATAAGGTTGTGGGTATGCTACAACATACATCAAGCCAGGTTAACCCCCTGAAATTCATTAATACTTAAAGTTTGCCATGCTGGGCAAGTTTGCTCTGGATGCATTATCAATGTGCTCTCTGACTGCAGAATGAATTACAATTCTCACGATGGTGGGTCAGTCCCGTCAAATCCCTATAGTACGCTCAGTTGGTCATGGGGGTTCTGTGTGCCAAGTTAGGTCCAGGTCCATCATCAGTATGGTGCAGAGTGTTCTTGGATTGCAGATGAACTATAAATCCCAGTACCTACAACTAACAAATGTCAAGGTTAATTCCCCTCAAATCCCACCAGTATTCAAATTTTGGCATATTGGGTATGCATGCCAAATTTGGTGCAGATCCATTGTCAGTAGGGGTCACAATGCTCAGTGTAGGTCACAGTGCAAGGTGAACTACAACTTCCATCATGTGGAGTCAATCCCACAAACATCTCCAATATGTTTAGTTGCTGATTAGTTCTGCTATGTTTGTTGTGCAGAATTGAAAAGAATAGGAAAGTTTCTAGTTTAACTGGGACCTTCCTCCAGAAAAAAATGAGGTGATCGATTTGTTTGCCAACCCCCAAAATAAAGAGACATGAGAATAAAAGACACAACAACCAAGTATTTGGATTCAAATTGGACAACTTTTATTTAACGTTACCTATTTAAATTCTTAACCTAACTTAAGGGTGTCAGGAACTGGTGTATCCAAGCCCAGGTAGGATCACTACCCGATTCCAAATAAGATTTTTCGGGCGAAGCACCTGGGTTTCCTGGTAATTAAACCCGGACCACCACTAAGGGAAATGAGTGAGGAGTCTCTCCCAAAGATCTTGCAACCAGACTCCTTCCATTTCAAGGCCATTTAACTTCACTTCACCCTTCAACTAAACTTACAGGTGAGTGTTTAACTTAAGGGCCTATCACCCCTTAAGGGGGTGCCTTAGGTGCACACCGACTAAAGGATTTCCCTAACTATTTTCCGCCACGGATTGGGGGCAAATGTCTATTTTGCCCCCATCCCCCACCAATTCCTCTCACATTCTCTTCCATAATTGCAGATAAACCCGATCCTCCAGCGGGAACACCTTGTGCGTCAGACATCAGGAGTTCTTCCCTCACCTTGTCATGGTATGGTTCTTCTTATGATGGTGGAAGTGCAGTGCAGTCCTATACTGTGGAAATCTGGAACTCAGTGGACAAGAAATGGACAGATCTCACAACCTGCCGTAGTACTTCCTACAATGTCCAGGACCTGTTGCCTGACAGGGAGTACAAATTCCAGATCCGAGCTGCTAATGTGTATGGAATAAGTGAGCCAAGTCATGAATCTGAGCCAGTAAAAGTAGGAGAGAAGCAAGAAGGTAAGCCTTTGTCACCATTAAGATTGTGGTTGTGTTTGTCTATCGTTGGGCCTCCACTTTCAGTGCAAATGATTTCTTTTCTTATGCGAAATCTGCACAAGTTTACACTGATTTTCTGTGATGTATCTACTTATGGTCTGCATGATTAGACAATTCAAGGTTTTTATGTGGGGCATGAACATATCAGAGGGCATGGGTTCCAATACCTTGGAAAGATATCTACTGTATTTACTTGAATCTAGTGCGCCATCCAATGTAATGCACACTTCCATTTTCAAAACCCTGAAACCAAAAAACATATTTGCTGGCAAATGTAATGCACAGGTTCAAAAAGTGCACTCTTTGAAATTTGGCCAAAAAAGATGTGCATTACTGTTGCTATCTGCTGAAAGCAGCTTCTTTAAAAACCAAAGTGTTAGGACACCAAATCTTCCAGCAATTGAAAAGAAAACCAGAGAAATAGGAAACCTTCCCTCAAGGAGCCTCACCGGTTCATCCTGCCTCACCTTCCTTAGTTGAATCTATACTGTAAATGAATGCAGTTTGACGCCACTTTAATTGCCCTGGCTTAAGTCTATGGAATCCTGGGAGTTGTAGTTCTACCAGTTCTTTAACTTTCTCTATCAAAGAGGGCGGGGGCCTCTGCAAACTATAAATCTCAGGATTCCATATATTTAACAATGGTATTCTCAGTATTATCAGACAGCATGCATGCTTACAGTATAGGATAGGTGCATCTTAGGGCCCTTCCACACAGCCATTGAACCCAGAATATCAAGGCAGAAAATCCCACAATATTTGCTTTGAACTGGTATATCTGAGTCCACACTGCTATGTATTCTAGTTCAAAGCAGATAATCTGGGATTTTATTCAGCTGTGTGGAAGGAGCCTTGGGTGAATCTGCACTGGAATGAATGCAGTCTGACACCATCTTCACTGTTATGATTCAATGCTATGGAATCATGAGGGCAGTAGTTTACAAGGTCTTCAGCCTTCTCTGCCAAAAATGCTGGTGCCTCACCAAACTACAACTCCCAGGATTGCATAATACTAAGCTGTGGCAATTAAAATTGTTGTCATACTGCATTAATTCTGCAGTGTAGATGCATCCTAGGAAGGCTATGCTGCGGTCCTAGACTTTAGCCTCCAAATCTCCTTAGAGCTGCAAAAGGGAACCACAAGCAAATCTCATGGAAAACTCCCCTGACTTACTGAAAGGAATTATGAGGACCAAATACTCCAAAGGCAATCACCCCCAAAAATAGGATCTAGAATCTGTACCTGCAGGATTCTGGGGCTTGTAGTTTAGGGAGAGGTTTTCCCATTCTCAGTAAGAGAAGCCCTGGGCACACTGAACTACAAGCCCCAGAACTCTGCAGGTTTTAAAGTGGGACAGGAAAGTCCTATCTGGTTTTGCTAGGAAAAGTCAGTGTTATTTAATGTTTGAAAAGGAGACCCTCAATGGTAGGTTATATTTCAGGGAAGGAGTTGGAAATAATCACTTTGTGGTTCTCCCTTGGGCAACAGCTTCTGCCTTCTCCTTCTCTCCCTCCCTCCCAGTCGGGGAAGAATGCTGGACTTCTGACATTTCCCAAAGTCTTCCATTTGACTTCACCTTCTGGGAGCTCTCTCGTACAGTCCTACATCCCAGAATATAAAGGCAGAAAATCCCATAATGTCTGAGTGTGCAAATATTCTGGGATTTTCTGCCTTGATATTCTGGGATATAGGCCTCAGTTTTCTCCCTCTCTCTACCTCTTACTCCTTCCCTCTTTCCTATCCAGCTGGGGAGGAAGACCGGGATTTGGAAGATTTGCCTTCAGCTTTTGATGCTTTTCTCTTTCTTTCACAGGGAGAGAAAGCAGCTCAATTTCTCTTCTGTTTCCCAAGTTAGGAGACATGAGAGAAATGGCCAGGAAGTGAAAGTGGCACCATTTATCTTCGGTCCCCAACTTAGGGCATGAAGGAGAAATAGCTTGGGAAGAAATAGCTTGTGCCATTTCTCCTCCTCTCTCAGCTGGGAGAGGATCAATTGTGAGGCAAAGGAGAAAGGCTTGGGAAGGGAAGCCCTGCTCCATCATCAGGAGAAGGCTGGTGAATTTGCTAGTCTCAGCCTGATGGAGGGGCAAAGGCACCGTTTGGCACGCAATTGCAATGCACCATCAGATCTAATGCACGTCTCAATTTTGGCAAAGCAATTAAGTCAAAAATGTACATTAGAGTCAAGTAAAATGATTTAACTTAGATTTGGGGATTTTGGTTGAATATTGTTAACATTCTCCTGTCAGATCAGTGATACAGTTGAGGAGAGCTGGTGTAGCACAGCAGTAGCACAGCAGTTAAGATCATGACCTGGAAGTATTATCTCAGCCATGATTTCATTCCCATAGCTAAGCCATACTCATCTATTGAAAGTTCCTATTTTAATCCCTGATCTCTCCCACTTAATCCTCAGTAACCGGTGTGTGCAAGGGGCCAGTTTCCCCCTCCTAGACCTGCAGCCGACCTCACTGCCTGGGCAAATATACTTTCAGAGTCCTCACACATATTCTGAACTGGTCCCAGAAACAAATTGATGGACCAATAGATTTTGAATCCTGTTAAGTCATGCACACAGCAGAAAAACAAAATGCAGACAGCTATGTGATGGAGATTGGAGGGCAGTCCCATGTTAAATCAATCATATGAAGATGTTACTGCAGAATGAATGTGTCTAGGTCCACTTTCTCCAGAAGCAACTGTTAAAAGGCACTTGTGGCTACCACATCTGTCTAAGCATCCAATAGCAGCATCGGATGCAAAAGCACTGGGCCTGAACTTTTAGGGTAATTGTCACCCCATCAGTTTATCAATAGGAGTTATTGTTTTACAAGAGCAAGATGTTCTAGGCAGGTAACATTTGATTATGCAAAGGGGACAACTTAGGATGGGAACCATATATGCTAAATATATTTTAAAATTTCAGTATTAGACCTGTAAAAGGCCTATTGGAAAGATTCCGTCCTTATAATATTGAGGATTTATACATTGGTTTGGAGTGCTCACTGGTTTTCTAATCACTTGATCTGTGTTCATAGTTACAAAAGCCATGCAGAATGGATCGACATCCTAATCAGCTATTCTAAGTGAGTCTTTAAGCCTGCAGATGTAGCCTGTTGAAGGCTACCTAGGAAGTTTGTGGCTGAGGCAAGATTAGAAGCAGGGATTTCCAGATTCTTAGTTCATCGACTTAATGTAACACCTACTATATTTAATTTGATTTCCTGAACAGAAAGATATGACCAAGCAGTCAAAAATTCAACACAAATCCGATTTTAGATTCTCAGAATTTTAGGAGATGACATAGTTGGAAATGAGACAAATTAGGCAATAGATGCCAAGAATAAAATAACGTGGTAGCCCTACACCTGTGATACATTGCACAAGGCTTAATCATATTCCTGTTAATAAATGTACAGTGGTGGCCCCTTGGCTGTGGAACGCCCTCCCCAGTGACATCAGGCAGGCCTCATCCCTTCTAGGTTTTAGAAAAAAAGTTAAAAATATGGCTTTGCACACAAACGTTTGAAGAATAAGTGACTACGGGCTTCGACATGGTTTGAATATGAATTATTAGCAAGGATCTTAGATTAATAGAACTATGCACTTTATATGTTTTAATCTGTTTACTATTTTAATGTGTTTATTGACTAATTATTAACTGTTTTAATGAAAGGGGTATATTATGGTTTTTACCGGTATTGAATCGTACCGGAGTTGTAAACCACCTTGAGTCCCCTGAGGGGGAAGAAAGGCGGGGTATAAATGAAGTAAATAAATAAATATATAATACAGGCTTCATGACAGCTATCAGTCTATTCATGATCCATCTGTTTTGTCTATCAAGAAAATTTCAGAACCCAATAATGAAATTTAACATTAAGTGAGCATTCACAAAACTTATGATGTTGATGTGTTTAGTCCAGCAAGAGGCCTTTAAGAGAGAACACATCTTTTCTTCTTTTAAATATGGTATAAGGAGAGATTGCTTGTGGGATATATGAACATATTTGTATATTTGTTAATAGGTCCCAAAGAGGAAGAAGAGCAAGCCGAAGCATCAGATGATGGTAAGAAATTTACTGTCTCAGACCTTTTGTATTTCTCTCATGTGAATCTTATTATAATTGCATGAATTTTTCACCTGTCACCTTCTAGAAGAGAAAGAAACAGAGGTTGATTATCGGACTGTGACTATCAACACAGAACAAAAGGTTACAGAATTCTACAATATAGAAGAAAAATTAGGATCGTAAGTTTAACAATATTTCTTTTGCACTTGCTGTTGTAGGGATGCTACATTGTCTTTATGAAAATGAATCACCATGTTGTCAACTTTATTCATGCTTGGCCCTGGTAACAATTCCTGCAAGAAGTTTAATCTAGTTGGGAAATGTAGTCCAAAAAACTAACTTTTCCACTCTCTCTGGGTACATTTTATCCAAGTGCTGCCATTGAGATTTAGCCTCCTTTATACATTATCTTGTCAGTTTCTCTTATTTATCTCTGTTCTTCCTTGCTAGCTTTGCCCTGCCTTTCCAAGTGGTGGTGGTTGTTGTTGCTGCTGCTGCTGCTTTTAGGGAACTGAGCTCTTGGTTCATTAGAGAAGAATAAAAGAATGAAAACATAACATACATTGTGTTCTCTATAGCTCTCTGGCCCTTCTTTTATTTTGTCATTAACTAGTTAAATCATCGTCATCCGGTTACCCTGAATAAAGGCAGCCTTACATTTTCAGACTTCTGGTTTCTAACCTGACCCTCAAGCTCTTTCTCCATTTCTCTCTGATTATCATGATTGGTACTGAAGAAGGGGAGCAAGCATCCTTTCAGATTGATATCATCTCCCCATCCTGATTGCTGAATCCTTGTGGTTACTTGAAGTGAGGCAATTTTTCACATATAAATTGTAATGGATCCATATAGTTTAATCTCATGTGTGTGTCCCCCTTTCTTTCAGTACTCTAAAAGCTTTTGGGGAGATAAAGCAGGGTAATAATAATAATAATAATAATAATAATAATAATAATAATAATAATAGAAATCCAGAAATGCCTATAGTGAAGATGGAGCCTATAAATATATAAAGACCTATCAGTATTTCAAACTAGCTTAATTTGTGCCGTGCAGTTTGATTGAATCCTCCGTTTCCCACCATGCCCTTTTACAGCTTCATTATATCCCCTTAGGAATAATAAGATTAAACCTTTTCCCTTGCCATTAGGAAAGATCCCTCACTAGGATTAGTTGTAATCTCAAAGCATAAAAGCTAAAAGTTAATAGCACCTGCTTAGAGGAGGCTAGCTCAAAATTGCCTGTCTTTGGCTCTATGGATACAGCTTTCCTGCCCTTCAGGAACAACGTTCTCATAAAATGTATTCCTTAGGCATGAACACCCCCACCCCCCCTCGGAAGGCCTGGCTTTTAACCAGAAATGCTGAATTCTGTCCTATTGAGTCTTTTGCCTTTGGCATACATTAACTGGATCAACCAGCCTTCTGCCAGTGGTAGTAGGATCTCAGATGTAATACTGCTTGGCAGATATGAAACCTATAAAATACATGTAATGAGTTCTTAGGCTGTGAAAACCCACTGAATTCATTTCTGCATAAATGTTTGATGGGTCACACATTTTAATGCACAGTATAGAGTCAAAGAATTGGAAGGGGGCCCATAGGCTCTCAAGTCCAACTTCCTGCTTGATGTTAGACTCACATACTGAACCCCAGCTAGAACAGCAGGTAGTTGTTCATCCTCTTTTTGAAGATATCAACAGAAAGAGATTCTACTGCTTCTCTGGGTAGTTGGTTCCATTGCAAAATCACTCTTGCCACCAGGAAGTTTCTTCTAATATTCAATCAAAATCTACCTCCTATAATTTAATGCTATTAGACCTGGTTCTACCTTCTAGGGCAGCGGAAAACAAACCTGCACGTGTTCCCAGTTGGGTCAGCTGCAGAGGAAAGAAACATTGTCCAAAAAACGGATGAGGCTCCAGAGGTATTCCTCCCAAAACTGGTGAAAGATTCTTCCACATCTCCAACCAGCATAACAAAAAAGAAAATACCCTGCTATAAAAGCCAAAAATATCACATAAAGAGACATGCGCCACCATGTAGCACTCTTGATGCATTTCAGACTGAACTTTCTTCACTTTCCTTGTAAAGCTTAAAAATGCTAACTAGCACTGTTTCATTTTTGACTCAGAAAGATTCTGGAAATGCATCTGAAATAATACATTGATGCAGCTGTCTTCTAGCCATATCAAATGCAAATGATTCTCAAAAATTAATTTCTTGAGTATGGGAGGATACTACTACTAGTAGAAATGTGCATGCTTTTCACATCAAAGGCTTTGGTTCTCAGTATCACATTGAAAAGTTCATACATTGTGTGTTACTCAAAACCTCTGCTTGAGCCCCTGAAGGCCTCTGGCAAAGTAAACTAAACTGGACTAGTTTGGCATCTGACGAAGTGAACCAGAGTTCACAAAAGCTTCTGTTAGAAATTTCTTTTTTTCAGTTAATCTCAAAGGCACAACAGGTTTACTTTATATATTTTTTAAAATGGGTTAGGTTGGCAAACACAGAATCTAATTTTTGTATAACTATTTCACCATGTACTTATTGTATCTTCCCATGTGACTCCTTGCTCACTGATTTTAGTGCCTTCACATCTTCTGAGACCAAGATTCACAGGAGTAATTCCAGGGCATCAGACAGCTTGTTCTGCTTTTATATGTACATGCACAACATGTTGTGTACTGACCCATAAACACAAGTAAATGATTTCATAGGAATTATTCTGCACTTTTCAGGGGGAAATTCGGACAGGTTTTCCGGATTGTGGAAAAGAAAACTGGAAAAGTTTGGGCAGGGAAATTTTTCAAAGCCTATTCAGCTAAAGACAAGGAAAACATAAGGCAAGAGATTGGCATTATGAATTGCCTGCACCATCCAAAGCTTGTCCAATGTGTAGATGCCTTTGAAGAGAAAGCAAACATTGTCATGGTCTTAGAACTGTAAGTATGAACCAAAGGAAAGTGTTGTTAAAGCCTTTCATGGCCGAAATCCCGGGGTTGCTGTGAGTTTGCCAGGCTGTATGGCCATGTTCCAGAAGCATTCTCTCCTGACGTTTCACCACATCTATGGCAGGCATCCTCAGTGGTTGTGAGGTCATTCAATGCTAATCAAGGTGGCCAATTGCAACATTCACACTTGCCTCAAGCTGACAAGAGTTCTTTCTCCCACCCTGGACATTCCACAGATATGTAAACCTCCCTTGTCTAGTTTCCAACAGACCTCACAACCTCTGAGAATGCTTCTGGAACATGGCCACGCAGCCCAGAAAACTCACAGCAATTCAAAGAAAAGTACTTACATTAAAGTGCTTATACTCTTGGAATCGCAACCTTATATCCTTACAAAGGTTTCTTGAGACTCTAATATGAATGTTCTCCTTCTTTTCACTGTATATGACATTTATTTTGTTCATTGTACTCTGTTTATTGATTTCCAAAACTGCCTGTTTGCATATCCATAGCTTGGAAATTTATTCTTAAGGTGAATAAATGTAATGACATGCTGCAGTTATTTGTCACTGAAGCATGGTGCTGGATACAGCATTATTCTCCACAGCATTGTGCTACCGCTCCTTAATTGTGTATTTTAATATTGTGTCATTGCCTTCATTCTTCCTAAAAGTAGATTCCCAATTTCTTTTTAATACCCATAGATTCCCATCCCCCAAGATGAATTACAAAAGATTAGTCCTAGGAGCATTTCTGTTGAATCATTCACTTTTGAGGGCTGTTCTGTTCTCTGGAGAACTTTAATCCAGAGGATGTCAGATGCAATTTCCAATCTGGAATGGGACACCTTCTTTCTTAAAACAGGAAGTTAACATTTCTCCATTCTTCAGGTCCACTATAGGTCTCCTGATATAAGATTGTTTTTATTACAGACTAATTAAGTTGTGTTATATACTGTTTCCATATTTCTCACATACTGCATGTATTTATATATGCAAGTCTATATTTTTCAGTTAAAAAGTGATCCCAAAAGCCTGTGTTGATTTATCCATGGGTCAGTGTCAGTATCTAACTTAACTTTTGTCAAAACAGAAACTCCCCCTCCCTCTCATAAAAGACCATTTTGAATGCCTAGGCGGGAAAATTGTGGTGGTGGTAGCCATGGGAAGTGGCCCCTGAGGCAGTACTGACATTTTCCCGTCTCTGCAGAATGGCCCTTGATTATCTATGGGTCATATCACAATCTACAATGTTGGCACTAAAGCCTTCCCTCGACATACATGAGGTCAATTTATACACCAATATTGGGAGTGCTGACTGGGGCAGGAGGGTGAGAAACTCAGTTCCATAATTTTCGGTGCCTGCTATTTTCTATTTTACTCTGTTAACAGGGAAAGAATGGAAAATGTCAATGTCTTGGTCACAAGAGCCAAATATTAAGATAATTCTAATATTCTCCAACCTGGTGCTCAGAAAATTTATAGATTACTTGAATTCTTCAGGGGAAAGATGAGGGTTTTAACCCAGCATATCTGGAATGATTCAGGACGGGCAAGGCTGCTCTGAGGCCCCATCTACACTGCCATATAGTGCAGTTTAACTGCATTGCAGTACATTATATGGCAATGTAGACTCATATAATGCAGCTCAGTGCAGTTAAACTGCATTATATAGGAGTGTAGATGAAGCCTAAGAAAATGGTGTACAGATTTCCCTTTCCTCCCCCTATCCACAGCCCGTTGCCTGAAAAAAGCAGCCATAATTTTAAAAGTTCTTTAAAATCTTATTTTATTAATATTTGAAGGCTTTTTTTTTTTTTTTGCTTAATGTGTGAAGACAACAATATTGATCCCATAACCTTTGCAGGCATGACTGGTAGGGATGAGAGACAGGGCGCTCTCAATGCTGGCTCCTCGGCTGTGGAACTTCTTCCCTATTGGGATTTGATCGGCCTCTTCCCTCCTGTCATTTTGCAAACAAGTGAAAACTTGGCTTTGGGAGCAAGCATTTGGCCCAGCATAATTATCTGTGCAGTACAATTGGAATTGATCCTGGGTTGATGAATATGATTATTTGAGTATCTGGCTTTAGATGCACAATTGTTGTTTAATGTGTACATATGTTGTTTTAATGTTGTCTTAAATTGTTGTTTAATTGCTTTTAATTGTTATTGTTGTTTGGGCATGGAACAATGTCAATTATGTAAGCCACCCTGAGTCCCCTTCGGGGTAAGAAGGGCAGGATATACATGCTGTAAACAAATAATGGCATGGCACAGGGATGTAATCATGTTATGTAACTTCTTTGTGAATTGAAGATTTATTTTAGACATAATAATTGACCAAGTTGCAGATAGTGGGTAAAATAAATTATATATACATATAAAGCCATCCTACTGAGGTTGGAACCAAGATCTGGCAGTCCTAATGGAAAATAAAGGAATATGCAGAGTTTGTTGGATTGTGTACAGCATTGAACAGCATTCATTTCTTTTACCTCCTGAAGCTACTATCCTTCAAAAACAATTTGGAATAGAGTACATGTATTCTACACATGTACATACTGTCTGTCCTAATTTGGTTGATTTTTTTTATTTCCACAAACATTTTAAAAATATTTTAAAATGTTTAGTTTTAACATTTTTAGTGGTGGTTGAAAGTTCTAGTCTTTTTCGTTTCATTGTTATGTTTAGATTTTAAGTTGTTCAATTCCATTGAATGTTAATGCACACTGTCAGAAGATATTCTCTGATGAAGGTACTGTGCATGTGCATGAACATTTTGGTCAATAAACAAATAAATAAATTCCTCATAGATGCTGGACCAAAGAAGTGCTTCGAGTGCACTGAAGCAGCCCTCTGGCTCATTTACTCTTCCTCACACCTTCCTCTCGCAGAATCCACAAATTTAGCACATCTAGGTTGTCTTCCCATGTTTTTCATAACAGTGTGGTGTACCTATTCAAAATCCTTTTTTAAAAGAATCTCCTTTTAATTTTGTTTTAGTGTTTCTGGCGGAGAACTCTTTGAGAGAATCATCGATGAGGACTTTGAACTAACAGAGAGGGAGTGCATTAAATACATGAAACAGATCTCAGAAGGCGTGCAGTACATTCATAAGCAGGCCATTGTTCATCTGGATTTGAAGCCTGAAAATATTATGTGTGTCAACAAGACTGGCACAAGCATCAAGCTAATTGACTTCGGACTTGCACGAAGACTAGGTAAAATAAATAAATGCACAAAGTGTTAATGCAAGCAGTTTCATAAGGAGCATTTTCTGATGCATGTGACCTCAGACCCACTGTTTTGCCTTCAAAACGGACATATATCCCATATGCCACGGGGTTTCATGGAAGACAGGTTTGAAGGGATTTACACTTTGGATGACCACGGTTTCTCCTACATTCACTTAGAACAGTGGATGCCACACTTTGGTCCTCCCAGTGTTTTCGACTCCAGCTCCCAGAATTCCTGAAAGTTGGCCAAGCAGCCTGGAGCTCCTGGGAGTTGAAGTTCTACACAGCTTGGGGGGGGGGGCAAAGGTTGAGAACCACTGACTTAGAATGATCTTATTCAGAGGTTCCAGAGCTTCAGAGCAGTCACTGAAAGCCTGACTCTCCATTGCCCAAAGAGCAGTGCCAGCTGACTAGACTTTAGCAGGCGACTGAGTTCATGTGGAGGACAGACAGAACTTAGTGCTGTTCTGTCTGTTCTGTTAACAGTGGGAGTGAAGATAAGGATGATTGGGAGATTTAGTCTCTGTCCTGCAAACTGACCTGATCAACTCTTCCTAGTCTGATGTGTCAATCAGGGTGAAATTATAGTTCAGGCTTTGCACTTTTCTAAATGTTGCAGTGTGTTGTTATCACATAAAACTAGAAAAATACATCTTTGGTGGAAAATATTTTCTTGATTGTATGCATTTACATAAACTATGTTTATAAATACTTCTTTTCTGAATAAATTAAAAATACTAAATTAAGTACATGATATACACTACATTTTGTACAGGTTTGTAACAACATCACACATTGGCCAAGATGCTACATAGCTAAGTGACTCCACTATGGCTCCATTCCTTTGCTGGGGTGAGCAGAAGTGGTCAGAAACATGTCTAGTTTCCCTCCTTTTGTCTGAGGCAAACTGAGGACATCTTCCACCAAGCACCAGAGGTCTCAGCAGACGACACCATTTGGCCTGCATCAGACCATGGAATTCTTGCCAGATACTTTTCCAATTCCCTTCACTCTTTACCACCTAGAAAGCATCCATTCATGGGGACTATTCTAATTAACCATTTGGTTTCTGGTGCAGGTGGAAGAGAATATCCACCTCTGTAATGACTTTAAAAAGTAATACACAGGCAAGATATGGACTTAACCTGTGTATGGCACTTACAGAATGCCCATCACAATTTCATAACCAGCTGGAGGAGAATAATCAATACAAACATAACTGACGTGGATTAGAAATGAACTGATCTCTTACATAAGTATCTGCAGAAAGTTTTCTTTCCAGAATAATACTGGGTAAAATTTTGTCTGGCGCTTACAAAATTATTGGAGAAAGCAATGTCTAATAGAAACCTAGCTAAGTGGTGGTCTACTTATTCTGTTTATCTACACAACAACTATGTGAAATCGAGATCATCTCTTGTCTCCAGGTAATCCCACACAATTCTTGAGAGGTGATCTGAATTTAACGTCTGCATTCTAGTCACTGCACCAAACCAGTTGGGCTCTCCCCCGGCATCTAGATTTTGGGGTGAACTTTTCAAATAATAATAATAACTTTATTTTATACTCCTCCACCATCTCCCCAAAGGGACTCAGGGTGGCTTACAAGGGGACAAGCCCATGTTACAAATAAAAACAGCATTAAAATCAATCAAATAAAAACATAACACAATCACAAGACATCACCTTAAAACAATAAGCCTGGGATAAAAGTCAAAGCTGGGATCAGGCTCAAATAAGTGCAATGATTCTGAAATGGAGCCAGTGGAAAGTGCGGCATTCAAATGAACAGAGGCTGAGGAATACCCTTTAAAATGTTTCGAGTAACCAATAGGTGAGCCAGAAATAAAGTGCATAGGAATAAAATAGTTCTCTGGTGAAACTGCCTAATCAAAGACACGACGGAACATCCAAGTTTTTAATTGCTGGACCAATTCATTCCAGACATTTTTTTAGTTTACCTTTTTCATAAATTCCACAGAGATAACACAGATAAGTCATATGTTTTCAACCTCAGATATTTCTTTTCCTCTCATTGTATTGTTACCAGTAATTAAAGAAATGGTACAACTAATCTTCTGAGCTTTGAAGTCATTTGAATTAGTTAAGACCACTGGGCCTTTTGTGGTCAGTTTCTGCAAATAATTAGTTGTTCTGTTTTGCCGGGGAATGCCAAAGATATAGCAAGATAGTTTTCCTGACCTTTTTTGGTGTGTTTAGAACTTCACATGTGAGGGCTGGGGGGCTTTTGCCTTGTGTGGGGTGTCTTCTTTGACTTTTTTTTCAAAGAAGAAATTGATTCGTTCTGCGTAGGGCACTAAAAGGGCCTGTTTCCAAAAATACTTTGTCCTTGTCCAAAGTTGATTTATGTAATATACAAAATGCTGAGCTAGAAAAGTGGGAAGTGATGACCTTCACATTAGGTCAGTTCCATGGAAATATAATCCTAAACTTTGTTTCATATTCTTTAAGACATTTGTCAATCTAAGAAACAGAGTACTGAGCCAGATGATATTATTAGGAAAGAGAGTCTTTCTTGATATAAAAAAAAATATGGATTTAATAATTTCCTTTTTTTTCTTTTCGGATTACAGTTCACAAAATTCCACAGCTAATTTTAGACTAAGCAGTATTTTCTTCAGAGCCAACATGGTCTAGTGCAGTGGTTCCCAGCCTTTTTGACCAGGGACCACTCTCCCAACATTAGTACCAAAAGTACGAATCGTTTTTGGTCAACTTTAGATTCAGTTTGGTCATTGGTTTGGGTGTTGATTCAGAAAATGGCATTGGATAGACCACATCAGCTCTAGTTTCTAATACAGAACATATGCCATCCAGTAGTCGCTGTCTGCTTGCCTACAGAAAACCATAGTTAATAATATCCAATGTAATTTTCTGAATCAGCACCCCAAATAACTCCAGGAAGAGGACTAAAAACAAAGATACCAAGGCGCCCCTGCTTCCAAGAGCCACATGGATCGGCTACGTTCAGAAGGAGAGAGGGAGGAGGAGGAGGAGGAGCAGTCAGGTGGCTTGTTGTCATGCCTTTCTTGGGTAGTCAGCCTTTCCCCTTTCAACATCCCTGTTGCCTCAGCACTATGAGAGGGTTTTGCGAGACCAATTGCTCTCATTGCAATGGTGTAGTAATGGTGAGGCCGCAGATTTTAGTTCTTCGGGACCACTAGTGGTCCACGGACCACAGGTTGGGAACCAATGTTCTAGTGGTTTCAGTGTTGGACTAAGACACCGAAAGATCTAGGTTTGAAACCCACTGGGTGACCTTGGGCAAGTCATACATTCTCAGCCTCAAAGGAAGGCAGAAGTAACACACACACCCCTCCCTCCCCCAAACAAATCTTTGCAGGAAAACTCTGTGATGAGAATATCTTTAGTTGCCATAAGCAGGCAACAGCTTGAAGGTCCACAGCAGCAACAACACATGTACCTCTGCCTGAGAGGATGGGATCCTACGACCCTCCAGAAGTTGGGCTCCCAGTACCCATCAGAACCTGTCAGCATGCCCAGTAGCTAGGGATAACAAGAGTTGTATGCAATACCTAAACAGCTACAGGTTGTGCATACGTGTACTCCATCAGTACATTAGCCCATATTTAGGTGCATGCATTCTGTCTTCGTGCAATGCTGAAATTGTTAATCCAATAAAAAGCTTGGGTTCTAATTGTATCACCTACAGAATTGGGGGAGGAGGGAACAGTGGTACCCTTCTTTCTTTTCCAGTTCTTTATCTAAAATTGTTTAGAAGTGGCTCCCCTCTTCTCCCTGGCCATTGAATGTACTGGTTATAGCTGAAGGAAGGTGCAGCAGGCATCTTGGAGGCCACAACCTGCTGATCCCTATTGTTGGGTCTACTGGGTTGACCTGGGGTCAAACCGCTGTTTAGCTTTGAAACAACCCTGGGTAAATTACAGTTTCTCCACCTGTTTTATTTCTAGACAACTTGGGGACTTGCCCTGGGGCTCTATTAGGCTAAAGAGAAGTATTAAAAAGAACAAAATATAGGAACGAGATTATTTTTCACTTGGTGCATTTAGCATATTTTTCTCTCTCTCTTACATTTCACAGAAAATACAGGTTCTCTGAAGGTCCTCTTTGGGACACCAGAGTTTGTGGCGCCAGAAGTTATAAACTATGAGCCTATTGGGTATGCTACAGACATGTGGAGCATAGGAGTCATCTGCTATATCTTGTAAGTAAGCTGCTGAGTCAGATCTTGAAAGTTTCTCAAATCCTGTTGATGAAAAGCTTATTTCTGATCCAAATGGGCAGGCAGACATATATGTGGAATAATAGAATTGGAAGATCAAGAGCCATCCTTTCCAATCACATTTTCCAACCCCATTTGGCCATCCTGACATATAGCCTTCCAGATTCTGTTTAGAAATCTCCAAAGAAGGAGACTGCACACACTCCGAGGAACCATATTCCACTGTCAAATAGCTTTTACCAACAGGAAGTTCTTTATATTGCTGAGGCAGAATCTCTTTTCCTGTAGTTTATTTATTTATTTATTTATTTATTTCGGGTGCTTCTACCCCGCCCTTCTCACCCCGGGGGGGACTCAGGGAGGCTTACAAAAGCGAGACACAATTCGATGCCCGCATCACAAACAGCAAAGGACAATAACAACAGTTAACACAATAATTTTAGCAATAACAATTAACAGAAGACCATAAAACCAATAAAAGCAATAAAATCAATACAAACCTCATTAATGGTCAGCGTTTCAGGGTCTCATAGTTTAAGTTCCAATTTCCACTAAATTGTCGGTCCTATCCATCTGGTTTCCATATCTAATTGTCAGGGTGTCCAAAGGCCTGGTCCCACAACCACATTTTTACCTTCCTCCTGAAGGCAAGGAGGGATATTGATGCCCTGATTTCCCCCGGGAGTGAGTTCCACAGGTGGGGGCCACCACTGAGAAGGCCCTGCTCCTCGTCCCCACCAGCCTCACTTGTGATAATGGTGGGGTTGAGAGCAGGGCCTCCCCAGATGATCTCAGATTCCGGGGTGGGACATAGAGGGAGATACGTTCGGACAGATATGCTGGACTGGAACCGTAAAGTTTGAATTTTTCACTCATTGTCAAGGGTTTCATTTACACTGTAGAATTAATGCATGGCTCAGTGATATAGAATCCTGGAATTTGTACTTTGACAAGGCGGAGACTCCTTGTAAAACTGAAAATCCCATGATTCCATAGTGTTGAGCTATGGGCATTAAAGTAGTGTCAAAATGTCTTATTTCTACAATAGTCTCTGCATCCAGAGAAAACAATCTTGCTCCATCTTCAAAATGATATTCTTTCAATTATTTAAACATGGCTATGCTATCACTCCTTAACCTTCCCCAGGGTAAACATACCCCTAAACTGATTCTTGCAGGACATGGTTTCCAGACATAGCGTGCATTCCTGAGCCTCTTTATATACCACAGCAGATCCAGGCATTATACAGCAAAGCTCTTTAATTCTGGGTTATACTTCAGCCAAAAACTCCTCTTTCTTCAAATCCTCTTTTTATTGGAAACTCCATGGAATATATAAATCCACATCTGAATCAAGGCTTATTGACATGTTAATACCATATTTATGAAGCAGAGAATGATATATGTTTTCTTATTAAATTCATAACATTTCCACCTATCAGTCAGGCATAGTCCTTCACAAGTGCCGTAGTTCCTTCCTAGAAATCAACCTGACATTTGCTTCACTTAATCATTGGGAAGCATTGTGTATTATTATTATTATTATTATTTTAAAAACAGTAAAATGAATTATTTTGCCATTTTCTATTGTCACATAGATAGCTGGTGCCTTTCCTGATTTATCAAGTTGGATCTAGAATTTCTGGCCACTCAAGTATTGTCAATCTGGATTTCCTTTTGTTGTCTGTTAGAGCAATGTCTGGAAGCTAATAGCCCACGCTGCAAACACTATGGGGACTGTAATCTTGACAGGTGACTCCAATGAACTCATTATAGTCCCATGTGCATTCCATAAAACCGTTTTGGAGAGCTGGGAAACCTGGAACTGGTTTTCAGAGAGCCCAGAAAACTGCAAAGAGTCAATGTATTGTCAAAGGCAATCACTGGTTAGTTGTGAGCCCGGAAAGCTCCCAACAAACCAGTGATTCTGGCCATGAAAGCCTTTGACAATACATTGAACATCTCTACAGGGAGAAACTGTTCCAAGACACAAGGAAATTGGCCTAGTTTCCAACGGGCGAAATGTCAGGAGAGAATGCTTCTGGAACATGGTCATACAGCCCAAAAAACTCACAGAAAACCTGCAAAGCATCAGTTGTACCATTCCTCAGGCCAGCTCACCATTGGTTTTGGAATTATTATTTTTATTTCTGGTAGACCATTTATTAGTTTTCTCTTTTCTCAGTTTCCACATTTGTTTTTACTCTGAATTTCTATGTTTACGGAAATGTCAAGTTAAAACTGTCATATTTTCATGCGCTTTTCTGATAGTGGTTCTGATATTTGAGGTTTTTTTTGTTCCTGTTGATTCTTTTTTTCTTGGCATTGCTGCTTTCCACTTTCTTTTATTGCATAAGTACTGTTTGATTTAGAATGCTATGTATTCTAGAGCTTGCAGATCCTGTCTGATGTTGAGAGCTAAGCAAGATCAGCCTTGGTTTGTAGGCTATATTGTAGACTATATTTTAGAAGAAGAAACTGGCAAAACTACCTGAGTATCATTTGCCTAAGAAAAACCAATGAAATTAATGGTGTCACATAACTAAACAGGCAACCCAAAGGCAACCCACGTACCATATGATTTGATGTTGTTATACCTGCTGTTAAGATGCTCTGAATCTTCTTTTTAGGTAAAACATTTGAAATATAAATGAATGTATCAATCAATATAAAAAACTGTAACAAAGCAATTCTTAGTGTTTACTTTTATTCTTTGTTCCTGAAACTATATTTTCCAGTTCTTCGTAAACTCCCATTTTAGTAGTTTATTCCTTGTGGTGTTAGCTGTAATTTGGATTTTCTCCTGAATCCTTCCATTTGGTCTGAATTATTGTATTGCTTATTGTTTTTCTGTAGCTAATCTCTCTTGGCTTTGAATGAGTATTGGGTTTTTCATGATTCTGTAGAGCAGTGGCTCCCAACCTTTTTTGTGACCAGGGACCACTTTGACCAGAGACCACTCTCCAACATTAGTACCAAAAGGGTTACGAATAGGTTTTTGGTCAACCTTAGATTTGGTTTGGTTATTTGGGATGCTGATTCAGAAAATTACATTGGATAGACCACATCAGCTCTAGTTTCTGATACAGAACATATGCCATCCAGTAGTTGCCATGTGCTCACCCATAGAAAACCATATTTAAAAATTTAGAGCTGATGTGGTAGTAGTAATCTTTCATGGGTAGTCAGTCTCTCCCCTCCTGACATCCCCGTTGCTTTGGCACTCTAAGAGGGTTTTGTGAGACCAGTCACTCTCGTTGCTGTGTGGTTTCAAGGCAACAGTGTAGTAATGGTTAGGCGGCGGACCATATTTTCGTTCTTGTGGACCACTGGTAGCTGGAGGCTGTAGAAATTTAAAATATTCAGTATCACCCTATAATTTGCAGGAACAGCTCCGTTGTAATACTCTTTTCTGTTTGGCTTTCTATCAACTGGGGATAGCTGGGGATAGTGTTGCAGAGCTGGTTGTTGCAACCACTAGTCTGCCTAGGGATCACAAGTACAAATCTGCTACTCCTTGCACTACTGGAAAATGAATGGAATCTCAGTGACATGATCTGATGTCATACTTGATTTTAGTCAATTTTTAGATGGACGAAAGCATGGAGAATAGGTGCTGTTACTCTCTGATAGGTGCCCAGTGTTTTCAAGTAATGCAGATGAGAGTGTTCTAGCAAAGCACACTTTGACTCCAGATACTGATTGTGATATTGGAAAACTGACATGGGTTTCATTCTAGCATTGATGCAAACGATATATGGCTCTGTTCTACCTTTGTTAAAATAGATGCCCTTAATAGACTTTTGAGCTTGCCATGGTTCCCTTGCAAGGAAGATGCCTAGTCTAAATACCTGGAAAATATTTTTCCAGTAAACAGTTCACTGTTAGTTATGGTAGGAACTGCACAGCTTCAACTCCAACCTACTTTCTCCTTAGCAGTTGGTGCTCATGTTTTTACTTGGACATTAAGATTGCAGAAACGAAATAGTTTCCATGGTTTGTAAAAATATTGCTCCATCACTCTTTTACATGAGTATTAAATAAAACTGAGATCAGAGAACTGGGTCAAGAGGATTCGCGATACAGACGGGGACATTCTAAAGATAAATTTCATTATGTGTTCCAGCAGTTTCTTTTCCTGTACTCCCTATGCTTCCCCTTCCAATTGAAAAAAAAAAAACACACCATGGTTCTCTCCAGAACGATATTCAAGGCAGTGTTTTTTTAAAAAAATCTTTATGTGCCTGTTTATGCCTTCAAGTTCCCTTACGTCTTATGCAATGGAATAGTTCTTGTGGCCTTTCAGGTCTATAGTTCAGAATAGAGCAGGCTTTCGAAATGGAATTATTTAGTGTTGTATAATTGTTATTTTTATTAAAGCATTCCTTGTTCTGTCTTTCCATTTAGAATTGGCTGGTGACAACTTGTTTGTTGCTTCATACCTTCAAGTTATCTCTGAATTATGGAACTCTATCATAGGATTTTCTTGGCAAGATTTGTTCAGGGGAGATTTTTCATTGCCTTCCTGTAGGGCTGAGAGAGTGTGACTTTCTCAGTGGGATTCCATGGCTGAGAGAGGTTTGAATGCTAGTGCCTCAGCAGCCTGGTCCAACACCCAAACCATTATACCATGTTAGCTCACAAACAATAAAACAGTATTGAATAAATACCATAAACATGATATAGTGCTGCTGATCCAATGTCTGTTGAAAAATAAACATCTTTGGTCACTGTCAAAAGGCTCTCCCAGTCAAAACAGAATAGATTTTCTAAAGAAAAAAAATGACAATATTCTTGTAGACTAGTTTACTTCATGTAAATCCTTCCCTATCATACAAAACAAAAAATCTCAAATGTTTTCTTATTGCTCTTTTTATTTATTTCAAAATATTTTTTTCACATTTGTGAAACTTTTATTGCACAACTTTGTGAAACTTTTATTTCAGAGCAAAGCCTGATTGCACTGGCATTTCTGCATGGAGTTCTTAAAAGTAGAAGTATTGGATGGATTTGATCGGTCATTCTGTCCTGTGTTTGTTGCATATGTGTACTTTCCTCTCCAGTGGGGAATAAAGGTTCATTTTGCAGAGGTTTTTTTGGTGCCAATTACGCAGAACTTGAACAAGAAGAGTGCTAGAGGGCAGAAATCGGGCAGCATTCATGTTGAAAAATGAGAAAGGTAGTCAATATTCTTTATAAGCCTATTTCAGCTTTGTTATATAAACAAGACCTTGGGAAAGTTGCTTTTGGGGATAACTCTCAGAATCCCCCAGCCAACATGGAAGGTATCCATGCTTCCTGGTCGATTTTAGGAGAGATAGTCCAAAACATTACTTGTTTGAGATCTAATAGATCTGTTCAGTTGCACATTAATTGTTTTCCATTTTCCTTCAGTTGTAACCTGATCTCTTTAAGCTGAAAGTATTCTTGGGCAAGACATGTAATTATTTTAGATTGTTCATGTGCCTGTCTCAACTCTTATCTTTCTACATCGCCTAATCAATTTAAAGTTCTGTACATACTGCACTCTTTATTTCAGTAGCAATGAATGGCATTTATAACATTCATACAGAGCTGCAATGAGAATAAATATATTTTCTATCTTATGCTCCGTTATTTTATTATAACTCAGGAGCATACACTGTTCTCTCACCACCATGAACAAGTACTTTGAAATGTTTTCTCCAGGATTTTTGTATATTTCCTATTCCCTAAGATCAATATAGCAACTCCATTTCCTATGTAATTATTATAAATATAGACAGTTCAGTCACAATTGTGAGAAGGATTTTTGAGCAGGTGAGCTTGGTACTTGCTGCTCACTATCAAGGGTGCTGCTTTCCCTTTTTAATGGTTCCTCATCTTTAAACCAAACTTGGATGAAACACTCCTTCAGGTGACTTTTCAAGCAGAGATGTATGCTATGAAGTGGAACACAAGGGCACCCTGTCTAAAAAGGGGTGAATACTCCCCTTCCCTATATTGTGCACTGGTGTGCCATTGTTGTGGCATCCATTCAGTTTGCCAGGTATCTAAATTATTTCTTTCTGAGTGGTTTATGTTGGGTCATCTGGACCCATGATTTCCAGCATTTACTATCATGGATTGTTGCACCCCGCATTAATAAATAGCAGTAACATGAACACTGACACACTGAAGCATGCATATTCACATTGCCTCCATTTAATAATATGGGGCTTGCTTATCTGCCATTTTTTAATATCCATGGTGAGTCTCGGAACCAGACTCTCATGAATACCAGCGGGACCACTGCATACAAAAACTGAATTATTTAGTTTTCACATTGAGTGGAAGCACTGGATTTTGCCCCCTCTTTGCATTCTTCTTAAAAGACTATTCCAGTTCACTGCTTCCCTCTTGTGGCTAAATAATAGAATAACACCTCCCAGTACTTTAAAATCAACTCTGGTTATGGAGAAAAATTAGGATTTCTCTACACTCATATCCCTGATATATGTAGGAAAATATAGAAAAAGTTGATCCACAAGCACACACAACTTTCTTAGACAGCCCGTGCCCTCAGTTTGAGTCCATACTATTCTCAGAATGCCTCCTTTAATGTAACTATTTGGTTGATCCGTCTGTTCAACTATGGTGAGATCAAGTTATGATATACCTCCCGTCTTGAGTTCAGTATGCATATAGCCATTGAATGTAGATTGAATTTCTCACATTGCATTCTCACATTGTTTTTATTTTTATCCTCAGAGTCAGTGGGCTTTCCCCTTTCATGGGTGACAATGACAATGAGACTTTAGCCAATGTCACCTCCGCCACTTGGGATTTTGATGATGAAGCTTTTGATGAAATCTCTGATGATGCCAAGGACTTCATAAGCAACCTTCTAAAGAAAGATATGAAGTAAATATCCCTTACATATAACCCCTTCCATATTAAGGTTGATATGTCCGCATAATATCCATGCCCTGTTTTTTGTTTTTTGTTTTTGTTTTTTGCTCTCAAAGCATAATTGCATAAATTTCTCAATATTACCACAATTATGCTCCTTTTCCTACCTGTACTGTGGGACCCCAGTGTGTAAATTGCTGGGAGTACTTTTGCCATACAGGTCTTATCTCAATATACATTGTTCCAAAAGTCACTTTACCTTACTTGACACACACACACACACACAACCTGTTTGGCAAAAGTTTGTTAATTGAATAGATGTATCAATAAAATAAAAAATAAAATAAAAACCAAAATAACAACAACACGTGCATATGAAACCATTAACATTGCTGGAAGAACTACAGTTTTGTGTCTACCTTTTTGTTTTCTGTTTTTGACCTCCATAGTTGAACTACTAGTTATCCAATAGGAAAAATATATTCTATTCCTGAGAATAATATTACATAAAACTCTCATGGCTTGGAAAGTGAAGTAATTGCTATTATGAAACCAGATATTAAATAAAAGTTATGGTGCATTTAAACTGCCTCTTATCAATTGTAATGATTCCTTTATTAATGAACAGTGCAATTCACCAGCACATGATGCTTGTGGAGGCAAATAGATGTAGAGGACTCATTGTTAAATTTATACTTGCCAGTGAAGCATAAAATATAATTGCAGTCATATGGTCATTTTACTGATTCATGAGCTTTCCATTTTGTGAAACATGACCTTTATAAGAAACCACTTTAGGACAACAATTAGGCCTGGTTTAAATGTCATCTCACTTATTTCTATATGCTTGCTTCTTAGTGATTATATGTATTTTTATTAATTAAAATATGAACTTGGACCTCAGGCCAAGAATTTAAAAATGCAACCTAAAATAATATTTTAAAGCCAATAATCTACATTAGCTATGCTAAATCTTAACCGAACTGTGTTTGGTAAGTTTGTTCTTTGTTTTGCATGCCTTCAAGCCATTTCTGACTTATAGAGACCCTATAAAGACTCTCTCTGAGGCTGAGAGAGTGTGACTTGTCCATGATCACCCAGTGGGTTTCCATGGCCTAACAAAGATTCAACCCCAAGCCTCTAGAGCTGTAGTGCAACATACAAACCACTATACCACTTTTTACTTGTTCCAAAATGAGACCTTTTCCAATACTGCCTGAATCTCTGGGGTGAGGACATCCTGTAATCCACTCACCCCAGTTAAGAAGGCTCTCTGTTTCATCTCAGCTTCATCTCACCAGTTCCAACAGTGAAACATAGAAGTCATCCATTCTGCACATCTGAATAGTCTGTGAGGTGTACAAAGAGAGAGGTGCTCCTTCAGATATGAAGACCACAGCTATTTAGAGCTTCAGAACTCCTCACCAGTGTCCTGACCTCAGAAGAAGCATATTGGCAGCCAGTGTGATTCTTTAAACCTGATATTTATCCCATAAGTTTCTTTTAACTGCCAGTTATAGATAGAATGCTTTTACCCTGGGAATAGTAGGAGGCAGTCTCACCAACGAAGAGACCTTGAAGGCCGGTAGTCTAGAACAGGGGTATCAAATGCATTTTCACCTAGGTACCAGTATTGAAACTGAGCTTACCCAACTGCATCTAGAATGTAATCTAACAATCCATGTTGCGATATTGGGGAAGTAAATAGGATGCTGTATGCGTATGAATTTCACAAAAATTGCATTGCACTTCTGACTAGTCTCTATCTAAACTCACAGGGACCGTTTAGATTGTACTCAATGCCTTCAGCATACTTGGCTGCAAAAAGACACCAAAACTATGGAAGCCAAAAAACTGTCCAAAGATAGAATGAAAAAGTACATGGCCAGAAGAAAATGGCAGGTAATGCATTGTATAGAAACATGTTCAAATCCCATGTCTTTCATATCTAATGCTCATGACTTTGGGCATAGGGTGGGGTAGAAAGTTTTTGCTGTGACAGACTTGTTGTTGGAGGATGTTAGAGAACATCTAAAGCTCTCTTCTTTCATCCCATGAACTGCAAAGAACATAAATTAAGACTAATTACAGGACATTAATCATGTATAGGCTTTATTTGGAATACAGGCAGTCCCCACTTTATGAACCAGAGAGGTTCTGTAGGTTTGTTCTTAAGTTAATTTGTATGTAGGTCTGAACAGGTAATTTTTTTAAGTGTAACTCCAACTATTTGTGTGTGTGTGTGTGTGTGTGTGTGTCATAAGCTTTGGATAGCATATGGAAGAGTTAATACCCCTGTGGTGTTTGTTTTGCTGTCTGTGCCCCTGGAAGATTTCATTTCACTTTCTGCCCCTGTGATCATTGGATTTTGAAAAACGTGGCTTGGTGAGAAAGCTTCAGTGGTGACACCTTTTCCCCATGATAGTAACTCTTCCAGGAGTGAATTTCCCTTCCTCGGGGTAGATTTCTCTCACTTTCTGTTGTTTCACCCCTGTTCGTAAATATGAGTCCTTTGTATGTTGGATGTTTGTGACTTGGGGGCTGCCTGTATATATATTTGGAGAGTCTGTAAGAAAGATTTCTTGAGACAATAGAAAAAAATGGAAGGAGATTTTTCTCTGGGACATTTTGAATGACGCTAAGTGAAAAAGCAGGGGAAATGAGAGGCCAAGAATTTTGTCATTTTGAAATGATTTTGTTAATACTCCATTCCTGTCAGTCAGAACCCCCTTTTTCTTTCATTCTCTATTCTTGCTTTTTAAGTGGAAACTCTTAAAGGAATTGCTCCTTCAAATGTAACATGGATATCTGACAGTACAGGCTGAATCTGACACTGCAAGTTTTGAAAATCGTCTTAGAGAAGTTCTCCACCTCCACTTAAAACATGTCTTTCGGACCTCCTTTTGTAACATCGAATGATCTTGAAGATCTTGGTTTTTCTCAATCCTCTTTTTAGTTTATAAACAGTTTGAAGTTGAGGAATAATGAGAAAGGATTAAATTCTGTGCCATTTTCCAGAAAACAGGAAATGCTGTCCGTGCCATTGGAAGGCTGTCTTCTCTGGCACAGATGTCTGGCCTCAGTGGGAGGAAGTCATCTTCAACTTCACCAACCAGTCCTGTTAATACAGAGAAGATCGAAGCTGAAGGTATGGAAATTTGAATAGCATATGCAAACATAGTAGTGGACTACTTTTTCTCATACTGTTGAAATGTATATCGCTTATGACTGTGCAGCCTGCAGTGCCATTTTGTCTTTCACTTACTTGGTTGCTATTGTTGTGTGCCTTCGTGTTATTTCTCACCTATGACTTACTCTTAAGGCAAACTTGTCACAGGGTTTTCTGAGCAAAATTTGTTCAGAAGAGGTTTGTCATTGCCTTCATCTGAGTCTGAGAGTGTGTTATTTGCCCAAAGTCATCCAATTGGTTGCATGGCTGAGCAGGGATTTGACTCCTGGTCTCCAACATCGTGATCCAACACACAAACTATGCTGGTTCCCCTTGCCAAATACAATTGCTTTCTAAACCTGCCCTTCTCACAGTCTCTAGATCTGAAAAATTATTTCCTATATCCAGGTTAAAAATATGTGAGCATATTTTAATTCATCAACATTGGGCCTACTTTTGCATTGTCATGTCCCATACGCTCCTGCCATTTTTAGCAGTTTTCCATACAAATCCTCCTGAACACCTGAATAAATACTACACTATAATCTTAAAGGCATCTTTTGCTGCCATTTAAAGTCTCAATCTTACTAGGAAGATAAAGTTGGCAAACTTCAGTTGATAGTTAACATCCATCACAAAGTGGCATGCAATTGGCAAAGATAGGTGTGCCTTTAAATACCAGTTGTTAGGAAACAGGAGGAGGAGGCTACTTTTGTTTCCTAACAACTGGAAACAGGATGAGTCTTCCGCTTCTTTTTCCAACCTCATCCTCCTAACAACTAATTTGATATCCAACATATCCAGCATGTTGGATATTTGATTGGTAACAGTGCAGGGTTTCAGGTTGATCCAGTGCACCTTTCTGATAGAGAGCTTGTTTGTTTGTAACACATTCCTGCCTTTCTTTAAAAAATAATCAAGGCAACTATGCGGGCAAAATGCTGGCTTTAGTTTATAAAGCCCTAAAACAATGGTTCTCAACTTGTGGGTTCCCAGATGTTTTGGTCTTCAACTCCCAGAAATCCTAACAGCTAGTAAATTTGCTGGGATTTGTGGCTGGGAGTTGTAGACCAAAACACCTGGTGACCCACAGGTTGAGAACCACTGCCTTAAACAGTTCTGGCCCAGCTTACCTGTCCGAATGTATCTCCTTCTATGAACCGTCTCAGAGATTAAGATCATCTGGATAGGGCCTGCTCTCAGTCACACTCCTTCGCAGGTGCGGTTGGTGGGGATGAGAGAGAGGGCCTTTTAATTCTTTGGTTTAACGTAAATGTTTATTTAATTATATGTTTTTTTTAATGGTATTGAATTGTTGCTGATGTGTCAGGTCGCTCTGAATCCCCCTCAGGGTTTAGAAGGGCAGGGTACAAATGTGGTAAATAAATAAACTTGCAGAAAATACAGCAATGAAAAGTCAAATTATGTTAATACAAAAGAAAATCCTGTCAACTTCACAACCCACAGTAATAATATCCTTATTAGAAACAATTATCAGCTCAGGTACATTGACTTAAAGGGAGCTAAGACACACACAAAATCCAACTGGGAACAAAAATAGTTCTCAATTTTTATTACTCAATTTAACAAAATTTGAATTTTTTACTGTTTCTGGTTTGAAGGTGTCATTCCTGTTTAAATGTGCAGCACGTACTTTGAAAGTAGTTGTTTTACTCCAGAAACTTTGTTTTTGTGGCTGTCACAAACTATATTTAATTGGTTGAGACTCTGAGATATTAATTGAAAGACTATAGCAAAACGTGCTGCAGGATGTCCCGCAGAAACAAAGTTTTTGCAGTTTAATAAACCTTTTCCATGTTTTTATGATAGAACCAATTAGGAAATGACATTTATAATCCAGAAACAAAATCATGTTACATAGTGTAATTAGCAGCTGTATAATTTTGGCTTGGGACTTGGATCCAGAGATCAGATAACCGTCCTTTCACATGATGCACGCCATCTCTGTGGCCTGCCCTCTGGTGATGAACCATAAGGTGACAGCCGGAGAATCCATGAAGCACACAGCCACTATGTGACTTCCTGCCACCTGGGAGTGAGGCATGTCCAGCAGCCCCAGAGTCTGACCTGACCCTCGCTGCTCTCAGACCCATCGTCTCTTAAGGGAGGGGCCTCACTGCAGGACGAAGGACATGCTAGTGTTATTAGAACCTTTGTTAGACATATTCTCCCATAAGATTCATAGAACTTTGTTTACTTAAGATGAGGCTGCCAACGCTCTCCTGGAAGCGGTTGATGAAGAAAGGTCCCATGTGAAACCATATTTCTCTAAAACAATTCAAGATACAGAAGTCGTGGAAGGCAGTGCTGCCAGATTTGACTGCAAAATTGAAGGTACTTCTCAGAAATGTTTATGACTTATTTTCAGTTGCTTTTTCAATATTCCTCCTCTGGGATTTTTCACCTTCTAATGAACTATGGCTTACCTACCAATTATCTGCTTCATTTTATTTTTTTTAAGAAGCACTATTTTTATCAGAGCTCATAGAGATTTCTGTTTGATGAATAGCTTTGATTCATTTGCCAGAGGTAGAGAGATCAAGATGTGTACTCAAGGGAAATTGTCTGAATTTTAGATAGACTTTAGCTTGGAAGTGTTCATGGGGGGTGGGAGGTATGATTTATCACAAGATAAGTGACACATAGAGGTGCTGAATGTGTGGATTTGTTGATACTTGACATTGTAACTTAAGCTAAATTGTAACCCAGAGACACAGTTTTATAGCTCAGCCCTGTACATTTATTTGTTGTACTTTGTTCATTTATTTATTTGATTCATGCCTTTCTCCATTACATGGGACTCAAAAGTGGCCTCAAGATACAATTAAAACATTTATACAAAACTTTGAAAATAATTAAATAGTACTACAATTTAAACAAGATAAAAACATTATAAAACACTGATCATAATAAAACACACACACACAACCTCACAGACCTTTTCTGTCACATAGATTTTCAGCCAAAGGCTTGTCTAAATAAAAAGTTTGAGCTGCACCTACATTGTGGAATTAATGCAGTATGGTTGCTATAAAGTAAGAATTACAAATGCGGCTGGTCTGTGGCAATTAGCCCATTTAACTCAATTTTGACAAGAGCCAATATCTCACCCACAACTGGTATTGTTTTGCTGAACTCCATCTACCCTTTGTGCTATGCTAAAAATGTTGTAACTGCAATATCATGTACCCAGGACAACCTCATCTGATGCCAGACTTTGAGAACATCATCTCTGAGCCTGTTAAGGATATATACAGATGGGGAAAAATCAGAATTGATTTGTGGTGCCTGCTCTTCTTCCCCTTTCTTCCAGGTTTCCCTGACCCAGAGGTAATTTGGTACAAAGATGATCAATCTATCAAGGAGTCCCGACACTTCCAGATAGACTATGACGAGGATGGCAACTGCTCTTTGATCATTTCTGAAGTTTGTGGGGACGATGATGGCAAATATACTTGCAAGGCAGTGAACTGCCTTGGAGAAGTGACTTGTCTTGCAGACCTCATGGTGGAAACAATGGGGAAAGAAGGAGAAGAGGAGGAGGAAGAGGAGGAAGAGGAAGAAGAATGAATTTAAAGTGAATGACCAAGAGATTGGAGCAATCACCCAGCAAAAGACTTTTTTCCCAGGCTCAAGCACTGTGACATTAGGTCATGAATTTCTTGATTTGTTTCATCAGCACAAGGAGCTGACACCCGTTTGTGTTATTTATGGGCATTAACTTGAATTAGCAAGCACTTTAGGTGGCTGTTGTGCTTGGATTTAGTTTAAGTTAAAGCATAGCCCAAACGAATGAATGTGAGCACACCACATGAAGCTCATCTATTACTTTAGGCATAGTCAACAAGTTATTTGTTGGGGGGAAAACAGTAAACAGAAGGAGTTTCCATAAGTGCACTAATTGTTTCATCAACCAGTACAGCAAAAGTGAGAATTTGGAATACCTGAACAATGATCCTCTTAAATACATTTATGCATTATACTTGCCTCATTGGTATCACATGATATCATTTTGAGCTTTCATGAATGCAAGTGTGTTTTTAGTTCAGCGAAGCACAATCCATCAGCAGGATTATTAGCAAAATACCCCTTGAAGGGATAGGAACAGAACAATAAAACTGGCGGATAGTGTCCTTGGACCCTATTGGACTCTCACAGTGCCCCATAGCACAATTGTAGCAGATTTGTAAGTGAAGCCCCCTCCCCCCCCCAAAAAAAAGAACCCCCAAAACATTTCAGTATTTACACTGAAAGTGTTTTGCGTCATTATTAGCCTTTCCTTTGAGCCTTTAAGAATTGTAATTTTAAATTAAAATACCTTGGTTTGAGCCAATGTTGTTATCATTGGAGTTAAGGAAGCTGGTCTATCTTAAATCATGGTGTTTCAGACCAACTTCTGTCAATCACAAATTGTCCTGCTCTGAAAATGTAAGGGGACAATTTTCCATTAATTTGCTTTTGCTGTAGCTGAGTGTTGGGCCTTTCCTTCCTCATCTGAGAATGATTCCCCATAAGTGCCAATTCTTACAACTATGTCAGCAACAGCAGAAAAAAAGCCAACGTCTGTCAAGTATTCAACCAAATCACAGTGGCACGTTCAAGATTTGGCACATCACAACAAATTCAAATGTGTGTTGGCACTGCTGTCATCGAATATGAATTCTGCAGATATCAATGGCTTTCCCTGGCTACAAGGTCATAGTACCAATAGGCTTTTTCCTCTGGCTGCCATCAGCAGAGTTATGAAAATCGGTCCCATGTTTCTCATCCTTCCTGGGCAGGGTGACATATTGAGTACAGAAAGTACATTCTGTAGTGCTATTGCAGATCAATATTTTGCAGAGGTCAGTGCCTCTCAGGTTTTTAGCCTATTTCTTTTAGTTTTATTTGGCTACTATACGTTTATTCTTTTCATGACAGGCCAGAAACTGGATTAGCCAAGGAAAGAGAGCCTGGGGAGTTCAAGCTTCTCTACAATTTCCACAGATTAGCTTTGAAGCCTATCTTAATGCAAGAAACCAGCATAACTAATGGTTAAACAATGATCTCTCTCCTCAACTAATTCATACATTCAGATTTGTTCATTTTGTTTCTCTTTCACAATTTCACAAGCCAGGGGCCATGAAACATTACACAAAATCAAACAACAGTACATGTCTACTCTCATTGCATCATTCCAGTTGTGTGACCTTCCCCCCCACTTTATGAGCAACATGCAAATATTTAAATATAACAGTTGACTTAAAAAAATACACACACAAAAAAAGCTTTTTTCGCTCATTGAAGCAAAGTGGGGGGACTAAGTGTACTTTATTACAGATGTATACGGTATCATCTTTAGATTGTTTGATATTACCTAGTCTTACATGTTCTAGATTATTTGCTCCTCTGCCTGTTTGAATGCAACAATTCAACATTTCATATATGATGCACACTCACAATTGCTGTGGGTTTTTATAACTGCTTGTGCTGTTTTCCGCTCGGTTGAGGTTACCAGCATGTCTTCTTTTTGAATGGATAAAGAACTTTGTAATAGTAAGACACAATTATTGCCAGTTTGCCACACGCTCTTATAAGGAAAGGATTATATTATTATTTAGTGCAGGAGTGGGAATTATATAGCTCCCCCCCCCCCAAAAAAAAAATGTTGTTGAACTGCAGTTTCCAAGAGTTCCAGCCAACCCTGGCCGAAGGTGAGGAACGTTGGGAGTTGAAGTTCAGTGACATTGACAGCTCTCCATGATTCCCATCCCTGCTTTAGTGCATACAGAGCGTTTTCTCACATGTTTTCAACGTGTTAAGAAAAGAATGGGGTGTATTTTTTGTGTATACCTTAATTAAAAAAATATTCAGATGTTTTCCAGGTTTCTGAAGCCAAAAGAGCTGCAAGATATGAGAACACTACAATTGTAGTTACTCACAATTTCTCAATAAACAAATACCACAAAGCATGTTAGCACAAATGCCAGTTTGTTTACTCCTGCTGTGTAACTTGCTTTCTTCTTTCTACTACACTTACATTAATTCTTCAAAGCATAGTGTAGGCAGAGTTCCTCAATGACAACTGGATTTTGTTTTCAAAGCTATGTGAAATAAGGTTGAGCTTACCCATCCCTGCTTTATTGGTTAGGAACAATAATGAAGAATTATGAAATATTGCACCACTGCTTCTTGGGTAATCACATTGGATCATTTGCACTGGCAAGATACTGGGAAGTGGGCATACTTCTCATACAGTGAATAATAAAATGTAATACTGGTTGTGTGGTTTAACATTTGTCTAAAAATACAGATTTTCCCTTTAAAAACAAATACAGAAAAATGAGAGAAATGTCCCTACTGGTCTCAAATTGTTAATAAATGCAGTCAACTATCCACATTTACTGGCATTAGAAGCACAGTAAAAAAGCTTTTTAAAGCTGCAAATACTAACACTGCTATTTCTTGAGAAAACACCTCTGCAGGATTGTACAGAAAGATATAGAGATTCCTAGAAAAGTGATTTCTCTAACAATATCTAAGTCCTCCAGCATCTCTATGATCAGTTGCTACACTGAAGGTCCTAGAGATTCTCACACAGAATATTTCAGTCAAATCAGTGAATAATCAAATCCACAAAGGTGGAAGGCTGACCGTATGCACAAACGTGTGAATCTTCTTGCCTGTGATCTCATCCAAGAGTGCTAAATGCTACTTGTGTTTGATTCTACAAATGCAAAATATTCATAGGATTACGACATAGGAAATGGAGAAAAATGTAGTTGTGGTGGAGAAAAAAAAAGTGTGATTAGGTGAATCATGCTGAGGAAGACACAGTTCTAGGTACTAATACTCAAAGGGCTCCTCCTTTGTCCTCCACATCCAGGGTAAGTATGTGAGTGGAGCTTTTCATTCTCCCTCCATTGAACCTGATCTTGGATGTGTTGAAAATAGTGGGGAATTGCCCCTCTTGGTTACCTCCAAACTGGAGTTGCAGTGTGGTTTATATTGGGTTTCCTCTTCAAGGCTCTTTGGAAGCTCCCATTAGTACAAAATAATGGGTAGCAGTAAGTCAACCACTATAACTTCATTTTTTGGTCTACCACATTGCCTGCTGAAAGTGCCTCCAGTTCCATTCAAAGCATTGGCTTGACCTTTTAAAATTATGAACAATTTAGGACTAGACTACTTTTTTCATATCAGGAGTGACTGCAAGGACATTTCCCAGGATACATCCGGATGTTTGATGTTTTACCATCTTTTACCAGATTCGAACTGCCGACCTGTTGGTCAGCAGTCCCGCCGGCACAAGGGGAACTGGAGCTGACAGAGGAAGCTCAACCCACTCTCCCCAGATTTGAACCGCTGACCTGTTGATCAGCAGTCCTACTGGCACAGGGGACTGCTGACCAACAGGTCAGCAGTTCGAATCTGGGGAGAGTGGGTTGAGCTCCCTCTGTCAGCTCCAGTTCCCCATGTAGTGACATAAGGGAAGCCTCCCAAAAAGATGGTCAAACATCAAACATCCGGGTGTATCCTGGGAAATGTCCTTGCAGTCACTCCTGACATGAAAAAAAGTTAACTGGGGGGTTCACTAGACTAATGATACAGCTCAATTGTGGTGCTCATAAAATGACAAAACCAAAAATAAGTCACTACATTAGCTAGGTATTGTTCATTCTGCAGCAATGGACCACACTGGGCATTGTTTTCCGCTAAATCCAGTCTGGCAAATGGTTTCACTTTAAACAGCAACTTTATCTTGCCTGTGTATGCTGAACACATAAAAGTTGACTAAACCAAATGTTATTTTTACCAAAGTCTACTTTATTTTGTCTCTTGAGTGCATAATATAAAACAAGTTGTTTTATGGGAGTAGATATATTCTTGGCACTGAAAAACACTTCTGAATAACTATTTTTATGCACTGGCATATTCTCTGTTTCCTGACAGATCAGAGACAACAGGTTGTTCAGTCTTAACAGATGAAGCCAATTGCCTTGCATTGAAGGGGGAACTCTGCACGCTCTCGGAGGTTCCCTTCACTTCTGCTCTCAGGGGGGTGGTGCAGGGATAGACACATGGATGAGTTGAGTCAAGTGAAGACTGCTGCGCCCAAAAATGAGGCTACGGTCTTTTATATTTTTACAATGGATCAAACAACATACTTTTGATTCGTTTCATACTTTGTCTTTTCTCGCTGGCTTATTCTTAGCTCATTATGTTCTAACTGGTTCTCTGTTTTATGCATACAAACAGCTTAAGATGGAAGCTTTACTGTAACTTCATGTCTCTCGTGTTGACCCTGGCTTGCTTGAGCAGCAGCCAACACCAGTCTTATCTCTTAGTTTCTCACACAGAGAATTAGGGAAGGAACTGTTTTACTAAAGACTGTAGCATCTGCTCTTTTCTTTTAGGACTACAACTCCTATTATCCATTTTCAGGCTACAGCCCCTACAGCATAATTACATTTGGTTATATACCACTTGACCAGGGTCCCCTGATGGCACAGCGGGTTAAACCGCTGAGTTGCTGAACTTGCTGACTAAAAGGTTGGCGGTTCGAATCTGGGGAGCGGGGTGAGCTCCTGCTTTAGGCCAGGCTTCTGCCAACCTTTGTTGTCGTTTATGCGTTCAGTCACTTCCGACGCTTCATGATCTCATGGACCAGCCCATGCCAGAGCTCCATGTTGGCCATCACCACTCCCAGCTCCTTCAGAGTTAAGCCAGTCACTTCAAGGACTAGAAGGCTCCTCAGCTCCTCGCTTTCAGCCATCAAAGTAGTATCATCTGCATATCTAAGGTTGCTAATGTTTCTTCCAGCATTTTTTTCCCTAGCCATTTTAATCGTCAAGCCCCACACATCGCATGATGTGTTCTGCATACAAGGTTGTTCAAAAATATGTAAATATGAGTAGATCAATGAGTACTGCTTCAGCGGGAAGGTAACAGTGCTCCATGCAGTCATGCCAGCCACATGACCAGGAGGTGTTTACAGACAACACTGGCTCTTTGGTTTAGAAATGGAGATGAGCACCACCCCCCAGTGTAGGATACAGCTAGACATAATGTCAGGGGAAAACATTTAGCATTACTATATACCACTTGAGAAGATTCTACTCAAACGGGTTTTTGGCTCTTCTCTAAAAGATTGTGTTGGCTCTTTTCTAAAAGGTTATGATCTCTAAAAGGTCATGCCTTTCTAAAAGTGCATCTACATTGTATAATGAATGCGGTTTGACACCACTTTTGAGGGAAGTGCAGTTTTACAAGGGAATTTTCAGGAATGCTTCCAATGACTGTAAGTCCCATATCTTCTGATTTACTGCCAAACTGCCATATGTGACTGTAGAGGGCCTTCATTTGCAAAAATGCTGATGTGTAGAGAAAGAGCTGCCAAGGACCAGAGATGCAGAAAGTATTCCCTAATACTTTCCTAATTTCCCAGCTGCCTGAAGTATCGACTTATCCTTTCCAACTGAAGGTTCATCACCAAAGAACAATAGACTATAGTTGTGCCATTGTTAAGGTCCCACGTGTGCCTTCATGCCTGTCAAAGTAATAGAGCCAATGAAATTTGTATTCGGCAGCTTAGACCAATGAAATGATTGATCTTTGAACACCAATGAGAATATGTTTTCAATTCTTTGTGAAAGTGATTAAAGCCTTACGGCGGTGCGACAAAACCTTTGATTGCATTCCTGTCTGCATGTTTGTCATTATTGCTAGGCTCACAATAAAAGCCTTTCTAGTAAGAGTCCAACTTATGGCCTCTTCCTTACACTGCTACCTGGGCCTTTGAGGGGACTCCTAGGTTGCATTTGGAGTCCGGGTGTGCCTGTGCCCTTACGTCGGTGCCCCTTCACTTCAATGCTGTGGAGTCCTAGGAGTTGGACTGGGTCTTCTGCCAAAGAGGGCACAGGGCCTACTCAAACTACAACTCCAAATCAGCCGCGGCGGTTAAGGTGGTGTCAAAACTGCATTTATTCTGCAGAACACAATCATAGAGTTGGAAAAGACCTCATGGGCCATCCAATCCAACCCCCTGCCAAGAAACAGGAGAATTGCATTCAAAGCACCCCCGACAGATGGCCATCCAGCCTGTTTAACAGCTTCCAAAGGAGCCTCCACCACACTCTAGGGCAGAAAGTTCCACTGCTGAACAACTCGCACAGCCAGGAAGATCTTCGTCATGTTCAGATGGAATCTCCTTTATTGTAGTTTGAAGCCATTGTTCCGTGTCCTAGTTTCCAGGGCAGCAAGCTTGCTCCCTTCCCCCTATGACTTCCTCTCACATATTTATACATGGCCCTCATCATGTCTCCTCTCAGCCTTCTCTTCTACGGGTTAAACATGCCCAGCTCTTTAAGCCACTCCTCATAGGGCTTGTTCTCCAGACCCTTGATCATTTTAGTCGCCCTCCTCTGGACACATCAGGGCCCTTCCACACAGCCTTATATCCCAGACTATCATGGCAGAAAAATGGCTTTGAACTGGGTTATCTGAGTCCACACTCAGATAATGTTAGATTTTCTCCCTTGATATTCTGGGATATAGGGCTGTGTGGAAAGGCCCTCAAAAGACAAAAATCATAGGGCCCCTTAACACAACAAAAGAACCCACAAAATCAAGGCAGAAAATCTCACAATATCTCCTTTGAACTGGGTTATCTGAGTCCACACTGCCATATAATCCAGTTCAAAGCAGAAAATGTGGGATGTTATCCAACTGTGTGGAAGGGAGCTATGCTACAATTGCCTCATGCCTTTATGAGGGAATCAAGAGAAGTCCATCCTCCAGTCAACCAACCCCTCCCCACTGCCAAGACGCTGCGCCCCGCCCCTTCCCAGAGACGCCAATCAAGCTAGGCGCGCCCTCTCATTGGTGGAGGGCCCCCTAGCCCCGCCTCTGGGCCTAGCAGGAGGTGAGGGGAAAGAAGGAGGAAGAGGCGGCGTTGGTGGATGAACCATGGCGGCTTCCAGCAGCAGTAGCAGCAGCTCCCGCCGGGCGGATAATGGCCTTGGGGGCGGCGGGGGGCAGCAGCAGCAGCAACAAACGGCAGGCTCCCGTCGACGGAAAGGGCCCGGCGCCTTGGCCACGGCCTACTTGGTCCTCTACAACGTTGTCATGACAGCAGGGTGAGCGAAGGGAGGGGGAGGAGGAGGAGGAGGAGGAAGACATCTTCCCTTCACCTCCTCCACGCATGCGCCGTCCTCCTTTTACTTTACTCCTGAGGTACCTCTACAGCAGACATGGGCCAACTTGGGCTTGCCCTCCAGGTGTTTTGGGCTTCAACTCCCAGCATTCCTAACAGCCTCAGGCCCCCGAGGGGGAAAAGGAAAGGGCCTGAGGCTGTTAGGAAAGCTGGGAGTTGAAGTTCAAAACACCTGGAGGGCGGGCCCAAGTTGGCCCATGCCTGCCCTAAAGCCAGATGCAAAAGACTTATAAAGCCCGGGACTTTGCTTTGAATACCAAAACTTTACAACGCTCCCTGTTCTCCAACACAAACCTTCCTTTCTCAGTTACCAGGAGAAGCCCAGCAGCATAATTCAAAGGGCAATTGAAAGCATTTTGTTAAATACTTGGAAATCTTACTAATCCATTACAGCCCATATCACATATCTGCAGTATACTGCATCTACCATGCTCCAGTTCCTGTTCTAAATCAACAGGAGCCCCTTTTGCCCAATAAGTTTTATATGTAAGTATATACATATATACAGGGTGAGGCAGCATAACTTCCTTTTTTCAAAACTTAATAAAACCCATTGTATGAATCAGTTTTGTTACCTAAAGTTTTGTTTTACATAGTTTTGAAGATCAAATTAGGTAGGTGACGTCCCCCATTCTCCATACACTGAGTAAACCAATTTCTGGCGTTTTTCATGATTCTTGCCCGCATAGCAGGCGTTATGTTGGCAATTTCGTCCTGGATGTTGGTCTTCAAATCTTGTAGGGTCCTTGGACTGGTCACATAAACACGAGATTTCAAAAAAAAAAAAACCCATAGAAAAAAATCACAAGGGGCCAAATCTGGAGAGCGGGCCGGCCACTCCAAATCCGCTAAAAAACAAGGCCTCTATGGCAAAAGCACGCTCCTCACTGTTCCAATGCATGATGGCAACTGAATTGTGTCAGGACAAAACTTTATACTCCCGCCTCTTGAACAAGACCACTAGCGCTCCGTTACGTCTTCAACCGACTGAATGGCACGCATTTTAAAAAAGGAAGTTATGCTCCCTCACCCTGTATAATAGGCATACAAATCAAACTTGGATGGTTAAATCTGTGGATGTGGAGGGCCAGCTGTGCCACAGCATTAGCAATCGGAGTGTGCCTAAGTCCCAAGAACCTAAAAACCAAACCCTGTAATTAAAATATAGGGCCTTCAGTATCTGATGTAGTTTGGCTCCAGGATCTGCAGTGGATAGCAAAACCCATGGGTGCTCAATAACTGTTATATACAGTGATGTAGTAAAATGACCTCACATGAAATGGCAAAGCCAAGGTCTTCCCCGCTCCCTTCCTCCCCCCCCCCCCCGCCCCTCTATATATTATAATATTTTCAAGTTGTGGATGGGTGAATCCATGGATACAGAGGGCCCACCCTATTCCAAGTCAAGCTCTGCAGGAAGATTAAGAATCAAGCCTTATAATAATGGGAGGAAAACAGATACCCTTCAAATCGGGAATGGGTTGGGTTGAAAAAGGGCAGTAAATTCCTGGAAGGACTGGCAGAGGTTTCTTTTTCCTCCTCCTTTGCACTTAGATTGCCTTTTCTCTACCGAAACGTCCTTTTCCTCCTCCTTCTGCATTGCTAGGCTACTTCCTTTATCCCTTACCCATCCATGTGGTGGTTGCCTCCCTTGCTAGACCCCTTTCTCTTCCCTCAGCAATTTGAGCTAAGCTTCTTCTCCTTTGACTGTAGCAGTAGCAGCCTATTCTACTCTGCAGGTGTGTGTGTGGGGGGGGGGAGGTGCTTTGAGACCCCACACTTTACATCAGAGGTTCTCAAACTTTTTAAACTGCTAAGTCCTTTTTGATGTAAACATTTCTTGTGGAGCCCCACGAATGTTTATATATTATGTATATGTATCAGGTATGGGTAAACATTTTGCTCAAATACACAATATTTCAGTGGAAGACCCCAGGGAACATCCAGTTCAACCCCCTTCTGCCATGCAGGAAAAGCACAATCGAAGCACCTCCAACAGATGACCACTCAGCCTTAATAATAATAATAATAATAATAATAATAATAATAATAATAATAATATTGTGGAAAAGAAAAAAAGTTTGGATTATTGATGTCGCCATACCGGGTGACAGTTGCACTAAAGAAAAACAACAGGAAAATCTCAGCCATTATCAGGACCTTAAAATCGAACTGCAAAGGCTCTGGCATAAACCAGTACAGGTGGTCCCAGTGGCCATCGGCACACTGGGAGCCGTACCAAAAGATCTCAGCTGGCATTTGGAAACAATGAACATTGACAAAATCACAATCTGTCAACTGCAAAAGGCCACCTTACTTGGATCTGCACGCATCATTTGAAAATACATCACACAGTCCTAGACGCTTGGGAAGTGTTCGACTTGTGATTTTGTGATACAAAATCCAGCATAGATATCTCGTTTGCTGTGACGTACTGTGGGTTTGTGTCAGTAAAATAATAATAATCATTATCATCATAATTAATAATAGGAGCAACAGTCCAACTCCTTTCTGCCATGCAGGAAAAGCACAATAATAACAGCCCCAACAAATGACCACATGTTAAACCCACTAGAGTAGTTCAGCCTGCTTTGAATGACTGAATAAGTAAGACCAAATTTGCTGTCTCTAAACAGAATTTCAGCTGACACTCTTCTTCACCACTACTCCTTGCATAATTGTAAACATGCCCAGAAGGGGCACCCAGATGATGACACTGGGTCTTTTGGAGAGAATTGGCAACCTCACCCAGATACTGAAAATCAAGAAAAACAGGCTTCTCTCAGCCACAGTACCTGTTATCTTGCCTAGAATATGTTTCAGCTTGTTTGCCTCTAGACATTTATTCATAGATCCTTCATGGTTTCTTGCAGCAGTTTCTTATAGATGAGCATGAAGAACAGAATACGACCTTCCCGCATCCCCTAAATTAAAAGTCATGTGGTGAAACTCATCACTGTTTGGCTTTATCTTCCCAGAGCAGGAGTCATGTGGCCTTCCAGATGGAGCTGGGCTATAATTCCCGACTTTTCTTTTATCTTTTCTAAGTACTGGTGGATATGCAAATAAATATTTTGAAGTTACTTTTTATAATCTTTAGAATATTGGGGGGTTTTTTTGTTTATGCAGGATATTATATTGTGTGAATTTTGTCTTCTCTTGGAGCCTTACTAGATATGATAGCAGGGAAAACTCTTATCTATAAATACCCAGGAGATTTAACACTGGGGAAAAAAAAGACCAGAGCTAGCTACGGGTGGGGTTTTCATTGGGAACATGGGTGGGAGGTGTTAAATCTCCTCACCACTTGCAATTTACATATGTCCGCTGCTCAGAAGGGTTTCTCTAAGCCAGTATTGGCACCCAATTGCAGTATGTCAAACAGAGGTAGCAGTTGTCACTTGTGTGTATCAGCAACTTTCCTGCTCTTAGAGCAGTGGTGCTCAACCTTTGAGTCCCCAGATGTTTTGACCTTCAACTCCCAGAAATCCTAACAGCTGGTAAACTGGCTGGGATTTCTGGGAGTTGTAGGCCAAAACACCTGGGAACCAACAGGTTGAGAACCATTGCCGTAGAATAAAATGAATGGGTCAATTTCTGAACAAGCGCTAACCAAACATTTCCAACTCTGTTTTTTCCTAGTTGGCTTGTTATAGCTGTTGGATTAGTCAGAGCATACATCGCCAAAGGTAGCTACCACAATCTATATTATTCAATAGAAAAGCCTCTGAAATTCTTCCAGACTGGAGCTTTACTTGAGGTATGTGAGATATGGGGCCAAGAACCATCTCCATGTTATCTATCTATCTATATATATATATAAATGCTCTGTTCATTTTGAGTGACATCATAACTCAAAATCCGCTGGATGAATTGCCACCAAATTTGGCCACAAGACACCTACTAACCTAATGAGTGACAATCATTAAAAAATGATTTTTATCATTTGAGAGTTGTCGTTGCTGGGATTTATAGTTCACATGCAATCAGAGAGCATTCTGAAATCCAAAAGCATTCTGAATTGAACCAAACTTGGCACATAGAACTCCCATGACCCACTGAAAATACTGAAAGGGTTTTGTTGGGCATTGACCTTGAGTTTTAGAGTTGTAGTTCACCTACATCCAGAGAGCACTTTTGACTCTCAAACAATGAAGGATCTAGAACAAACTTGGCACGTATACACCATATGGTCAAATATAAAGAATGATGGAGTTCGGGGGGAATAGACCTTGACATTTGTGAGTTGTAGTTATTGGGATTTATAGTTTGCCTACAATCAAAAAGCATTCCGAACCCCACCAATGATAGAATTGGGCCAAACTTCCCACACAGAACCCCCATGACCAACAGAAAACTCCGTGTTTTCTGCTAACCTTTGGCGACCCTTCTGACACCCCCTCACAACTCCCCCAGGGGTCCCAACACCCAGGTTGAAAAATGCTGCCTTAAGGCCATCCAGTCCAACTCCCTTCATCAAGGCAAGAAAACATAATCAGAGCCCTCCTGACAAAGAGCCATCCAGCCATAGATTAGATAGATAGATAGATAGACAGACAGACAGACAGACAGACAGATAGATAGAACAGATATAGTATCATAGATTTGAAAGGGACTCCTAAAGAAGGACAATTATATGTTGCATGTTCCAGAGGAGGCAAACCAGACAATCTCCACATCAACACTGACAAAGAAACAACAAAAAATATTGTTTACCCACAGGCATAAAGAAGTCACATATATTAGAAACCAGTACTTTCTCATTACTTTATTTTCCAGATCACCAGACTGGGCCACAGCAAAGTGTGGCAGGGGACGGCTAGTTTACTCTAAAAATGAATAAATTTGCTTCTGAGCTCCTTCAGTGATTGTCTATTCAGAATAAGATATAGGTTTAGTAATTTTACACAAATTGTTAAAAAAAACTATAGACACTTCTATAGTTCCACTCCTTGACTATTAAGTTGTGAGATCCCATCATTGTGTGAAAATGAGATCTCATCTCATCTCATCTTGTAGAATCATCTGAATCACTCTCAGTAATTCATAGAAGTGCTACACACATACTGGCCTAATTCATTCCTTCATTTTTGGAAAACAAACATCTGCTCCAGTTTAGGTACCATTTTAGAAAGAAATTATTGAGAATTCCAGTGATATTTACAAAGATTTGGATAAATTAAGTATATCTTCCTCTTATGATTTTTTTCTTCCCTAAAAGTTCAATGCACAGGAAAACAAATATATAATTTAGATACATTGCCATTGAAATCTATATAAATAAATATGTAATGTTAGTTTGTGGGATTAACACAACTCAAAAACCACTGGATGAATTGACACCAAATTTGGATACAATACACCTATCAGGCCAACAAGTGACTATCACTCATAAACACTGAAAACACAGTGGAAGAGACTTAAAAAGGCAAAAATAATAATATATTACAACACATACACAAAACCACATATATACACATACATACACACACAAAACCAAATAGACAGGGGGCGGCTAGTATTAAATATGCACACATAATAAATGCCTAGTGAAAGGTCTACTCACTGTTTCTGATCATAAAACATGCCGATCTTATAATAAACCCAAATTGTGTTATTCTTGAGTTATTACTGATGCAAATATTCTTTTTGTTTCAGATCCTGCACTGTGCAATAGGTAAGTCTGCCAATTCAATGTTAGTATATGAAACCCCGAACGGAGATCACAAAAGCATCCAAGAAATGACTGGCTAATAAACAATCCAGAAAACAATTTCCTTGATTTGTTTTATAATACTTGTTCCTAAATATGACAGCTAATGGCACTTCAGATGATATTTTAGGATTTTTTGAGGAAAGATTTCCCATAAACAAAGCACAAATAAAATCTGTTGATTGGTTTTTTTGTCTGCTGCAGTAAAGTGCGTTTTGAATTGGAATAGCAACTCCGCATAAAATTGTATCTAGTATGTGAGGCACTTTATGTAAAATACATGCAGCATTTCTGCTGTAGCCAGCATTAGTCATAGTAAGCTGGAAGTTCAGCAATCCCCCATCCAAATTTGCTATTGTCCTTTAGTTTCTGAAGTAAATGCAGTTTCAAATGCAGTTGTTGAGCTGTGGAAAAAAGGTATTTGACAAAGCAGATTTTGTAGGGACATACAAACTGTCTTGATGGGTCAAACCAGGATGTTTCATCCAGCACTTGGCAACTACAGCAGTCCCCATATACACCTGGACATGTCACTGATCAAGCTTACTGAAGGGAACAATCTCTTTAACAAATTTTCCCCAACATTTGTTATTCTGAGGGAAACTAGTCATGCGTCCTTCTGTCTTATTGCTTACCTTGGTCTTGTTTGCTTTTACTACTAAACTATGGTTCAGAGTTATAAGCAAAAACTGCAGCAAACCTCTGGTTTGTATGCTCCTGGCTCTTTCCACAGCTTTGCTTTCAGAAGACTGTCATTCTCCTAACCATTTCCAAATCATATTACTATAAAATGCTGTATAACGTTTTTAAAATTCTGAAACAAAGGCTGTTTACTAACCTTAAACTGTCTTCACAGGGATTGTTCCTTCTTCTGTTGTACTGACTGCTTTCCAGGTGATGTCAAGGGTTTTTCTGACTTGGGCTGTAACCCATAGTGTAAAAGAGGTAAGTTAAAACAAAAGGAGTGACCACTTTTTATCTAAATGTAGAATTCTCATATCCGTTTATACTGGTTGACATCTCTGCTTGAGCAATTTTTGTGACATCAGAGCTGAATTCAACATAAGTGAAACTAAATTTTATTATATTTCCTTGCTGATTCTTCTCTGTAGAGAGCAGGAGTCTCTGGGGAAATGTCCTTTGTGTGGAAAGAAGCATTATGTGGGACTGAATCAGGCTAAATGTGCAGTAAATAAAAGATAAGGTCTCCAGCCATAATATTTCAGTGCTTCTGGTCCTTCAGTGGCCTGGATTCTTTTTATTTTACTTATTTAGTAAATTTATACTACACTTTTCTCTCGAAATGGGATTAAAGGTGTCTTGCCGGTTGGCCTGCTATGCTTTCCTAATGTCCATGCTCATTCAGTGATTTTATATATCTGAAATAAGAATCAGTGGAGAGTCCATTATGAATACACTGATTAGTCAACGCTGTGTAATGTAGATCTGGCTAACCAATCTACCATTTTGACCAGGACAAAGAATCAGACCCGACGTTCACATAGAACTGTACTCATTGGTTCGAACAATTTCTGTGTTCCATTGTAGCAAGTTGGAAGATTAAGAATAAGTGGGCATCTATTAAAACTACATTGTTTTAATGGGGTCGGGCTGGTAGCACAGCTGGTTAATCAGCTGCGATAAATCACTGCTGACCGAAAGGTTGCAAGTTCAAAGCCCGAGTTGGGGTTGAGCTCCCGACTGTTAATAGATGTTTTAAAAAAGCTGTTAAAAATAGCCCAGCTTACTGTCCACCTAAGCAGTTTGAAAACAGCTGTGCTGGGAGTAGAGAAATTAGGGATCACTTAAAGCGGAGAAGTTAATTTATGACACCATAAAAATGTTGTCATATTGGAAGAAGCAACAGCTCCCCCTGTGGCCAAATAGAGCAACCTCCAGGATCCGAAGTGGAAAAATTGCTGAATAGCCTCTATCTATCTGTATGTCGTCTATGTCAAAAACGGCATTGAATGTTTGTGGTGTATGTGTACTTTGTTATCTGCCCTGAGTCCCCTTCAGGGTGAGAAGGGCGGAATAGAAATACTACAAATAAATATATAAATGGTATCAAGAGCAGGAAGTGCAACCTTGCTAGACTGACGGAGGACTGTATTTTTCAAATCTCCACCATGCTTGGTATATATACACATGGAATTAATTATTCTCCATGAATTTTATGCTGTTTTCTTAGGCAAGGGATGCTTACCTTTTTCTAACTATGGGCCCTTCCACACAGTCCTATATCCCAGAATATCAAGGCAGAAAATCCCACAATATCTGCTTTGAACTGGGTTATCTGAGCCCACACTCAGATAATGTGGGATTTTCTGCCTTGATATTCTGAGATATAGGGCTATGTGGAAGGGCCCTATGTTCACTCTTTTCTAACTGCTGGAAGGAGCAGAGGATAAGAGCTGAAGTTAATGGTCATGATAGAGAGGAAAGAAGTATGTATGGGGTCAAGCACACAGCAGCAGCCTTTCTTAATTTTTATAGGGTTTTCTTAAATAAGAAATACTTAAGAGGTGGTTTTGCCAGTTCCTTCCTTTAAAATATAGTCTCCATCACCTGGCATTCATTGGTGGTCTGCTACCCAAGTGCTAACCAGAGCTGACCCTGCTTAGCTTCCAAGATCAAATGAATATTTCGGACATACTATTCTCATATTGCTGTAGCTAAAACATATGTCAGAAAATATTTTCAATATCTGAAAAGCAAGAACATGATTACATACTGTCAGGTTCCAAAACCTAGGGTTCCCAACCTGGTATATTGCTATGATAGGCTGATAATGGTAATCAGCTCTGACACAGAAATTATTAATTAGCTCTTAAATAAAATTAATTTCCTTGAAAGACAAACATGACCTGTATTATGATTTGTTTTGTTTTGTTTTGCTTTTTTCTCTTAAGGGGTGTATACACACCTGAATTCCATGAAGAATCTCAACTGTTATGGATTTTGTAAGACTTGACATGTGGATGCATGAATAGTATGGTTGGTCTCAGAGTTAAAACTGTTCATGTACTTTTAGTTTCTTGAATGAGAAACTCCTAATAATCTCTGTGTTTGGATTTTTCTTGGAACTAACTCTTGAAGAAAAAAAACTTCTCTTATACAATTTCTGATTTAATCAAATGTTTACCTGATTTAGTACCTGACATGCCAGTGTTATGCCTTCTGTTATGGCTTCCTGAAGTTCAGTGCTTTGTGTTTAATTGCATGGGATAGTTCAGTAGTGATTTAAGAATGTGCTTGCTTTTCTTCCTAGGAGGGTCAGATTCTTAGCATGTTGTGGCCTTTCTGCTTCTTGACACCTGAAATTTTCTTTACTGAGAACAGATCTTCAAAGCTTCATCTTGAATATTGCTCTCCTGCCTTTTAATGGGGATGGGAAAAATAGAGCTGTTGGCAAACAAAAACAAATTAGTGAGGAAAAGCAGTCACAATCACAGCATTCCCTGATTAATTTCTCTATAAACCAGTATCGGCAAGTAGAGTAAAAGTTAAAAAAAAGATTTTGTTGGTGGAATCCTAATATAGCTAAAATGTCTTGCCATGTCTTCTTGAAAGCAATGCACCTTAGTTTTAAACATCACTAATTAATGTATTGGTAATCTTTAAGTCAGCTAGGTTGCCTTTTGTTGTCTGGGATCTTTAGGCATTGCATCAGTTATACTAGTATGTGTAACATGCAGACACACAATTCTCTTCCTATGACATTGACCTTCACAAAAACAGTTTGCCTATTGTTGGGCTATCTGTTTTTAGGCAAGACATTAACATGTGATGTGCAATGTGTGATTCATAGGATAGATGTAAACCTAAATTGCTTCTTAATTTCAAAACTTAAAAGGATCAAGATTTTACAAGATATGCATCTAGCCAGCACTGCTATTACTTTTTAGTCAGCAAACACAGCTAACCCTTCCACAGATAATGTCGCATCACAGATATGCAATATGTTCATCAGTCACTGTGATGTACAAAGTGCTTATGTAGTACTCTACTCTATTTATGATCTTTGAATTGCCTGTATCCCAGCAGACTTGGGTATCTTGAAAATGTTTATGTTGTTATTAGGAGATAATACATGACGGGGTTCCTCATACTTTCTGAGTTATGGTAGACTTATCCCTTATTCTTTAGTGTTGTCTTCAGTAATGACAAGATTTTCTCTTGATGGTGGATTGTCTGTGAAAGAAAGCATACTCCTTGTCAGAAAGTTAACTGCTTGTGGGCAGAGGGATGATTGTGTTTCATTTTAATTGATAACTTACTTGTCAGTCTCATAGTGTTAATAATTTAACAACTAACAAATCATGTAAGAGTCCTGATGGAATCTTAATAGCATGAATTTCTGTTAATATTGCAGGTTGTTTTCCAGTTGACTGTTTAAAATTCAGCTAAGCTTTTTTTTTTTCTCAAAGGGAAATAGCTAAATTGAATTTAAAAATAAATACTTTTCATGTGACCAGTAGGTGTCACTAAATGCTGTGTTATATCTTTACAAAACTTTTCTACTATAAGGGAGTGTTTGCTTGTCTTTTCAAAAATTTAATAGAAATTATTACTGATTGCTATACTGAGATAGGGATTTTTATTACGATACTGGCAAGGAAGAGAAGGAGCCTCCTTCACCCCATCCTGCAGTCCTGATTCAAAACAGACACACACATATCCTTTCCTGCTGCTATTTATGTTTTAAAGCATCACAAAACACTGGAAACTGCTTAATGTATGCAGTTATGAGGTAAGCCTCATCCCTGTCCATTAGAAGTAGGCTTCCATTTATCCTCTTACTTCAATATATAGGGATATAATGAGGTGGAACAACAATAATGCCTTCAATTTGCAACCATTCCGTATTTCCTCAATTTTCTATATTACAAGAAAGGAAGAATAGCTGTATGTGGGAATATAGATACATAACCTTGAGTTATGTGTTCATATGTCACATGTAACAGGCAGCCAGATGTTGGGTACAAAAAAGTACAATAGGCTGTTGCAGAAGTAAAGGCAGTCCCATAGGTAAAAAGCAAGCATTATTTTTAATGTTTCTGCCTAACCAGATATGGAAAGGCCTTACTGCTTCTCAAGTTACAAAATTGGAGATGAACAAGTAGAATAGTGCAGTGTGGATGCTCATTTTGTAAACCTGCTTGAGTTGATAGCTTAGTTGTAATTAGGGAGTGCTACACCGAACCTATTCATATGTTTAGCAGAAATTATGATGGTACATTCTTGGGCTCAGTTTTCATAGTATTCCAGCAACACGGGAGCTACAAGAACCTCACATTGTCTTGTCACAGTTCCATGAGAAACCTGTGTACAATGTAGAAGGAAATATGCTTTGCCTTCTCCCATGTCTGTAAGCCTCTAATCAACTAATCAGTACTTCTTGCCTTACTCCAGTGGAGCAGGAAAGAGCAGTACTGCTGGGGATTCCAGAGCTCTGAAGTCACATGGTCAGAAGTCACAGCCTCTGAACCAACATGCTGATCTCCAGAAGCATCAGCAATTGTTCTAAATATTCATATGGTGCAGTCCACATACCTGCAGGGGACCTGTTCCATGACTTACCATGAGAATATGAAACCGCAGATACTATCAACTCCTATTGAAAATAATATCTTCCAATGGAAGCATTCCATAGAATTATGCTGGATGACCTAGAACATGCCTATTTTTTTTACATTGCAGATCCCATTCCCATGGATAGAGTGGTTATGTTTTGTTCTGACATTCAGGCTAAGTCTGTAAAAGTTTGAACAACCAAGGCTCGAGAAGACTGGAAACAAACAGGCATTTCTTGTTGTTGTTTTGTGCATTACTAAAGTGTCTAGATTTGAATGCTTCTTGGAGGTTTCTGAATCATATACTGACAAGGAAGAAGAAGAACTTAGTATGGTTTTTAAAGGAGGAGGGAAGTTGTTGGCTATGTGTGCTCACATTAAGATTATTTGGAATAACCACTAACCCTGGGCCTCCTTTTGCCTAGGTCTGTGACATACAGTGCACTTTCTTGAGGATGGAGAATACAGGCAAGGGCTCTCATTTTAAACATGTTATGCCTAGTTTTGAATTGGTCAACAATTACATTTTTCTTAAACAGGTTCAAACTGAAGACAGTGTCCTCCTCTTCGTTATTGCCTGGACGGTTACAGAGATTATCCGTTACTCCTTTTATACATTCAGCTTATTAAACCATCTCCCTTATCTCATCAAATGGGCCAGGTAAGGATATTCAACTTTATCAGTTCATGAGTAGACCCCAGTGGGATAAGAAGTAGATTTGTTAGAAAGGTAAGTACGGCTCAAGTATTCCTTATCCGAAACGTTTGACAGCAGAAGCGTTTTGGTTTTCAGAAAAAAAAATCGATTTTGGAATATCTGTGAAATGGCAGGAATCCAAGTATAGCGCTCAGTGTGAATTCACACTTCCTGCTATTTCAGGAATCCTAGTATCTCCCTCACGCTTTGTGTCTCATTTGTCGCCATTTGTATTGTATATGAGGTGTGAGGCTAGAAAGAGGCTATGCATGTGACAGACCTTATTATGCCTGATACTGTATTCAGGAAAAAGATACAGTATGTACTGCACTAGAGATCTCCGTGGAGCCTGCCATTTGCATGGGTCCTGCTTGCAAATGAATGACTAAGAGTGCCTCAGCAGCTTCTTCAAAAACAGAAGAGAGCAGCTGGTAGCCAAAAGCTGCAAATTTTGAAGCATTTCAGGGTTCAGATTAGGGTTACTCAGCCTGTACTCAGCTCAGTTCTAGAAAGCTTCATACAGTATATGTTCTTTAAATTATTAACATTCTCTCACATAGAAGATAACATTTATACTTTCAGATATACCTGAACAAATTCTGCTATCTCTTAATCAAAACTGCTTTTAGGTTTCTCCAGCTTCTATAATGTGAGAAGTCAGAACCAAATTTCACATGGAATTGTAATTAATCCTTGTTTCAAAGGGGAAAAATAGCTGGAATCTGGTCAGGAATAGCTTCGCAGACCAGAGGCTTTAAACCCTTTCGTGTTTTGTAACAACTCCACACATTTCCCGCCCAAAATAGCATCAGTCTGTGTTTGCAGGAGGGGGGAAATGCAGTCACCCTGAACCAGCTGATATATACACATTTTTAAAATAAAATTCACTCACCCTGTGTTATGTGCTTAATACTGCATATAGTTTGGCTCCTAATTTATCTGTTAGAAACTACTCATTTGTATTGTTTGAGTAATCTTTTTACAGGTTTTTTTCCCTTTTTTAAAAAATAAACCAATGTGCTTACTCTTACATACTCACACACTTAAATTCAGTTCTCTGTCAAGTTTCCATTATCTAAATATATCTTTTTATGATATGGTTTTTTAAAAGAGACTTTTACAGAGAAACTAAAGCAGTGACATTTAAAATTGAAATGTGCTGTATGCTGTTTTTAAGTCACTTGATATGTTGGCAAGCTTTATGGCAGGTCCTTGAAAAGGAGCAAGATATATTTTCAGGCTATTTCAGCTTATAAGGCAATCTTAAGTCTCTCCTGTCAAAAGTCCCAGTGAGTTCAGTAGTAAATGTGATTAGGGAGGTTACCAGAGACAGAGGACTTTTAGTCCAGTAAAAGGTTTAATATTTAATCCAAAAACAAGGCAACTCACACCATCTGTCACTTCATTAAATATCAGGCATTGGATTCAATTAAATGCTTTACATTTAATTAATATTTAATTTAATTTAATTGAGCTGCTGCAGTGTAGTTTTTGAGTGTTCGACTAGGAAACTGGGAGACCAGGATTCAAATTCTGACCAGCCATGAACTCCCACTTGGGCAGGTCGCTCTCTCTCAGCCTCAGAGGAAGGCAAGGGAAACCACCCTCTGAAGAAATTCTGCCAAAGAAAACCCATAATAAGTTTACTATAATCAGAAATGACTTGAAGGTATGTAATAACATATAAAACAAACTATTACATTCAAAATTAGATTCAAATCCCAGTCTAACATATAGAACAGCCCCCTTAAATGCATCAGGACTTCGATTCAAAACAAGACAACGAACTTACATCATTCCTCAGTTAACTAAATATCAGATATTTAATTCAAAATATTAAATTCAGATCCTAATCTCATACACAGTACAATCCTCTTAAATTCATTTGGACTTCTGATTAACCATGATTAGCATTGTGAGCTGAGTTTAATTATCTGGTGTTGATGTTTGCATATATATTTATTCCTTTTTTTAGGTACACCTTGTTCATCGTGCTCTATCCAATGGGAGTTTCAGGAGAATTGCTCACAATATATGCTGCTCTTCCCTACGTTAGGCAATCTGGTTTATATTCCATTAGTTTACCTAACAAATACAATTTCTCATTTGACTACTATACATTTTTGATCCTGACTATGATATCTTATATTCCAAGTAAGTACATTACTCTTTTGAATCCTTCAGCCCTTGAGATTCAAGTATATCTGAAAGCTATTTAGAATGTCCGTAAATCATTGTGTAAGGTACCCACATAATATTTCTGGTGTTTTGAACTAGAACATGTTGAAAATAATGATGAGGTTTCAGCAATAAAAAATAGCAATAAACTTAAATGGACATATCCTGTGCCTTTTAATAGTTAGGGAAAAGAACACAGGAAATGTCTGCTTGTTTGAAGATGCTAGTTCCAATTTATTCTTTTTTCTTTAATGTTTGAAAGAAAATTGCATACAAAGAAGACCCCTGGTTTCAACTTTAGTTGATATTCAATATTTCTGTAGCAGATGTTTTTGAAGCTAACTTTTTAAGTTCAACTGCTGTGATAGTAATGAAAAAAAATCTTTGAAACCAATTTGTTCCTGGTACAAAAGAATGTGATACTGGCACAACTGGTTGTGACAGTATTTTTAGGACAATTATCTTATTCAAAATATCAGCCTTGCATGGGAAATGTACACATTTACAAGGTGTAGAAAAGCCCTTTAATAAGTCACTCATGCATTTAAATCTTCCAGCTTCCTAAGCCAGTTGAAGTGCACAAACGTCATATTTTGAAGTAATGTTTCTAGCTTTCCTGGCACAAGAAAAAATAATTGGGTGCAAGAGATACTGCACCCTTGCTTTGTCTTGCTTGTATTTTGCTATTCCCGTAGCAGTGCATTTTTGTAAGAGGAAGCAACAAGTAGGAAATGCTCACTATTAATTTCTTCATAAAGATAGCTCATCTACATGTGTGCAAAATATTTATTTTAAACTAGCTGTAGTTTCCCAATGTCAGCTGTTGTTAATGATAGTTCAGTTTCAACTTCTCTGGAGGATGACTATGGGTACTTGAAAAATCCCTCATGTTACATGGCTATCTCACTTGCCTTGAGACAACAGTGTACACCAGACATCTGCAAATCCAGGCCCATGAGCCAAACGTGGCCCATTGGGCTCTTTGCCCTGGCTCCCATCTGCTTTGGCCTCCCCTTCAGTATGCGGACACAGTGACCCACCGCATCCCCAGGCTGAGAGGGAGTCCAAAGGAGAGACAGCCGCTGGAGAGCACTCGGTAGCAGCATTGGCATGTTTCTCTCCCTCCTCTGGGCCTGAGGAAGGTGAGCTGCTGCCTTCCCAGAGCCCAAAGAAGATCCAGGGAGAGAAACTCACTGCTCTCAAGCAGCAGTGGCATGTTTGTCTCCCTGGAGACAGACCCGCCCCTTTCTTCTTCCTGCCCCAGCCCCTCCAAGACCCAGCCATGCCCTTCCAGCCCTGACCCCATCCCTTTAACCTTGGCCACACCCCTTCTGGCCCCGCCTCTTCTGGACCCACCCACACTCCCTTCTGGCCCAGCCCTTGCAGCTGGACCCACAAGGCAGTCCCAGGGCAAAAAGGTTTGCCCCTGTCTGCTGTATACAGTATCACTGAATAATCATTAAGGGACCCTCAAAGTGAGTTTTGAGTATGCCATCTAACCTATATGTGAAGTCAGACCATTCCTAATATGCCCTCCAAATATGCCCTCCATCTGTTTGCCCACAACACTGAGACAGAGAATAATTATATTTTATTTATGTAGATAGTGCAGGTGTATAAAATTTACTTCAGAATTTGCGACAGGTAGTATAGAAGTGAATAGGAGATGGGGAGCAAAACCCTAACTGCATCTGAAAACAGGGCACTTAGTAGTGGTCTCAGAATAAACATTTGCACAAAAACAAAAAACAGGTATGTGTCTTCTAGCACCTTAGACACTGAGAAATATAATAGCTGGACCACAGACATTCTATCTCTCACCAGTATATCCCAAGAGGTTCATTTGGAAGATACTGGGGAATCTGAAGTGATACCAGACTACTGGAGGATAAAATTGTGTGCATTAGCCTCTAGATCTGACCTGCTTTTTCAGTTATAGTAGAGAATGCTGCTACATTCCTTGTATAGAACTGATCTTTAGCAACTAATCCAAGTCACCTTATGTTTTGAAATTTAGGAAGAGAGGAACAGCAATTGCGTTTTTGTCTTAAGCAACAAACTATATTGGCAACATTGATATACCTGTGTAAAATATTGTGAATACATGTTATTACCTGAAATGTCTATACACAAAACCTTGACTTTTATTTACATAATTCTGTTTTGGTTTTCAGTCTTCCCTCAGCTGTATTTTCATATGCTACACCAGAGAAGAAAAGTCCTTTCCCTCACTGAAGAGCACAAAAAATCTGAGTAATTCCAGCTTTTGTACAAAGCTATGTGTGTGCATGGATACATGCTTTCATGCACACATAATCCAAGAAAGCTTTCAGAAGTTTATAAACAATATAGAGTATTAAAATGAAAATCAAAATAAATGTTTTGGTTAAGTATTACATATCTTTCAGAACTAGTAATTTTTCAACAAAATTTCAGCATGTTCTTTTAAAATGCAACTTATTATCATTCTTTTGCTTTCCGGTTATTTGCTTTGGGGGGGAAAAAACTCCTATTGCAATGTGAGTTCCTTGATTGGTTTGAGGGATAAAGTGTATGTGGTGCTTGATCAGGGATTATTTTATCAATTAATGGCTTGTGTGCATGTCACCTTCTTATGTACATTATTGTAACAGTATTTATCTGGAATGCTTTTTACAACTGGTCTAGACCTGATAACAAACAGATTTATGAAGTCCCACAAAAGACTGTACGGACTTCAGGTCTAGATGGGCTTGTTCTCCTTGGAATTCAGACCTGCAAAGAAAGACTTGCAGTGCATTGATTGCAGCAGTTAGCTGGTCACATAATCTGCACAATTGATATTTTTTAAAGAGTGGGGCCTTAAAATAATCCAGAGTTGCATAACTGTGTTTGAAAGGTGCAACCTATACCTCAAACTGTTGTTCTCCTGCTGTTCTTGAATGCTCCTCTTACAGGTTTTTTTTTTACTCGACACCTAATTTTATTGAAATGTACACAGTATACGTAATTTATAATGGACATTATTTAATATAGGACTAATTATTTCCAAAAATTATTAGAGATGAAAATATATGACATTAATGTTTATCATCTAGAAATGTTCTCTAATTTAAAACAGGCTTTTTAGAGTTTAAAGTTTAAAATGTTTTTTTAACAGGGTTACTAATTTTGTGCCTAAACGCACAGTGAATATTGGTCAGTCCAGTTTGCTGCAAAGCTTTCTCATTCCGACAATGGCATTTTTATAACTTAACCAGATGGGAAATGTTGGTTTTGAATGTTTTTTTATTAAACAATCTGTTTAGGACAGTCTGGTTCAAAATGCTAATTGTTACGTGCCGCCTTGTTTACTTGCTGTATGGAAAGGAATATATGACTTCTTAAAATGGCCAAGTTTTCTTTCTGCCTGAACAGAATGAATCCTTAATTATTAGCCCAAACAACGCCTAAAGAAGAGAAATAGAAATTTAATTTAATTTAATTTAATGATTGTGGAATACAATGGGAAAACATCATTAAGTTTTCTAATGTATTGGTCACCTATGTGTATTAGTAAATCATAAACTTTATTGCATTTACATGAGACCTTTATTCAAAATTATTAGAGTAATCTTTAAAAGTGACATCCATCCTGTTTCTCATATATTCCGTGACACCAATTCTTATAACCCACACTGTCATACTTTACCTTATCTGTAAATTTCTTACAGTGAACTCCATTATTTCTTCCCATTCTGATCATATATATTATTAAAAGAATGTAACCCTTTATGCCTCCATAGTAACACATCAGCAAGCCTCAGCTTATATTGGATAGTCCAAAAATGTCTGGAAAGTGCATGTGCCACATCCACATGGTCATGAAGGAAAACTATTGTTCACTGAATGTACATGTTGTCCCCAAGAATTAATCTTGCCTGGGATGCTAATGGGACCTTCTGCCTTTCAAGGGCATGATGCTTAGAGGTTGAGTATGAAGCCTAACAGCCCATAGAGCAAAGAAATGCTTTAATACCACAGAAAGAATTGCGGCATTCTCTACTTTCAGTTCACCATGCTAGCTCGGGTCAAGATGTCCAGGAATGGCATCTCGATGTATCTTGATTTGCAGCACAGTAAAGATATGTAATATAGATGAACTGATTGTCAATGACAGGGCAAGTCAGCACATACTGTACCAATGTCATCAAAGTCATACCTGTAAGTTGCCTGTACAATGTAGGCAATTTCCCACAATTACCAATTTGTTTTTGTAATTTTTGTACACATCTGATACAAGATTCCACAAGCCTTTGCTCCTTTCTTTTAGTCCTGTGATATGGTCAAGAATTCTTTGCACTGCACAAAGAAAAAGGGGTATCCTTGCCAGATGCCAAGCAACGCAATTCTAAAAGTTGTGATTTACAGTGGTGTGGGCACATCAGAACAAAAAGAGAGGAAAGTATAACCTAATGAATACCAATAGAAATTGACCAATAAAAGCAAATCTATCAATTTGTGAATTTATAGAATTATCAAATAATTTTAAAAGATACTACAGTAAATCCACATACAAATATATCAATACAATATAATTCACACTTCTTAAGGGAGTCATTTAGACTGAGGTTCTTAGAAGGAGTGAGGAGGGGAATTATATTTCAGCTCTTCATTTGTTAAAAAACCATTTGGATACTCTTTCGGTGGCAGTGTATATTCTCAAGTTATCAAAATTCTTCTTCAGCCATGAAACAAATAAACATTATAATCATTATGACCTTGAAAACATAACTATACACATAGAATATAACTCAATAATGTACATTACTTGCTAACCTTAAAGGGATGAATATGTACACAGTACATAACTGGTATCCCTCCTTCACTCCTCACAGCCTGTTAACATGCAAAAGCAGAAATGTTGTATTTTCTTCCAGCTTCTCTCATCTGTTCTAAATTATTATAGTGCCTTGGAAGACGGCTGTAGTCCTGTGTAATTTGTAATTCAACATCAAAAAGTGCTCCCGTTTGTATTACTAAAACCAATGAAAACTTTTGATGCTATCAACAAAATACAATGATGATGCACTAATGAAAACATTTTTTAAAAAATCAATAGTAACAAACATTTTACATGAACAGATTAAATGCTCTGGCATGAAACTCAGGCTGTTACAATTTTCCTCCTATTGGATAGCATTCCATTCTCAATTATACAACACCAACACTAAGAGGTGATAAATAAAATTGCCCTGAAAAGAAACAAAAGCACTTAAAGATTATCCTAACTAAAAGCTTTTAACACAGTCTATCCTAACCTGAGGCGATTAAGGGATTGAGTTGATCATTTAGTATGTCTCTCTTATTCTTTATAGCCTGTATTTTTGGCCATAATTCTCTCCAAATTGCACCAAATCCACATATCTTTTTCATCGTATTGAAAATCATTTTTTTGCTAGTAGTGCATGCATTCTTTGATTTTCTACACTTTTTATTTTCAATGAACCTTATCCTTATTTTTCTCATAGTCCTATCTACATACATCAATTTCCATGGACATTGTATGATATATGTAATTCCTTGTGAATTGCAGGTGATATTCCTTACTGTTTAATGTTCCTTAAAATTTTTCATCTTTTGCCAAGGCAAACACTGCAGTTTCCACTTGGAATATTGTCCCATAAGTCGATTTCTTTCTACTATGATGTGGGTAGGTCTTGTAGAAAATCTAATTTTGCTATGTGCTAGCATTTCCCTCGGATTCTGAACCACAAGGCAGCCCTTCTGCACCTACATCTTGTAAGGGCTTCAGGTATGCCAGGAGCTGTACTAGGGTGTTGCTTACGATCAGCACACCTCCTTTGGCTGGTTGGGAGTAGAAACTACAGAAGTCTTACCTGCCTTACTGGTGATGAAGCAACTCCAATCAGCACAACCGTTATTCCAAATCAACCCGAATTTTCTACTGATGCTCCTCAATGCTGCTTTATATAGCAACAAAGATTTTTTTTATGTGTGATGCAGAGGTGCGGCCCATCCTATTTCCCATGTATACCTATGCACTTGCATGGCATTGTATACAAGCAGTTATCAATTGCATATGCTTGACTTAGTTCTAGCTTTCTTTGCAATTAGGTCTCTCGATTCATAGCAACAACACCTTGTATAACAATAATTTTGAGAGTATTTTGCAAGCAGCTTTCCAATCCTCCTGGAACTATGCAAGAAATATACTGTATAAAATATTAATCTGACTCCAGAAGTTGCCAGGGTGAAACAAGCCTCAGCTGCCTCCTTTTATCCCTGTGATTTCAGTAAGATTTCTTAATGTATGAGCTTCTGCCCTGAGTTAAATTGCTAAATTTCACTTAAAGCACTCAAAATCTGAAAAAAATGAGAGTCAACACTATTCAGTGACAACTTTAATAATAGTCTTTTTTGCAGTTTTGAAAAGTTATGAAGTTTGAATAAACGGAGAAAAGCTTTCTATATTTGCACAAAGCACTCATCATATTATCCATCAGGGTTTTTAAAAAAACATGTTTCCATCAAATAAACACTGGATTCTTTTCTCTACATGACCCTGCAGTACTGTGGGTTAAAGCTCTGCCCTACTCCTACATCAGTGGTTCTCAACCTGTGGGTCCCCAGGTGTTTGGGCCTACACCTCTCAGAAATCCCAACCAGCTTACCAGCTGTTAGGATTTATGGAAGTTGAAGGCCCAAACATCTGGGAACCCACAGGTTCAGAACCACTAGTCTACAATGTCTTTGCAGTCTACCACTAACCTATTCTATTTCTCTACCATGATGCAGAAAAATCTGGATCATCTGATCCAGATTCTGATGAGATTGCACTTTTGAGGCTGATGGTTACTTACATATATGGAGAAGCATGCAGTGCAAAGATTGAGAAAAGTACTTCCAGTATATATGTTTGATCTGCAATTACATGCAGACTTATCTTGAGAGGCAAAACCATTTTGTGATTCTATGCAGCTCCTGCTGGTTGGAATTCATTTTATAGAGGAGTTGCCCTCTATAATTTCCAGCAATGGCATGAGGATCTCTGTCCTGTTGCTTTCTTCTATTGTGCTTGCCATTACACTCAAATACTCAGCCCCTAAAGTTCTGTTGTTACATGACTAGGATCATCAGCTGAACAGTTGGAAGGAATTATGCGATACGACTATCTACATAGCCTTCACTTGCAAGCATTGCAACAGTGCTTTGACATGAACCAAGGGGGAAATCCCTCAGGCTGTTCTGTGACATACAGTTTCCATCTATTTGTTGGCATAATTGCATGGAATTTGGTGGTTGGTTGGTTTATTATCACATTTTTCATTGTTACTTTTATCTCATTTTAAACCAAGAGAAGCTTGGTTAACTACCTGTGATTGTTCTCTGATTTAATCTTTATTATGTCTTTAGTTATTGTTCACTCAGAATTTGGTCCATTTAACTTATCTTTGAATTGTAATGCTGTTATATTCTTTGCTCGTGGTAGTGTTAGGTTCTAGATGTTCCATGGCAACACCATAAACTTGGGAAGGGTTTGGACTTAGTTCCCTCTATATTTTGAAATATGAATGTGAGACCCCTGAGACCATGTAGCCACTGTTTTCTCTCTTCCATTTCTCATTAACTCCAGTGATTCAAGGATATTATCAAAAATTCATCAGATTTCGAAATAGGGAGACAGTCTTGCTTATGACAATGCATTTACCAGGTGCTGTTTTTTTGGCTAGCTTTCAAAGGTAGAAATCTTACATTGCAATTTAAAGTTTAACTTGAAAATATGGGATACATCATTTTTTTAAAAAAAAATCTCGGTGGAAATCATGGACCTCCATGTAAATATGTGTTTCTTGGAAAAGATGTGGCCCACATTTCAACACAAGAAACTGGCAAAGCATTGCATCTCTTAAATTTAAAATGAAACCATTTGTTTTCCACTTTCTTCTGTTGTTTTTATTTCCCGGCAATAACCAGAAAAATTTGGAAAAGATAGTGTGAAAGGCTGCTGCTAACACTGTAATATTTGCCCCTTTTGGAATTGTGTTGTGGGAGAAATCCGGTTAAAGCTGCCAACCCCTTAACTGACTCAGGACAGGACATTTAAAGCCATACATCCTTCTTGCTGCATTAGAAATTGGCAGTGTAGAGAGAGAGTCAAAGTAGAAATAGGACTGGTCTGCATCACCCTAAAATCGTGGCTGAGTGCCTCCCCCGCCCCCCAAACGCACATTGTGTATTTTACCATCTTCCAATTTTCAGATTCACTGAAGAGCCTTTATCATGCTTAAAAAGGGAAATTACAGTAACTGTTGACATATTTACTCTGGCTAAATTGTAAGAATTGTCCAGGAGAAACTTTACCAATAGAGGTCAGATTAAATATATCAACGGTTGTACCATGCGTAGATGGCCAGAAATACTGAGGTATATGCATCCAGTGACTGTGGAAAGGTTGGTCAGCAGTCATTTGAACATTTGTCTTAGAATATTGTTGTTAGACAAACTGGTTAGCAGTCACTTGCAGGAAATAAGTGAAAGCAACTCTGGGAGTAATGTAGGCTGATGGGCTGCAACCCCCACCCCCTGCCCGAGGCTATTATGGTTTTCTAAGACCTATATTAAGTCATTTAACGGTTGACATTTGAGGTTTTAGGCACCAATTCCACATGCCTGAATGCTGTGCATATGTTCCAGTAATTCATGAATAGGTGCTGCAAAGTGAGCTACAGTTTTAGCAGAGTTGTCATCCAGTTCAAAAAGCTGCAAACAACTCCTTGGAAAAATTTTGGTCTCTCTTTTTTACTAGGCTCTTTCAACCAAATTCACATTATCCCAGATGGCTTTTAATTTTTAAAAAATTATATGATCTGCATTTAACATATGATTTGTTCCTAATATATACATTATCTACAATCTAGTTTTGGACTGCAGATAATGTAGTTCAGAATTAGTTTTGGAACTTTGTTGTATGACGTATCTTAATCTTCATACCAAAACGTTATAACTGACAACCGTTGATCTTTCCAAGAATCTGGAATAAAACATAAAACTTTGTGTCAGATACCAACAAGTTATGCATAGGTTTCCACTTCCGGCTGGCTACTAGAACTGGAATGGTTTATTGACCATTAAAAGTACTTTATCATTGCCTTAGATTGAAACATCTCAGGCTATCTGATATGAGGGAATTAATGTGCCAGTAACATATTTATATCCATTGGTAGCCATGCTTTCTGTCCTGGAAGATCTACACCAATTGGCAGCCGGTGGTTTATGGATCAACACTGGCCAGGGACCCCACTACTTTGAATTGCACTGACTTACACAATTGAGGAGCACAAGGCAGGGCAGTAGGGAAGGAAAAGCCTGAAATTGCTGCTGTTGCACTGCAACATCTCGATGCGGCTGAGCAAACAAAGGCCATTTTTTTTTTGGTGGGTCAATGAATACAATGTGCATGCCTAGCTGATTTTCTTGTGCACGTAGATTGTTTCCCAGCTCATTTAATGAAAGGGCAGCCCTGTAGACAGGGTGGTTGTGTGTTCATCAAAGCTTTGTGGGGTGTTTGGTGCATATCTTATATTGTTTGTGACATGAGAGACTTAGTCCTGCCAATTGCTTAATTATTTTTAACCCAGCATTCACTGTACATTTCTCTGCAAAGACAGATATGTCATTATTAATGGATCCAAACATGTAAATAAGCTTTTTAAAATGTTAAAACACCCACAATTGTGATAAAATCTATACAATTTTATTTCTATTCATAACATGGCTACGGCAATTACTTGAATCCCCCTCCAATCTACTTATTCTCTGTTCCTATTAAGATACTCTTTAGAGTCTGGATTACTGCTACAACATTGGCATTTGTAAAGTGTTGGTTTCTCTGTGATCAAGAATGAACAGTATTTGAAGTATACTTTAACAAGTAGTTCTTAGAGCTTGGTTGGTCAATTTTTTCGTGGTAGCATAGAAAATTCCTTATATACTGATTGTCATCTTCTGCATGTATGAGAAAGTGACAAGAAAAGCTATCCTTGCATAAGCCATGTTCGTGTTCTGTGATGTTACTGATGGCAACATTTAAGAGCTTCTGGTTTGTTAATGTTAGTTTCGTCTTGGTCTGAGATTATTTTTCACTTGAGATGGAAGAGAGTGCTTGATTGGAGAAAAACCATGGTGAGGGAAAGGAGTTTTGAGATCTATTAATTATTGCAAAACTAGCAAAAGTTCCCAGCTTCTCGTGTGTTGGAGTTGCCCTTATAGTGTGATATATTAAAGACTTCAGGCAGTGTTACAGCATTGAGAAAGTTGAAGATTTTATATCTTTCTGCTGTGAGTGAAATAATGTGAAATAAGTGACGTGCTTCATATTCTGGATGAAGCTTTTAAACTCTGTCATCTGCTCTGTTGTAGCAGTTGCTCATGCCAAGCTTTTATTGGCAGTTCTGTTTTGTTTTTTTTGTTTTGAAAACCAGACTATTTTTTTGTAATCTGACTTTTCTACTTTTTAAAAAGAGGACTCATTGTCCTGAATATATATATTGTCCTGAATATATATATGTAATGCTTATGAAAACTACCATCTAGAACTGAAGATAGTATTGTAGGCTGTGTGTACCTTCCTATTAATTAGTTTGCCACCAATTGATTTAAATGGTACTGCTGGCTACAGGTAGATTTAAGCTGGATTACATTAACCCTAAGACAACAATAGAGTACATACTTGTAGGGCCCATTAATATCCATGACAAGTTTGATGTGTCTACTTAACAGCTTAACAGACTTGAAGCTATCATAGAGATACATACATGTTATCTTTTAATTCCATAGATAAATGAGAGATTATGATCAATGTGAATGCTTTCTTGAATAGCTTCATTAAATGAAGTTTGCATCTGTGTGTGTGTGGGCAAGATTACAAAGTTATTACATTTCAGTTAATATGTTAATTGATATATAACTGGATTTTTATGCATATTCATGTGCTGGAATTTGATAAAATTGTAGTATTTTGTAATTTTTCTATGTTGTGAATACAATTGTAATTTTATAGATGATTTACAATAATGTAAATGTTTTCATATATTGGCTGGAGTTCTAAAAGACAACTTTTTATGCATGTTTGGAAGATATTCCTATCTGATATATAGTGAAATGGTTTGCTGAATAATCCCATCACACAAACACCCACAAGCAAATCAGTTGTGTCTGCCTGGATTTGGAGTATTGAGAAGTGGTATCAAAGCACTGAAGTCTTCAAAATGTTCTTAATGAACCTGGACTGCAGTAATATATTAGTACTATTAATTTGTATGGATGTGTGTTTGCTTCAATTCCATTATCAATAAAACATTATTTCCTTGTGTGGGTTTTGTTTGCTTTTGTTTGAATCTGGGGCAATTTAGCTGCTAGAAGATTTCAAAATTGCTTGCAATCTTTATAGGTTCCAAATAACCAATACTAACAACTTCATTATAATTTTTAAAATTTTTGTCAGTGAGTATGATTTTTCGTTTTAGATACAAATGCTTCCAACCAAGAAATGCTGCATAGGTTTTGATTTTGTTACCCTCATTTCCCAAACAGGTGAAAACAAACCCAGTTTGTGCATTTCTCTCTCTGTACATCTTACTAGAACTGAAAGGTGTTAGGAGGAAACAATTCTAATTTGCAAAGTGCTGCATATTCCTTCAGTGCTACTGGGACAGAAAATGGGAGCCACTCCTGCCTCAGTATATAACAACTGAGACTGAGAGAAAGTGCAGTACTAAGAATTAGATTCTTCTGCTATCATTTGGAGGGCCGGGGGGGGGGGGGGGAGCAAAAATGAAATGCTTGCACTACAATTATTTTTTGTTAAATGCCATTGATGTCCAGTGAGTTGCTCTGTGAACATTGTATGTGGTAGTTGATCATTTGGCCTAGAATGTTAGACAGAACATGGGGTGTATGTGAACCAGATTGCTGGAAGATTCAAATGGCATCAGCATCTTGCATATAAATGCATACAGAAAATACTGAATTATAAAAAAGAAAAAAGTGATACCATTCAGACATGGATATATGCATTGTTTCCCAGTGAAGATACAAGAGCACAACTCTATTTACTGGACATTTTTCTGGTTATGTATTTCCACCACACTGCCCTTGTTATTTCCTCACTTCAGTGGGACCCCTGGTCTGCTTTTATCCTTGGAAACTGGTCTCTATGAGAAAATTATTTTGAGCGTGGATCAAGAGGTTGGCAGTCACACATGCTGCTACATAAAAAAACTTCCACCTATGGTATTTTGAAGGTCTGGGACTTTGCTGCAGGCATTCTGCTATGTAATTTGCTCCTAAGATACATTGAAAGTGTATTCATCAACTTTCCATAGTGAAAGAAAGACTCCCTTTCCTAGATAGGTGAAAATAGAGGCCCAATCCTTCATAGGCATAGGTCACCTCTGCCCCAATATATACTATATTGTACATGTTAGAAGAGCAGTTGTGGTGTATTCAGATATTACAGCTTCAGGAATTATTTTGCAACTGCTTGATGGCCAAGAAACCACTATCAGAATTCATTTAGGGACATAGACACATGTTACTCATTCTACGTATGTAGGACTAGCTGCGGAAGCAGAGTTGTGCAGACAGCATATTAATCTCTGCCTTGTCTTTAGAAGTTGCATGCTCTGCATTGTGATTGTGTGTCCTATACTTTGCATTGCAGTTATACATTGCAATTCTAGATCTGATGCTTTCCATTATGATTGCGGATTGTGTGTTGCACTCAGTCATTGTGCAGTGTTGCTGTTCAGCATGGCATTGTGTAGTGATGCTCTGCCATATGTTTGCATGTTTTTATTTTATGCTACAATCAGGGGATGCTATATTGAGGCCACCATGTGTCTGCAGGACTGCACCTGCAGGATATTCTGAGGCATTTTCTTTCCGAAACAGCCAGTTCAAGAAGAATATCGGGAAGATCTTTGGGGGTTTGTTGTGAATTGAAAAACCAGGCAGTGGAATAATATTTACTGGATCAGATATAGTTGCTGCTGGGGGTAGGGCTATTAATGCAGAAATGGATTATCTGTTCTTGATGAAGCTATCTCCCACCTTCACACACACACAAAAAGGGTAGTTTTAGGCGTATTAAGTATAATACCAAGATAGTATCTGCCTCTTACAGGCTTGCCCCCTAAACAGAGTTGAGAAAGCACATTTTCATACAAAAGGCTAGCCAATTTATTTTGGTTTCATAAGCAAGGATTGCCAAGCCCTCCTTGGGACTGGACTTGTGATCATCTGCCTGAAAAGCTTGTCCTGCAGTCCTTCCTTTACAATTACTGAACTTTATTTTAAGAGTTTATTTTGCCAGTTAACCTACAATCGGTCTTGTGATGTCTTGTCACAACTTTTTAAAAGTATGAAAAAAATGCCTACAACATTTGTAAACAGCCAAAATGCCATTCTGTACGTGAACTTTAGAATGAGTGTGTGTTTGAGATCGCCTTATGGTGACCCCATAAATTTTATACGGTTTTACAAGGAATACTCAGAGTGGTTTTGTTGGTCTGTTTCTCTGAAATAGAGCCTATGGCACCTGGTTTTTTTGGTGGTCTCCCATCCAAGCACTAGCCAGGGCTGATCCTGCTTATTTTCCAAGATCAGACAGGATCTGGTGCCTTTAAAGTAGATCTTTCTAAATTCCATGCTCACCTTCCATATGGAACAGAAGCCTGGAAGCTGGTTCTATATGCCTTAAGGCGAAGTATTTCTTTTAGTTATTATTATGAGCTGTGACGTGACTAATTTAATTCCTGTTGTGAGTTGTGACATGACTAATTTGATGCCAGAATTTCACCTCATCTGAGTGAGGGCAGTGCTTTCTGCCCTCACTCTGCCTGGAAAGGACTGCTTGGCCCTTTTCATTATTGCCCTGACTCCCGATTGCTGTTGTATATTCATCAGCTGTTAGAATAAGTGCCAAAATGGTCAGTTCGTAAGAGCTATATATTTTTTTCTCTCCAGCTTAACATGAGATAAAGGAAATGTATATTGTCCTCTGCTTCTAACATTTAGGGGTTAGTGAAGATGTCTGGATAACTGAAACATCTCTATCCTTGTACAAGAAGAAAAACATCATTTTGTTGTACAGGGGGTGCTTTGATTGTGCTTTTCCTGTAGGGCAGTGGGTTGGACTGGATGGTCCATGTTGTCTCTTCCAATTCTATGATTTGCAGAGGTGCAAATTATGGAGTGGAAGAAGTATCTTTTGCCATACTTACCTACTTTAATATTCAGCTGAGGCCCAACCCTGAAGGCCCAAGCAATAATAATGCAAGGCAGGAGGCAACAAGAAAAGGTCTTTCTTCAGCAATAGCACACCATATATGGAATACCCTCCCAGTAAAGCCTTGCCTGGCACATACTTTTATGGTTTTTTTGGTGCCAAGTGCAAGTGTTTTTATTCTGGCAGTCATCTAATGAACTGTTTTTGATGTTTTTAACTGTTCTGCCCCTTTTCTTTCTCCAGATGCTAAATTTTAATGTTGGTTTTCTGTGTTGAAATTTTTTTATTGCTGCCAGTTTTATCTTGGCTTGATGTCTGCTTCTTCGGTCATTGTTTTATGGTATTGATAGTTTCATTTTAAAGACTTTTATAGTGCCAACAGATTGTAAAGCACATATAAAGATTTGGTTAGTGGACAATTTAAAAGTGCATTAAATCAGTAGAGTAAATGAAGGCATTCTACAAAAATAGGACATGTGGACATTATTTGCCGCTTGGAGGCTGAGCAGATTGAGGAGGAAGCGCTTTGGGGGAGCTTCAGACTGAAATACAGATCTGTTCTTAGCACCAACTCTTTCTCCTGTGGACATGGATGGTAGCTGCTGAGGACATCCAAAATATTCAGAAAGCATAAGCTCAGTTAAAGACATGTAACAGAAAAATTCAGACAAACTCAAGGTTAGATATATGTCAGACCAATTTGATCCCTTTCTTCGATAGAGTTACAAGCTGGGTAGATGCAGGGAATGCCGTGGATGTAGCATATCTGGATTTCAGGAAGGCCTTCCTTGAAAAAGGTTCCCCCCCCCCCCGACCTTCTGGCAAACAAAGTAGTCCAATGTGGGCAAGGCAAAACTAGTTAGGTGGATCTGTAATTGGTTAAGCGAACGAACCCAAAGTGTGTTCACCAATGCTTCCTCTTCATCCTGGAAAGGAGTGATGAGTGGAGTGCCATAAGCAGGGCCCAGTCCTGTTTGACATCTTAATTAATTACTTAGATGAAGGATTAGAAAGCGTGATCATCAAGTTTGCAGATGACACCAAATTGGGAGGGATAGCCAATACCCCAGAAGACCGGAGCAGAATTCAAAACAATATGAACAAATAAGAGAGATGGGCCAAAACTAACAAAATGAAGTTCAAGATATTCCACTTAGGCAGAAAAAAATTAAATGCAGATACAGTGGGAGATGCCTGGCTCGATAGCAGTATGCATGAAAAAGATCTTGGAGTCCTTGTGGACAAGAAGTTAAGCATGAGCCAACAATGTGATGTGGCTAAAAAGCCAATGGGATTTTTGGCCTGCATAAATAGGAGTAGATCCAGGGAAGTCATGCTACCCCTCTATTCTGCCTTTGTCAGACCACACCTGGAACACAGTGTCCAATTCTGGGCACCACAATTGAAGGGGGCTGTTGACAAGTTTGAATGTGTCCAGAGGAGGACGAATAAAATGATCAGGGGTCTGGAGAACATGCCGTGAGTAGCAGCTTAAAGAACTGGGCATGTTTAGCCTGCAGAAGAGAAGACTGAGAGGAGACATGATGGCCATGTATAAATACATGAGGGGAAGTCACAGGGAGCAGGCTTGTTTTCTGCTGCCCTGGAAACTAGGATGCGGAGCAATGGCTTCAAACTACAGGAAAGGAGATTCCACCTGAACATGAGGAAGAACTTCCTGACAGAGCTATTCGGCAGTGGATCCCTCTCTCTGCCCTGGAGTGTGGTGGAGGCTCCTTCTTTGAAGGCTTTTTAAGCAGAGGCCTGGATGACCATCTGTTGGGGATGCTCTGACTGCAATTTTCCTGCTTCTTGGCAGGGGGTTGGACTGGATGGCCTATGAGCTCTCTTCCAACTCTGTGATTCTAGAATTCTATATACAACCTGCCATCAGTCATACTGATACGGATCAACAGACCACAATTGTTGAGTCAAGAAAATAGCCCATTGACTGTTCTTGCCATGAACGGTATGAAGTAATGGTAACAGTTGCCAAAGAAGCCCCTTATGACTATAATTTTGAGAAGACCAGCTATTTATGAATAAAATATGGCCACAAATATGCCAGGAAAGCACACTGGTTGGTTGCAAGCCAGGAAACAGCAAATGTACCCTAGAGAATATATTCAGTGTCTGTTCAAATAGATGCAAAGGTAAGCTGTTTAGGAACAGCAATAAAGATGGGATTGTTGTTTTCAAGATCCAGTTGTGGATTTCTCAAGAACATCTAATTAGCCGCTCTGGAGAAAGGGGCACCAGGAGATATTGAGAAATGCGACAAGCGTAAGAGAGTCCCCAAAGCAGAGTAATCAAATTTGTAGTCGAAGGCTTTAAAGGCTGAAATCACTGGGTTGGTTGCTGTGAGTTTTCCAGGCTGTATGGCCATGTTCCAGAAGCATTTTCTCCTGATGTTTCATCCACATCTATGGCAGGCATCCTCTGAGTCTGAGTTTGAGGAGTCTGTTGGAAACTAGGCAAGTGAGGTTTATATATCTCTGGAATGTCCATGGTGCGAGAAAGAACTCTTGTCTGAATGTTGCAATTGGCCACCTTGATTAGCATTTAATGGCCTTGCAGCTTCAAAGCCTAGCTGCTTCCTGCCCGGGGGAATCCTTTGTTGGGAGGTGATTAGCTGGTCCTGATTTTTCTTGTCTGAAATTCCCCTGCTTTTTTTTAGTGTTGTTCTTTATTTACTGTCCTGATTGTAGAGTTTTTAAAATACTAGTAGCCCGATTTTGTTCATTTTCATGGTTTCCTCCTTTCTGTTGAAATTTTCCACGTTTGTTGATTTCAGTGGCTTCTCTGTATAGTCTGACATGGTGGTTGTTAGAGTGGTCCAGCATTTCTGTGTTCTCAAATAATATGCTGTGTCCAGGTTGGTTCATCAGGTGCTCTGCTATGGTTGACTTCTTCTGGTTGAATTAGTCTGCAGTGCCTTTCATGTTCCTTGATTCGTGTTTGGGCCATGCTGCATTTGGCTGTCCCGATGTAGACTTGTCCACAGCTGCATGGTATACAGACCCCTCAACCTCTAAGGATGCCTGCCATTTATGTGGCGAAATGTCAGGAGGGAATGCTTCTGGAACATGGCCAGACAGGCTGGAAAACTCACAGCATCCTGACTGTCATCAAATGTTGAGGCAAAAGCTCAACATTTAGGCCCATATGGTTCTACCGGTGGGCCTTAGTCCCAATCCAGGACACCTCTTATGTTTTTAGCCACATGGTTTTCTCTCACAGAAGGGACTTTTGGTGGGAACAACTCGAGTGGTAAAAAGAAACCCCCAGGACTGGTCCTCTGTCACTGGCATTTTGTGAGACTCCTATGTCCTTGCCAGAGGGTTCTCTCTGCATCCAGGAATGAAGAATTGAAATGGATACTATTCATGCCTTTAAGGCAGACCTGGGCCAACTTGGGCCTGCCTTTCAGGTTTTTTGGACTTCAACTCCCACCATTCCTAACAGCCTCAGGCCCCTTCCTTTTCCCTCTCAAATGCTTAAGTGGCTGAGTTGTTTATTCATTCAGTTGTTTCCGACTCTTCGTGACCTCATGGACCAGCCCATGCCAGAGCTCGCTGTCGGCCATCACCACCCCGAGCTCCTTCAAGGTCAATCAAGTCACTTCAAAGATACCATCCATCCATCCATCTTGCCCTTAGTCGGCTCTTCCTTTTTCCTTCCATTTTCCCCAGCATCATTGTCTTCTCTAAGCTTTCCTGTCTTCTCATGATGTGGCCAAAGTACTTCATCTTTTCCTCTACTATCCTTCCCTCTAGTGAGCAGTTGGGTTTTATTTCCTGAAGTATGGACTGGTTGGATCTTCTCGCAGAACTTTCCTCCAACACCACAGTTCAAAAGCATCTGTCTTCCTTTGCTCAGCCTTCCTTATGTTCCAGCTCTCACATCCGTAGGTGACTACAGGGAATACCATTGCTTTAACTATGCGGATCTTAGTCACCAGTGTGATGTCTCTACTCTTCACTATTTTATCGAGATTGGTCATTGCTCTCCTCCCAAGAAATAAGTGTCTCCTGATTTCCTGACTGCAGTCTGCATCTGCAGTAATCTTTGCGTCTAGAAATACAAAGTCTGTCACTGCCTCCATGTTTTCTCCCTCTATTTCCCAGTTGTCAATCATTCTTCTTGACATAATCTTGGTTTTTTTATGTTTAACTGCAACCCAGCTTTTGCGCTTTCTTCTTTCACCTTGATTGGAAGGCTCCTCAGCTCCTCCTCACTTTCGGCCATCAAAGTGGTATCATTTGCATACCTAAGGTTGTTAATGTTTCTTCCAGCAATTTTCACCCCAGCCTTGCATCTATCAAGCCCCGCACATCACACGATGTGTTCTGCATACAAGTTGAATATGTTGGGTGAGAGTATACAACCCTGCTGTACGCCTTTCCCAATCTTGAACCCGTCTGTTGTTCCGTGGTCAGTTCTTACTGTTGCGACTTGGTCCTTGTACAGATTCCTCAGGAGAGAGACAAGGTGGCTTGGGATGCCCATCCTACCAAGAACTTGCCACAATTTATTATGATCCACACAGTCAAAGGCTTTAGAATCTATATAAATAAAAATGTAATGTTCATTTGTGGGATTAACAGAACTCAAAAACCACTGGGTGAATTGCAACCAAATTTGGACACAAGACATCTACTACCCCAAGGAGTGACCATCACTCAAAAAATTGATTTTGTCATTTGGGAGTTGTATATGCTTGGATTTATAATTCACCTACAATCAAAGAGCACTCTGAACCCCAACAACGATGGAATTGAATCAAACTTGGCACATAGGACTCCCACAACCAACAGAAAATTCTAGAAGTGTTTGGTGGGCATTGAACTTGAATTTGGAAGTTGTAGTTCACCTACATCCAGAGAGCACTGTAAATTCAAACAGTGATGGATCTGGACAAAACTTGGCACAAATACTTCATATCCTCAAATATGAACACAGATGGAGTTTGGGGGGAAACAGAACTTGACATTTGGGAGTTGTAGTTGCTGGGATTTATAGTTCACCTACAATAAAAGAACACTCTGAACCCCACCAACGATAGAATTGGGCAAACCTCCCACACAGAACCCCAACAACCAACAGAAACATGATTCACACACACATATATATGTATATGACAGATATAATATCACAGATTTGAAAGGGACCCTTAAAGGACAATGATATGTTGCATGTTTCAGAGTAGGCAAACCAGACGACCTCCACATCAACACTGACAAAGAAACAACAAGAAGTACTGTTTATCCACGAGCATAAAGAAATTACACATATATTACAAACCAACACTTTCTCATTACTTTATTTTCCAGATCACCAGACTGGGCCACAGCAACACGTGGCAGGGGACAGCTAGTAGTCAATAAAACAGAAAGTACATTGTGTGGAATTAGGAGGGTGGTCATAAAGCAGGCCTGGGCAAAGTTGAGCCTTCCAGGTGTTTTGGGCTTCAGCTCCCACCATTCCTAACAACTTCAGGCCCTTTCCTTTTGCCCCTCAGGCGCTTGAAAGAGTTGCCAGATGGACAAGCTGGCTTTAGAAAAGGCAGAGGAACGAGACCCAATTGCCAATATCCGCTGGATAATGGAGAAAGGCCGGGAGTTTCAGGAAAATATATCTCGCCCTGGAACAGAGTAGAGAAGTGTGGAGAGAAACGAGGAGCATCACTGCCGCCCTGGCCCTCCCCCGGGAGTTAGGAATCCCCCGACCCCTTCTCTTTCTTGCAGATGCCCGCTCCTCTTTCCCCGCCTCCTCCCTTCCAAGCCGGGGTTTATCGTTGGACAAGAAACCCGCCCCCTCCGCCCAGCTCCGGGAAACCGCCCAATGGCGCGAATCGCCGGCCGACGAGCAGCCAATCGCTTTCCAGACTGGAGAGAAAGGGGGCGTGGTTTTTCCCCACCGTGCAAGCCTGGCGCGGGCTGGTATATATACACTACAGTAGGAGTGCGCGAGACAGGAGAAGGGTTGGCTTTTCGAAAGGGGCGGGGCGAGACGAGCCTGCTTTTCCCCGCCGCAAGGTGAGGGCGGCAGAACAGAGAAGAGCAGAGCAAAGGAGGGCGCGCGGTAGGGAGGGGGGAGGAGCGCGAGCGAGTGCGCGAGAGAGAGAGTGAGTGAGCCAGCGCGCGCGCACGCCGGGCCAGATGAGGCAGCTGCAGCCAAGGCGCGTGAGCTTCGCTGCTGCTGTTGCTGCTGCTAAAGGGGGCCGAGGTGGCAAGGCGGAAAGAAAAAGGGAGGAGTGGGTTTCTCTTGGTTAGGAGCCTTGTAGTAGTTATTTGCATTGCAAGGGAAGAAGACATGCATTGAATGAGGCTCGAAGGGAGGCAATAGGAGCAGCAGCAGCATCAAGGCGGCGCGCGCCCCGTGTATATGTGTGTTTTGCCTTCCAAGCGAGCGCGTGCCTCTGCCTGCCTGCCTTTTTCCTTTTCCACACACACGTTGCCTCGCTGCGTGAGCCTTTGCCGCTCTCCCTGCAGTGGGAAAGGAGCAAGAGCAGCAGCAGCAGCAAGCGGTGTCTGCGCCTCCTCCTCCATCCTCCATCCATCCATCCCTCCATCCACCCTCCCTCCTCTTCTCCCCCTCCGCCCGCCTGCAAAGAGAGGACGAGGCTCCCAAAGCAACGGGGATGCTCTGAAGGTGCTCCTTCCCTGCTGCGGCCAGCGCGTGCTTCCTCCGCCTTGAGGGGGCTCGGGCTTCCCCAACCCCCAGCCATGCCCCCAGCGGCTTCCCGAGGCCGCCTCCTCCTCCTCCTCCTCCTCCTCTCCAGATGACCAAGAAATAGGCGGGTTGCTTCCCCGAAGCCTTCCTCTCCCCCTAATCCCACTTCTCCCTGAGACAATCCCCGACGGACGGAGGGAGGATGCCGGGGCACTGGTCTCCCTTCTTCCCGGGAGAAGGGCCCCGGCGGAGGAGGAGGCTGGGCCGCGTGGCCCCCGCGAGCCCCTTCTGACCCCCAGGGAAGAAGAAGAAGATGCTGCTGGTGCTGCTGGTGCCCGAGCTGCCTCCCCGCTGGGCTTGAGGGGCCGCCGGTGCCTGCCTGCCTGCCTGCCTGCCATCCTTCCCTCCTCTGCGCTCCTGTTGGGCCGGTCGCAGGCTATGGGGGCCTTTCCTCGGGGGCAGCCTGGTTCTCAAGGGAGAAGCCTGGAGCGGCTGCTGCTGACATCCTGGAGGAGGAAGAAAGACCGGGCTCTCCCATCCCCAACCCCGTGACTGACTGACTGACTGACTGACTGACAGACAGACAGACAGACAGACAGACTGAGAGACGGGCTTCCAAGGAGCTGGCTATTCCTTCATCTCTGGGAACTTTGGATGCAGCCCGGACTGACTCCTCAAAAGTTCTGGAAACTGTCCCTTTTCCCCTTCTGAGATTGGTCCTCAGGCCATGAGTGGGATTCCTCCTAGTGGTGCTTCCGCCTCCTCCTTCCCTTGAGGCAGGATCCCTCTCATGTCCCGCTCCAATAGCGTCAGCCCTCCGGGGTTTGGCGCCCCAACTGCTGCTTCTGGAGGCGGAGGAGGAGGGGAGCAGCACCGCTCTGCCTGGGGAGAGGCTTCCTCCGAGTCCAGGGCCAATGGATACTCCTACCCACTCCCTACCAGGGCTTCCTCACTCAGGAGGTCTTCCCCCATGGCAAACAGGTGGAGGAACGAGGAAGACTATGAGCTGCCCGGTGGAGGAGGAGGAGGCAGGAACCCCCATGGGGTGAGTGGCTGCAGGATGCTGAGCTTCCGGTCCAAGTCCGCCTGGCAGGACCACGAGAAGGGACAGCCACCCTCACTGGGTGCCAGCCCCAGGCGTTATGGCGTGGAGCAAGGCGAGGTGCGCCCGCGCTCTGTGGAGCTGGGCCTGGAGGAGAAGCGCATCAAGGCCAAGATCGAGGAGCTGGAGGAGGAGGAGGAGCGGCTGGAGGACGAAAGGAGGTCCCAGAGGGTCTTCTCCCTGGGCCGCTGCTGCGGTGCCCTGCTGCAGGTCTTCAGGTCCAAGAAGTTCCAGTCAGAGAAACTGGAGCACCTCTACCAGCGCTATTTCTTCCGCCTCAACCAAAGCAGCCTGACCATGCTGATGGCTGTGCTGGTCCTGGTCTGCTTGGTCATGCTGCTCTTCCACACGGTCCACGGCCGCTACCAGGTGCCCTACGTGGTGGTGCTGTCCCTGGCCATCCTGCTGATGGTGGCCCTGGGCGCTGTCTGCAACCGCAATGACTTCCACCAGGACCACATGTGGCTCATGTGCTACTCCGTCATCCTTGTGGTGTTTGCCGTGCAAGTGGTTGGCTGCTTGCTGATGCAGCCCCGGAGTGCCTCTGAAGGCATTTGGTGGACTATCTTTTTCATCTACAGTATCTACACCTTGCTGCCGGTCAGGATGAGGGCTGCCGTCATCAGCGGCATGGTACTTTCCGCCATCCACCTGGCCATTTCTTTCAAAATCAATGCAGAAGACAAGTTTTTACTGAAACAGGTAAGGCTGAGGTATTGGATGTTTAGGAGAGCTTTGGCTTCTAAGAATTTAGGGGTTATTTTTGTTGTGTGAAATTGGAACACCACTTTCCCAGGAGTTGTGCAGCTGCCTTGTAGTATTCGGAATGGGACATGTGTGCATGCCTTATAGTAATAGGTAAAGGTTTTCCCTGACATTAAGTCTAGTCTTGTCCCACTCTGGGTGGTGCTCAGCTCCATTTCTAAGCCAAAAATCTGGCATTGTCCATAGATCCCTCCAAGGTCATGTGGCCAGCATGACTTCATGGAGCACCATTACCTTCCTGCAGAAGTGGTACTTATTGATCTACTCACATTTGCATGTTTTTGAACTGCTAAGTTGGCAGAAGCTGGGCCTAACAGCAGGAGCTCACCCTGTGCCCTGGATTCGATCTTTCAGTCAGTAAGTTCAGCAGTTCAGTGGTTTAACCACCTGCACCACCAGGTGGTTGTGTATGTCTTATAGACGGCCCTAAAGCAGAAATGGGCCAAATTCGGCCCTCTAGGTGTTTTGGACTTCAACTCTCACAATTCCTAACAGCCAGTGGGAGCTGAAGTCCAAAATACCTGGAGTGAACAAGTTGGCCCATACCAGCTGTTAGGAATTGCAGGAGTTGAAATCCAAAATATCTGGAGGGGCGAAGTTTGCCCATGCCTGCCCTAAAGTGTAGAGATGTGGTTTGAGTAGTTACTGATTAGTTATTGATGCTGCTTTCAATCATGTCTTGGCATTTAATAGTGTCACTTGTCAGGAATTATTAACGGTTATCAAGTCACAGCCCTGATCAATTCAGAATTCATGTTTAATGCACCCAGCTATAACACACACCAGAAGAAGAAGTAAGGTATGGATTTGACTGGAGAAGAAGCAAGAGCTTCCTAATCCTACATATACATTTGGTGTTGAGAAGTGAAAATGACTGGTAAAAGTATATTAGCTAATTAGCACAAGCAATGTGAGGGCAGGATTACAATTTCAATCCTTATGCTAGCTTCAAATCTGGTACTTTGTTTTTAGTTCTGCAGTTTCCAAGTATTTACAACTTCACTCAGCCTGTAAGAGCTGTTGCTGCTTTCTTTTTCTTATTTTGCAATAAAGCAACTGTACAGCCACCAGTGGAACAATGCTAACACTTGTGTGTCCCCCCCCCCTTCTAACCTGATGTCCCATATAACCTGTACCATAATTCACAAATTATAAAAAAACAATTTAAGGGTGGGAGAGGGTTTTTTTTTAAAATACATTAACCCTGTGATTTCTATTTTTGCAGTGCTTAGAGAAGGTTACTTCTTAATCTATTCCATAAGGAGCCCCTGATGGTGCAATGGGTTAAAGCCTTGTGCCAGTAGGGCTGCTGACTGAAAGGTCAGCGGTTTGAATCAGGGGAACAGAGGGAGCACCCCTCTGTTAGCTTCAGCTTTTCATGCGGGGACATGAGAGAAGCCTCCCACGGGATGGTAAAGCATCCGGGTGTCCCCTGGACAACGTCTTTGCAGATGGCCAATTCTCTCACTCCAGAAGTAACTTGCAGTTTCTCAAATCACTCCTGACATAGAAAAAAAACTATTCCATAGACAAAATGTTCCCCATTCCCTTATTATTTTTTTGTAACAGTAGTTGCATATGGATATGTTATTGGGATTGCTTATATTCCAGAGACACTCTTGTCTTTCCAAATGCTGTTGTTCCCCTTTTAAATGCTGCTTGTCATCCTATTCATCATACTAACTTTAGGAAGGAAAGGAATTCACCTGTTGCCGCACTATCTCCCCAAATAACAGCAAAAGAAAATGAAAAAGCATAATTAAAGAGAATATTTGTTGTATTGTATGTAGTTTCCTTTTAACGTTGCGCCACAATTTTGTTAACTAGCACTTGCATATAGTTGCCTGTCAAGCATTATGTACCCAAGCAGTTGTGGATATTTCCTAAAATATCACCATTATTACATCTTATGTTCTGTTTGATTTACCTATTCCTCGTGACTTCTTCAAAAGACTCATAGAAAACATAAAATAGTTGATTTATATGTATTTTGACTAAATTGATTTATGAAATAATCTATTTGGTTGGAACACACTGTCCCACTTATTTCTGATCTGGATATTCAGAAGCTCCTAGTGCTATATATAATGACAAGGGTGGTTGTACATATAAGCTGTATTTTAACTTTTGGAATTGGTGAGTTCAACAGTGTTGAGTGTCCTGGAATATCACTTTAGTTAATAGATCATGCTATATCTCTGGCACCTAAAGAAAAAGAAAATTGCATTTGGTCTTATCTTTCCTCCCATTTCTACATCTAATTTGAGGGAAAAATCCATTTTAGGCTATTCATTGATTTTGACTGGACACTAACAGACTTCTTAGAGGTTCATGGCTGTGAGCCAAAGCAAATTCTTAGTGCAAATCTTGCCTTAGTTACGAATCCATTATGAGATCTCTAAGTCAGGGGCTGTTCTCCTATCCTTAGCTTCTTGTCTAATAGGAATTTGAGAATTACTTTTTATATGCCTTTTAAGTGATATTCGATAAGTGAGCATTGGTGCATATGCTACCCCCTCGTGTGCTTTGACTCATTTATTTATTGATTCATACCATATTTGTTGTTGACAATTGAACTGATTGATGATTATTTTTATTTGTTCTGAACTGTGTTGGAAACCATGGTTAGGTAGATGGAGTGTCATACTATGGTTGATACTAAACAGAATTAAATAAGTAAAACATGATGATGTATGAGGGAGCCACAGTGGCATAATGGATTAAAACTTTGTGCTGGCTGAACTGCTGAGCTAATGTTGGTGGTTCAAATCCACGTGACAGGGTGAGCTCCAACCTGTCAGCTCCAGCTTCCCATGCAAGCACATGAGAGAAACCTATCACAGGATGGTAACACATCTGGATTTCCCCTGGGCAACGTCCTTGGATGCGGCCAATTCTCTCACACCAGAAGCGACTTGCAGTTTCTCAAGTCGCTCCTGACACGAAAAAGAGTAGAAGTTGGAATGAATGAGAGAAGAACCAAAGAATTGTTCATTTTAAAGAGAGATTCATCACTGACGTCAAATCATTATTCAAACTACATTTGAACAAGCTCAAAATATATAGCATACTTGAAACACGCTGATGCACTCTTGGCTAGCATACCCACTAGAAAATACTATAATGCCTGGTAAAGTGGAGGACTGATGGGTGGACTGCAAGACCTGAGCAGGGCTGTTAAGAATAAGGGGTTTGTGTGTGTGTCAGGAGCAACTTGAGAAACTACAAGTCGATTCTGGTGCGAGAGAATTGGCTGTCTGCAAAGACATTGCCCGGGGGACACCCAGGTGTTTTACCATCCTGTAGGAGGCTTCTCTCATGTCCCCGCATGCAAAGCTGGAGCTGACAAATGGGATCTCACCCTGCCTCCCTGGATTTGAACTACCGACCTTTTGGTCAGCAGTCCTGCTGGCACAAGGTTTTAACCCATTGTGCTACTGTGATCTCCTCAAGAATAAGGTGACTTGGAAGTTAATTTGAAAGCAGTTATCAATAACAATAGTATCCTACAGCTCCTAATTGTAAACACATCAGCTATGTTCTCAATAATTTGCTAAAATCCTGTTTTTATGTAGTTCAAATTATCAGAACTATTTCTTCTCATAATCGTCAAATCTTAAACCTTGTGTTTCAGACTTGAAAAGTAAATACCTGATTCTCTAATCTGTTGTGTTTTAGGGTAAAGACAAGAGCATAGGGTTCAGAGCCATCTGATACTAAAATCGGTATTGGTAATTGTCTTGCAACTGTTGACAGGCCTTTTGTTACCTAGGCTGTAGTTTGTTACCATGGGAATCTAATTTTTCTTCAACTGCCTGACTACTGTATATACATTCTTTAGTTTGTTTCTGTATCTGTGTGTCTTAAAGCTTGAAGACGGATAAAGACCATGAAAATCAAATTATGTTCATTCTTTTTGATTTCTTGTTGAGAGTGTGTATTGATGATAATCCATAGTAGAAATGATGATCGAGGCTGCAGTTCTTCACACACTTCGTTGGGATGAAATCACATTAAACAATTTGTAGCCCGCTTCTGAGTAGCCATCTCGAGAATTGCATTACATATGATTTTATTAGAATTGGTAATTATATCTAGAGCTGTTTTTCCCCTTCTTCTTTTAAAGCATTCCAATCAATTTACCATATATTAAAGGAATAATATGTTTCTGCATAAGAAATGATTTATATAGCATCAACGATGGTTACATCTCAGTATAACTACTTACTGCCTCTCAAGTTATGAAAGCCTTGTTGTAAGAATAAATGTGTATGAATTTTTACAAACGTGCTTAGTCCTATGAACTGTGTTGGAAACCATGGTTGGGTAGATGGAGTGTCATACTTTGGCAGTAGACTTATCAAAACTTTATCAAAACTTTTCTGGGTTGTGTGTTTTCCAGGCTGCATAGCCATGTTCCAGAAGCATTATCTCCTGATGTTTCACTCACATCTATGGCAGGCATCATCAGGGGTTGTGAGGTCTGACGATGTCTGCCATAGATGCAGGTGAAACGTCAGGAGAGAATGCTTCTGGAACATGGCCATACAGTCCAGAAAACACACAACAACCAGTGATTCCAGCCATGAAAGCATTCAACAATACATTAAAACTTTTCTGGCTTCCCTCGGAGTTCCTCCCATATATTTACTGAGGGAAGAGCCACCCAAGTTCACTTCAGCATTTATTTTAGATGAGATTTCAGTGGCACCCTAAACATTCCCTCTTGGTTTGTTTTTTAGTTATTTCACATATCTCCTGACCCAAAAGGGATTCCAGCTGCTTCTGTGGTGCAGGCCTATAGCTCCTTAATACTCTCTGGTATTGTCAGTTCTTTTTGTGACAATATTATTTTTAGCTCAGTTCTAAAATTATCTTGGCATGTATCTTGAAAGATAAGACAGGGCAGTTTTCGGAAAAATAGAAGATGTTGTACT